ACGAGCGTTGTGGGAGGCCTCTCCAAGAGGAACGGAGGGAATGGTGTTCTGGCCGATCTCATTGACGCGAACATAGGCCAGGGCCACCAGGATGAAACCAGCGTCGTAGGGGGAGGCCTCTACAAGAGAAACGGAGGGAATGGTGTTTTGGCCGATCTCATCGACGCAAACATAGGCCAGGGCCACCAGGACGAAACCAGCGTCGCAGGAGGAGGCCACGCAAAGAGAAACGGAGGGGTATGTCGATAGCTCCCCACTCTACACGGATTTCGAGACATATGCTAACACGCCATCTTTCAATTTAGAACGGGTTGGTCACTCCTTCGACTGGCTCATTATACCATATCTAACACCCTCTCAGTGTGTTGGCTGACGTGGTGGATCTGAACGTTGGCCAGGGTGAGTCTGAGCACAAGCGAATGTCAAAACGAGCCTCTACTAACCATTCCGAACAGGCCACCAAGATGAGACATCAGTCATCTCTAGGAGAAACGACGAAAACGGCGTACTCGCTGGATTGATCGATGTAAACATTGGTAGGTTTTCTTTGATTGCAATACAATACCCTCCCTCGCAGGCATCATACTGACCAGGCTTGCTCTTCTCTAGGCAGCAACAACCAAGCGGAGACATCCACCGTCGAACAGTAATGAAGGGGCGCCGAATCGGATTTGTACACTAATATACCACACCACATTTTCCTATTGTATTTGGGGAGCATGCATAGCAGCGCGGCGTTCAACATGTACTACTATTACTTAGTTGTCAATTCAACCTTCCTACTTGTCACATCTGTCTCCATCAATGATCCGAGCAAGGCCTGTTGCAGAGAGCAGAAGATTTTCCAGTGCTGTAGGTACGGCGTAAACTTCCAATTTCATCGGGTCGTGGTGCGACAAAGCTGTTCGACCGAACTTTTGGGTCTCTCCAAAGCTCGTCAATCTGCAAGGGCCGGTGAACTTGACTTGATCCTCCGTATTTGACTCTCGGCAAGGCTGCTGATTCTTGTGCTTATAGGTACCACCAGTTCATGAGCGTTGTCGTCGATTCGTTATAAGGAGAGGCGGTAATTTCTAACTTCACCGACCCTTGGAGACATTCGATCCTCCGTACTTGACTCTCCGCAAGGCTGCTACTTTTTGTGCTTATAGCCACCAGTTCGTGAGCGTTGTCGTTAATTCAACACAAGGAGAGGCGGCAATCCTCCGTATCTGGCTAATTCCACCGACCCTTGGACTCTTCGCTGCCTTTGTTTGAGATTCTCCTGCCCATTGGGACTAATAGGAAACAGATCTTTGCCTTTTACATACACTTTTGTGTTGGAATTGCTTGGCACACTGCAAGTCACTTGGACATCGCCAAGACAGACTGCAGTATAAAGTGGTACGGTATGGATTGTCCCTTGACCTGGATGACCACACATTGATGGGTTTTGGAGAGACCAAGGGCCAGTGCAATTCAAGGTTACCGCCATACCTGCTGCAGTCAATAGCGTTGCGTTTTCTACAGGAACAACAACACAATCAAGACGATACAATCCGATCGGAGAGTTGGCTCTCCGCAACAGTGCTTGTTCTGGTGGTCATAGCTAACCTTCCGTGAGCGTGGTCATTGCTTGAGTACGAGGAGAGCCAGTAAGTTCCAAATTCTCTCTGCCCTCGGACCCAAAACTCCGGTCGAACAGCTTGTAACATCTGCTCTGGCGGGCCGACCCGTGCGGGCCAAGCAATCGGCAGCTCATCCGACCATGGTAAGTGAATACCTTACAACAGCAAGAACAGCTGCCATCCATTCGTTGCTATCCTCAATATAAGTAGATCCTTTTCTTCGATCAACAATGCACCTTTGACCTCGATATTCCGAGTTAAATCCGCACTCATCTACAACGCAGCCTCTCAGCCAAGCGCATCCACCGTCGCAACGATGGGCACTCGAAGTCCGACCACGAAGCGCATCATGAAAGAGGCATCGGAGCTCGCCAGTCAACCCTCGCCCGACTTTCATGCTGCACCGCTCGAAACGGATCTCTTTGAATGGCACTTCACAATCCGCGGCCCGCCTGCCCCCTCACCTTTTGAAGGCGGCGTCTATCATGGCCGCATTGTCCTTCCACCCGCATATCCGCTGAAGCCACCCTCCTTCCGCTTTTTGACCGCCAGCGGTCGATTTGAAGTGAACCGAGAGATCTGTCTGTCCATCAGTGGTCATCACGAGGAGAGCTGGCAGCCAGCATGGGGAATTCGCACTGCACTCGTAGCGATCCGTAGCTTCATGGACACTGATGCCAAGGGACAGCTGGGCGGCATGGACGCGAGTGATGAGGTGCGAAGACGCTTCGCTGCACAGAGCATGTCTTCGAGATGCGCAACGTGTGGGAAGAGCAATGCCGATATTGTCAAGGAGATGAACGAGGCTGCAAAGGAAGTGGGCGAGACAAAACCGGAGGAAGTACCTGAGCAGCTGAGACTTGCATATCGCGAAGACTTGAGTAAAGCAGAGGGAAAGATGCCGGAGGGGCAATCCAAAGCGTCACCACAGCCACCTGCTCCTGTTATGCAAAACAACCCGGCGCTGACTCCCACTCCAACCACAGCACAGGCGCGACCGGCACCAGTCCCTCCTGCTGCGCCTACCATTGTGCCTCAACAGCAGCAACGTCAGCCTGTGCGACAGGACGATGGCGTGCCGGCGTGGATCGACAAGTCCATCTATAGCGTGGCGTTTGCCCTGCTGATCTTTGTGTGGTCAAAGTGGTTTGTGTGAAGTGAGACGGAGAAGAGGTGGCCTACCACCAACATATGATACCCACGGTGCTATGATCTATTTTGATGTATGATGAACTCTGCCTTCCGTCAATTCACTTTATCCGTTTCACCTTGTCCGAGCATGCCGAGCTTCTGTTCTTTAGAAAGAAATCATTGCAGTCGCTTCGGTCCTAATGTTCGCAGAAGAAAAAGGTGTCCTGCACAGGTTAGCAGTCTGCGCAGTCAGTTACGTCTCTAACAGTACTCACTTCTCTGAGCATTTCGTCATAMGTATCACCAACCCTGCCTCTCTCCTCCATCAGAATCTCTCTCGCATCACACGCCGCGTCCCATGAGATAGGAAAGTCCTCGACAGACTCAATTATCGCATCGAAAAGCTCCACTGGTAGTGCAGYGAATTCTGGCACTTTCCGAACTTCTCGAGCCCACCAATCCCGACGCTGCGGTGGGACATTCGCTGTGGACAGGATCTTGATGTTCGGATCTATCAAGAACATTGCCAGTATCTTGCGGTGGCCAGGCTTCGTCGGGTCGTCGAGCTCAAATTCTCCAACCCTATGCTGGAGAACGTTCGGGAAAGCAAGAAGACGACCGGGCTTGGTGAGGACTTTACCGAGTTCTTGAACAGCGCTGTCCCCATCTGCGATACCGTAGGCATCCTCCACTGCCGCATACTCGTATTGTGCAGGCATCATTACCATTTGCTCTGCGTCGATGTGCTGTCTGAATTGGAGATGGTTATCCGTGATGTTTTCCGAGTCATAATAGAATAGCGCAGTGGCGGCAATATGCTCATTCAAGCATCCTTCTACGTGCCAACTACTTCCTCCGTATGTTGGATCGTCTGGAGTGAGATGGACAGTCGCGAGTTTGAAAATGACCTGGAGACCCTCGGGGAATTCGGTCAAGACATCAATGCGGTGGACTCCCGCAGCTTTTGCTCGTTCTTCGAACGTGATAAATTTCTCAGCCGTTGGGTGTACCAAAACCCTTTCATCGGGGTTGTGCCTCAGCCACTCTTCGAAATGATTCTGCCGGTCCCAATCTGTGTCTGGTTGATCATCATGGTCCTCACCTTCATCAGGCTCCTCGACGGGATAGCCGGGATATGTTGGACCTTCGTAGCAGCGCCAACCCATCTCGGTTGGCGAGATGCGGAGTCGCTCGTGAAACCAAGAAAGACATTCGTTCCACATCGGAACAGCTTTGTCAACAGCGGCCTCAAGGACTTCGTATAACTCAGGATGGTCTTGCGGATGGAGATTGTTGACATAGCTTTCGATGTGAGCTTTCCCTTCACGAAAAGACACCTCGGATGGTAGCCATTGGTAAGAACCCCATGGCTTCATGGGTGCAGATTTATGCCCCCACGAAACTTCCCTCTCGAATGACTCGTCGCTCTTGAGTACTTCAGGCATTGGACATATCTCACCCATACCGATGTATTGGCAACATGTCTCTCGGGATACGATGCGGTCCGCAAGTACTCGGGACTTGCCATATTGGAGTGGGAACATGGAAGGATGAAGCAGATCCAGCACTTTTCCATCGGTACCTGGATGCCAATCTTTCACACGATCGGGAACATCTTCGAGCACAAAGACAGCTGATTTGAGAGCCTTCCAGAAATAGTCATTCGCGGGGAGATCCTTTTTGACGATGGTGGCGTCGGCGTCCAAAACGTGAACCAAACTGTGCTTCTCGAAGTACGCAGCCTTTTCATATAGCTCGTCCATACACTAGTAGATCAAGTCAACGATGAAGGTGGGTGATAAACATTGAAGACACTTACATATATAAAGGACTCCAAATCCAAATGCTGAGCCGATGTTCGCTGCTGCTCTTCGTTCCCGCAGGCCTCATCCCTCCACTTGGCAACAATCTCTTCGTCCTGGATCTTCTCCCACCACCTTGGCTTGTCAGTAATGAGGTTTATCATGCCGAGCATGCGCTGTTCCCGCAAAGCAACGCCCGCGGTAGCAAAGAAGTCGGCGATAGCATGGGGAAATCGGTTATTTTCGACAATTTTCTTGGGCTCAGGCCGTGTCCAAGTAGACAGACCATCAAGGGGAAGCCCGAAGCCTGGAAGTTTGAGTGACATTCTTGAAGGGGTTACTTGCTGAGGTTCGAGGTGCTGTCATGTCTTGTATTGGATTCAAGCTGCTCTAGCGAGAGTAGCGTCGTTTTAAGGTTTAGGCAGTGCAGGCAGCCATCAGGCGAACATTCAGGAGGTAAAGGTGGGATCGACTAGCAAGCCAATTCACGCCCTTCGCATGCTGCCTTTAAGATGTCAGAGAATCGTGCCCAACTGTAGTCTTCTAGGCCGCTAATTCTGCTCCGAAGTGTCGAGACACACAAGGGGCAAACGATTTGAGTGGGAGACGTTGCTCCGAGCTATTAATCTGCTCCAGCCATCGATATGCCGCCACTTTTACGAGGCTCGAAGATATATTGGTGGGCTTCAAGCCAGCAGCATGAAGCTGGCCGACATTGATGCCCTCCTCAAGTTCCCAGCGTCTTCATGGACTCACTGGGCCACCCTGCACCGGTACGGAAGTCGACAGTCATGGCCCGGTTGACTTCGTCGCCTCCACACCAGTCGCTACCTTCCAGAAACGGTCGTTGTGGGTCGTCGTGGCGGTTTTGTCGCAGTCGTTGGTAAGTGCTGTAGCATCTCCTTGGATGGGGATGCGTCCGCCGGGTGATTATGAAATCTGGGGACGGGTGTATGATCTCGTAGATCTCGGAATGCTCTACCTCAGCGGATCAGCACCAGCAATGTCTCCCAATCACGAGAACTGGACCACTTACGATGAGGGATGGCAGTCCGAACGTCCTACACCTTGCCTCCAGCAAAGACTGCCACCAGACCGCACGCATACCACCATAGTCGCACCAGTGCACCATACCGCCGACCCAAGACTTAGATGCTTTGCAGCCACGAGGGAAGTTCCCAGACTCCGAAGAGAATGAGCCGCCGTTTCGCTCCACGAATGCCCTGGGYGTTCGCCACTCTGACGTGCCACTACTCCCGAGAGAGCAGCAACAACAGCCAACCAGCGTGTGAGCGTAGTTGCGACGTGGTGTCTATCTGCCGTCACTGAACCACATCCACGACGTCTGCGCGCCAATGTGGAGGGCTCAGTGCCGACAGCTGGCGTCGAGAGGGATCGCTTACGGTCTTTGTCGATGATCCGGGTTCCGGGAAAGCACTCTGATGATTGTCAATGCTCTGTGTCTCTTCTGGCGGTCATTATACCACTGACCAGTTCAGTGCGTGCGAAGTTTCGTTTCTGAGGAGCCATTGTGGTGGATAGCGGACTGAAATGTGGTCAGTGGCGGCTTGCAGAAGCTGCTCGCGCACGGCGACAAGGACTAGGAGAGCTTACCATATCCGCGCGTAGCAGAAAGTTGTTCATGACGGCGAGCGGTGATGTGGTGGGTGTTGGATGTACTGTGTTTGCTAGCATGTTGACGGCGAAGATGCAAGTGTGCGAGTGTGGGAATTCATGTCTTGATGGCGGGTGATTGACAAGGATGGGTGGAGCTCGATGATGAAAGTCGGGCTTCACGAAGCTGAAGATACAGAAGTGGGGAGTTTTGAAGTGAATCAAGTGAATCGATAGACTTGAATTACCTGTGTGCGAGTGATCCCTTGAATATAGATCTGAGCCCGCTCTTCACAGCACCTGGGCATTACACGCATCCAAAGCATACTAAGCTGGTTATCCTGGAAGCATTACTTCTCGTAAATGACAGATTCGCTCGGCATGGCAGCGTGAGTTGAGTGAACGTGTAGTAGGAGTCAAGCAGTGAGGAACATCGGATACTCCTGCCGGAGCCCTGGGATCTGACTAGAACTAGCGCCCGCGCTTGCCCGTGAACCTTAAACCCTTTCGACACTGACATCTTTTGCTGCGACCCGCCATCGCATTCTTCCATCATCAATTCCCACGATGAGCAAGACGCTCGCCCTCCCTCGCCACATCTCAAGGCAAGCGGCTCGTCGCAGTGCGCGGTTGGCAACCCGCAAATATGCCACGGCATCAAGATCACCTCCGGCAGTAGAACGCGATCCCACCGAACTCGATCAGATCACCACGCTCCCAAATGGCGTCCGCGTGGCTACGGAAGCCCTGCCTGGCCACTTCTCCGGCATTGGTGTATACATTGATGCCGGATCGAGATATGAAACTGACGCTCTGCGAGGCGTATCTCATATCATCGACCGACTGGCGTTCAAGTCGACATCACAGCGTAGCGGAGACCAGATGCTTGAGGCGATGGAGAATCTAGGCGGCAATATCCAGTGTGCATCGTCCCGCGAGAGCTTAATGTATCAGTCCGCCACGTTCAATGCCAAGGTCCCTGACACCGTCGCCCTGCTGGCCGAGACGATTCGCGAGCCAGACATCACCGATGAGGAGGTGGCTCGTCAGTTGGAAACAGCCGATTATGAGMTTGGTGAGATTTGGAGCAAGCCCGAGCTCATTCTCCCCGAGCTGGTGCATATGGCTGCCTACAAGGACAACACGCTCGGCAATCCATTGCTGTGTCCAAAGGAACGGCTGGACTACATCGATGCGCGGACGGTCGAGGCTTACCGCAAAGCTTTCTTCCGTCCTGAGCGTGTTGTGGTGGCTTTCGCTGGTGTGGAGCACAACGAGGCAGTGCGTTTGACGAAACAATACTTTGGAGACATGAGCCCTGCGACAACTACAGCATTCAAAAAGGATGCACACCAGGTCCAGCCGCCATACCCGACCTCCAACACACAAGCACCGCAGAAAGACTCGCGGCTGATGTCGAAGATTCCCTTCCTCAAGAATCTCTCCACATCTGCGCCTCATTCGGCAACCGTCTCCCCGCTCGACCCTTCGCAGATCATCCCCCACCCTCTTGACGGTCCTATACCTTATGACCAGGCCTCCAATTACACAGGTGGCTTCCTCAGCCTCCCGCCGCTACCCATTCCTCCAAATCCATCCCTCCCGCGTCTTTCGCACATTCATCTAGCATTTGAATCTTTACCTATCAGCTCTCCCGACATCTACGCGCTTGCAACCCTTCAAACACTTCTCGGCGGTGGCGGCTCCTTCTCCGCTGGCGGTCCTGGCAAGGGCATGTACAGCCGTCTCTACACTAATGTATTGAACCAATACGGCTGGGTTGAGAACTGCGTCGCATTCAACCATGCTTACACCGATTCCGGACTGTTTGGCATATCGGCAAGTTGTGCGACACAATTCGTGCCTAGAATGCTCGACACCATGGCGCGGGAACTCTCATTACTGAGCGCAGAGACCGGCTTAGGACGACTGAGCGAGATTGAAGTGAACCGAGCGAAGAATCAGCTCCGCAGCAGTCTGCTAATGAATTTAGAAAGCCGCATGGTGGAGCTGGAGGATCTTGGCAGACAGGTGCAGGTCCACGGACGAAGGGTGCCGGTCAAGGAGATGGTCAGTGCAATCGAGGGTGTGACGATGAAAGACCTGAGGAGGGTCGCAAAGATGGTGTTTGGAGGCGAGGTGAGAAATGCTGGAGAAGGAAGCGGTGCCCCGACTGTCGTGTTGCAGCAGGGCGAGGAGGAAGGGGTCAAGTTGAGAGACATGCCGTGGGAAGACATCCAGCAAAGGATTGGGAAGTGGGGAYTGGGCAGGAGATGAATTGCACGAGATTGACTGCAAGGAACTTTTACAGTGGAAGGCGCCATTGTCCAAGGATCTTCAAAGGTGTTCGGACATCCTTGGAGCCTTGTATAGAGGACAACAGCAACGCATGCCCATTAACACAACAGTTGTACATTACAAGAGGACAGCGGAAGAACCCGAAGTTCCACCCGGACAGAAATTGTACTATATCACGAGGTTTCAGAGCTTCCGAGCCCTTGGTTTATGGTTAGGTTTGCGGTGTCGGGTTAGGCTGACTCCACTCGCTCGAACATATATGGATGTCATCGATCGCGCCACCTTGCCGAGATTGATAGGTGTCAAGGTTACACCTCAACATCCCGGCCTCCGATGTATCGGATTCGACCCTTTCTGTGCACTGACAGCTTACGACCCCAGGCGCGTGGGATAGAGTGCTTATTATGGTGGCACAAATTCGGGGATATACCGAATTTGAGACAGGTTGCCGCCAATAACCCGACCACATTTCTTTGTTGCTTGAAATTGATAGCGGGAGTAGAATGAATTGGTGCTGCCTCGGGGTGAATGACTGGACGAGGTCGAGAGCCATCTCATTTCATTTGAGATGTCGTTCAGCAGTTGGGTGGTGAGGTAAGCGCAGTGCTGGTACACCAAAAAAGGCAAAGACGATGGCGACGGTAAGGCAGTTCTAGATCACCCGCTAACACGGCTGGGCCTCTCCTGCACCCTAATTTTCATCTTGAAAGCCAACGACAGACTCACGCACGATTGATTAATTCACGGGAACAGGTGCGTCGCACCAAAGCTTCCACACGCGAAAGTCGGCCTACTCCAGTCCCACCAATGTCCACGCTTGCACAGTGAAAGTCACTTTCTGCCGTGAGCCTGCAAACATTATTGACAATGGACTCGACTACAGCTCTTCACCTACACTACCTTTCCACTCCAGGCCCGATGGACGATTCGTCATCATTTCCGCCGAGTGGTATCCAATTAGATGCGCCTGAAAAGACCACGGCCTCCACTCAGCCTCCCCTCGAGGTCAACCACAAACGCCTTTCGCAATTCWAGTCCACACCTCGCCTGGGTTCCAGCCAAAGGGCGGACTGGAGCCCTCACCTCCTGTTCCCCCAACCAAACAATTTCAGCCGGCCCGTTAGATTGTCAACCAGTCATTCATCCGACGACATCATGTCTGTCAATTCGAGCCATGAGCGCAATGAGCGGAGTGAGCGGAGTGAAGTACCACGAGCAGGAAGAGGAGGCCCTCCGGGGAGGAAGGTCGAATTCTTCAGTCCGGCGACTTTCCAGCAAGTTCTCCAGGACCCAACGACGATGCACCAGCTTCTTCTCTTCAGCAAGTCACGCCTTTGTGGGGAGGATGTCGAGTTCCTTGGTCGTGTGAGTATGTTGCGTGTAGCATATCGTTTCGATCGCCCTGACAGTCGTATGCATCGATAGACTGAACAGTACAACAAGCTGCTGGCTGAAATGACCAAAATGCTTGTGGACATTGATCAAGACTTTCTCTCCCCTAGGGCGCACAGCCAGATCAACATGCCAGAGGCGCTGTTAGACACGACCCACAATCGGGTTAAGCTCGTTGTGAAGAAGACGATGCCTGTCATGGAGCTGGTACTTCGAGAAGCACAGCAGACCATGGAGCAGATCGTCTTCGCCGATATCTACCCGCGATTTGTCCGGCATCAAATGACAATGAGCGCTTCAAGAGCGCTTGCGAATGATCGATACAAGTACCAGGGACTCGGAGATTGCTTTTGCTTGACAGATCCACGGTTCGYTCCATTCCACCGTAGCTATCAACTTAGGATCTCTTCATCAGATCGAGAGTCTCGAACTGCGTGAGATTCTTCTCTCGATGTAGTTGCTGGGTCCAAAGGCAACGAAGACCTCTCTGTTAGCAGGTTCGATCAACAGGCTATCGAGGGACGTCGCTAGAGGTACAATCTGGTTGAAGAGGCTCTATCTTGAACAACACTGCGTTTCACTGCGAGGAGACACGTCTGTCTAACGATTGTGTTAGGATTGCCGACAACCCAATCGTCTACGCGAGCGATGGCTTCATTCAAGTCACTGGCTACTCAAGAAAGCAGGTCATCCCGCGTAATTGTCGATTTCTTCAAGGTGAGTCCGTCTGTACACTTGAGTCTTACCTGTCTGACTTTGAGACAGGACAGGATACCGACCAAGCCGCGATCAGTCGCTTACGAGATTGTATCAAAATGGGAAAGGAATCAGTGGAGCTGATCCTCAACTACAAGCAAAATGGCGAGCCGTTCTGGAATCTGCTATACTGCGGTGAGTGAGCTCTTATCGTCCGTCACCTACAAACAACACTGACAGCGTTCAGCACCTCTTTACGGGGCGAATGGCGAGATTGATTTCTTCATTGGCGGTCAGATCAATGCATCCACCACCATTCACTCGAATGCAGATATCATGAATGTTCTTGGAAGTTCAGACAAGCAATCCGAGCCATCGCCTGTTCCCACGCCACCAAAAGCTCCTAGTATCAGACCTCCCTCATCTCGCAACTTCTTCAAGACCGCGCTTAGATACACACAGCGGCAAGAGCCAGTACAAGTCTTGACTGAAGCTGGTGCAGAAGTCGGCATGCTTCGCGATCTAGAAGGCAAATCCCTTCCATCGCAAATGCAGCAATTCTACTCCGCATATTCAAAGGTAAGTCGTCGGCAAGGAACCACGAATACATTCATGTTCTGACTGAAGTAGTACCTTGTCGTGAGATACGACACCATGAAGGTCGAATACAGCTCCAAAGGAATCTTCGAGGTTCTGGATCCTGCAATCATTGGGAATTCCACGGCGGTTGGAATGAATGTCTTCAAATTCTTCAAGCTGAGCATGATAGCCCGGAATCAGAACGATTACCAAAGGAAGGTAGAAGCAGCTCTCAAGCAGGGAAGTGCCATTACCGTGCTGCTTCAGCTGCAAACCCGACGTTCGGCGGTCTTCAGAGGTGATGAGGCTTTTGCTGTGCATTGGACGCCGATCAAGGACGAGTACGCGGCAGTGCGGTATCTGGCGATTTGCTTGAGTCCTACCCTTGAGTGACGGTGATAACCAAATCTCAACACTTGCGGAAAAGGCAGTGACCGAAGTGCTGAAGTGCCTCTCGATATCATGATACAGGGTCAGTACGTCATCTATCACCTTCCTCAAGTTCGATCGTGTCGCTAATTTAAGCTAAAGATCATAATAGTAGTGCCATCTGCGAGACGGACACCTATAGCTACAGCGGCGTCTGATTGTTCAAAGGCCTGAGTCAGGTTGTTTGCTCAATGTAAAGGTTTGCAGGACAATACCCTCGCAACAAATCAAATCCAGTCTCCTCCTCACTGTTTCAAATATTGAACAATCTCCAAGCATATCTTTATGGTTTGAAGCCCAAGACAGTGCAAGGGCAGCCACCCAGCACGTTTCGCATTCTCAGGAACGTGGAGCTTGGATTTAAAGCAAGCTTGGAAGCATTTCATGAACGAGGAAGGCGCCAAAGGCGAGATAAAGCCAGTTGCATACGCTGAGATGAGCTGATAAGGATCTTCGCGATGGAAGGACATTAGTTCTGTCTTGTATGTGCTCCGTCGAATCAAGGACGTCAATRTGAGGGTGCAGATGGTTGGTACCATGGGCTTGTGTGCCTCTGACTTGCCTTGGATTCTCTGCCCAGTATCGACTCCTCCTTCGCATATAATATCGCTTCAAACAGTAGCAGGTTGCGATAGTCGCAAGATGCTGTAGCAAGTCATATGAGCGCAGTGGCTATTGCGGCGATTGACACGCTGTATGCATGGAGACATCAGACAGACAATTCTAGCCGCTCCGGCCGCCAAGAAATTCTCATGAAAGAGAGTCCGTGCATCTTGCATCGCTTCCCGTACATGAGCGAAAACTAACAGACATTGTCACCACCTCGCTCCGCCTTCAAAAATACAAAATGCTTAGGCAAGTGGAGAACATTTCATTACATTCCGCATGGTATACACGCCAGTCTAAGAAAGAAGTTTTAACACACAATACAAGGCTGGCAAACATCTTCGTGGGCATCATCGTAGGGAAGAGGTACCTACTTCCTGCTTCGTTCGTCGTGCGCTGTTCGCCCCATGAGAAAAGCTTTTTTTTTCATCCACGCATTGCTAAGCCGTCAAATGAGTAATCGTGCGTGCCTACGAGCATCAGTCGAAGTCCAATTCTAGGAAGCCAATGCCCTAGCGCCACCTCGGCGGTTGTTCTTGGGCTTCGCGGCGACGGTACTCCAACCATCATCCTCCAACTCGTCTGCTGTTGTAGTTGCATTTGCACTTCCACCAGCGGGCACAACCACTTCTCGAGGCTTGGTCTCCTTATCGCCAACGATGTTGCCGTTAGCCGAAGCATCGACAGCATCTCCATCAACTGAAGCCTCGTCGCCATCTTCGCGTTGAAGAATGCTGAAGCTGGGCTTTGCTGCCGGTGCTGCTCCCTCGCCATTCTCCTTCGCCTGAGATTTGCCGCCGTTTTGTTGTTGACGGCGATCACCACGAGGTCGGTCGYCAGTCGGAGAGGTCACATTCTCACCGTCCTCATTTTGGCCGCGATCTGCGCGGTCGCCGCGAGCCGCCCTGCCCGCAACATCACGGGTTGCCTTCTCATCCCTAGCCTTGTCGTCGGCCTCCTTCTTCTGTCTGATAGCAAGTTCACGCTTCTCTTCAATCTCGCGCTCACGCTGCTGGGTGTCGATAGGACGAGCAGCACCGAATGGAGAAGCCTTTGCATCTCCGGATGGTGTGGTGGCTGAGCCAGTTTCGGCGGTGGATACTGTGCGCTTAGTCAAATTCAGTCTGGGACGCTCCTTTGGTGCATCCTGAGCAGGAGACGTTGGTGTTGACATTTCAGGTGTGGCGGCGGGAGAGGGATCCGGACGCATTTTTGAACGCCATTGGGAGTCGGTCTCAGCCGCAGTTGGGACGCGGTCGGCGACAGGACGAGGCTCAAACTCTCTCCGTGGAGGCCGCGAGCCGGCATCGGACTGACCATCACGGGCCTCGCGACCCTCACCCCATCCGGCTGGGCTTCCTCTTCTCTCGCGTGGGTCGCCAACGTCACGCAGTCTACCCCCGTCGCGCACTGGTGGACCAGCACCTGGAGCTGGAGATAGAGGGCCCTTGCGCTCCCAGTTGCCAAAGTCGCGCACCTTGCCATCGCCCTCGAAAAAGCCTGGCTTACGATCGCCGCCAGCATCGGAGGCGTTGTCGAAGTTTCGGCCAGAGAATCCGCGGGATGGCTGTCTGCCTTGTGCTGGAAGGTCTGGTAGTGGGCCGCGACGACTCCAGTCGGAGAAGTCAYGGGTCTGTTCTGGACGGTCATTCTTGGCTGGGTAAGTGTCAGCGAATGCACTTATGGCAATGGCATGTAAGGAAGATACATACGAGGATCAGCCAAGCTAATCTTGATGTTGCGGCCCATGAAGCTAGACTCTGATTTGTTCAAAGCCTTCTGGAGACCTTCGGGCGAACCGAACTCGACATAACCAAAGCCTTTGGGCTTGCGGTCAATCTTGTCCTCCATGATKCGGACGGTGGTGACCGAACAATCGGCAAGGAAGTCCTCGACGTCTACCGAAGTGACATTGTAGTCGAGGTTACCGAGATGGGCGGTGTACGGTGGCTTGGTTGGGAAAGGAATCTCCTCGCGGTCATATCGTGGACGGTCTGATACATGTCAGCGTGTCATGCTCAGAAATCATGGTGTCGTCTGCCTCGTGTCGAGTGCTACTCACCAAAGCTGTCGCCACCCATACCAGACGATGCGCCGCCTCCCATACCGCCACCAGAGCCGGCACGCTCCCACGAAGCCTGGCCGAAGCCGCGACGTTCGCCATCGCCGCCGGCAGTGCGATCGCGCATGCTGTATGCGTTACTGGAAGCGGCTGGCAGCGGCTGCGAGTCCATCTCGTCGGCCCATGATCCAAGAGCTGTGTTCCCGATATCAGCATTGCCCTCTTATAGTATGTCCTGCTTCCCTTCTTCCTCTCCCTCGAGTGCAGTGGGGTGGGGACGCGTACATTGGTTGGTCAGGAAGTCGCCCAGAGCCATCTTCTCCTGCTTTTTTTTCGGCGCTGCATGTTCCGTTAGCCATGTTCCTATTCCAATCCATGTAGTCGACCATCGCGCATGCGTGTATCTGTAGTAGCGCGCGCAGCAATGGAGACTCGGCAGGCAAACGCACCCATGATTGCGGTAGTGGGGTGCGAAGGCACAAGTGGCGTTCGCGGTTGTCGAGGGTTCGGGGTTGTGGAGAGACAATGTGTCTCCTCGTAGGCGTAGGTGTTGTCTGACTGACGGCTTCAAGTGGGTGTCAAGCGCTGTTTATGGCGCTGGGTTGACGTGAGCTCAGTRAGTATTCTTTGGTGAAGTGCGCGAGATCGAAAATGACGGGTTCCAATCCAGTTTAGGCTGATCGGCTGCTGCCGGCACGCGCCGATCTCTTGATCTTGATCCCGAGATCTTTGTTGAATTCACTCCTTCTCGTCTTGATCTGGATCATCTTGATTGCATCATGGAGACAGGCCGTCGAACTACCAAGGAGCCGGTGTATATTTCCGCAGTGGAACCCGCGTTAAAGGCTGGCGCTGCTTGTGGTCAGTTATGAATCTTTCTTACACCCCTGATATTGCCATTCGTGCATGTGAAAGCCTGCATATCAATAAAGGGCTTCTGCATCTGCAAGAAACGGTGCGGCGCTTTTCATCACACATGTTCGACGGGGCATTGAGACATCTCGCACGTACTGATCTTTCTCTTGTAGGTAGCGTTGGGTTTCTCTTTGGTGGCGCATCAGGAATCATCCGTGGAGCGCCAGGTTTTCTGTTCGCCTCTGCATCGGGAATGCAAACGTTCGCTCTCGGAAGTACTTTCTCTCTATTACGTACGACAATCATCCACAATTGGACTACCGATGGACAATCACCAAAGTCCAAGGATCTGGTCAAAGCCAGTGCACTTGCAGGGGGACTCTCTGGTGGACTCCTTGGCTTCATTACTCGCGGCCGTTCGAATGGCATCCCCGGAGCTATCATGTTTACTATCTTTGGAGCTGGAGGACAGCACATTTACAATAGATGGACAGCGCCAAAGGACCTGAATTTAGAACCCAAGAAGAACTTCTGGAAGCGGATGAGTGAGAGAAGCTGGACGCCGTTCCGAGTTCTTAGTAACGACGAGTATGCTGAAATGCTACGCGAGAAGGTGTTAAAGCTGGATGTTGAAATTGCTGTGCTCGACGACAAGATTGTAGCTCTGAGGGAGCAGCAGGCCCGGGAGGAAGCCGCGGCCGCCTTGAATCCAAAGACGACCGAGGAGAAGCGGGCTGGTTCGGGCTGACCAGTCTGAGATGTGAAATTCTTCACCGGCCCTCGAAGGACTGATTTGAACATGTCTAGGACTGGCCAAAGGAATTCGCGTGGAGAGCCAGATCGACCGCAGACCTGCGCAGCCCTGCTCAGCGGCCGCATTCCTCGACATGAGCAGCGCAGTAGATGGTTCAAATTGTGATCCCGCGGCTTCTCGCAAGACGCGATGCCGTCTGGGATGCAACATCAAGCTGCGATTGGTGGTGGCCCAGTTCAGCATCGACATGGTGGTACCCGATGTAAACCCTCGCCCCAACATAGTTGGTCGCAAGGATGCAGAGCACAGGACCCTCGCGTGGGACATTGCTGCATTTCACGAGAGATGCAAGTAGGTCTGTCTGCTTCACTGCGGACACCTTGAATCTGATGGGGAATCGATAGCAGCTGAAGCAGGGATTGTTTTGGTTACAGCCACAACGAAGATTGTGAGTATCCATCTACTTTTATATCATGTTCTGCAAAAGAAAAGCATCTCTGCGCTCTCTCGAAGTATGTCCATGTTGGTCTCCTGTGTCGTCCCTTCCTGTTCAGTTGAAGCGTCTCAGCACTCCCCGGCCAATCGGCAGCACACTTGAATGATGAGCTGGCTCTTCCATGTGACTTCATTTGCACGAGCAAGAGTAATAGCATGAGCACGAGTCCATTCACTCATGCTGCGCCCCGCTCCCGTCGGTACGCTGCAGAAAAGCCTATTTGGTTTGCATCAAACAGCAAAACTTCGCTTGCCTGCATCATCATTCGTTTGACATACAACCGCGAATCAAAGAAGCATCATACAACATGTCGCACGATCCGCGATATGTCCCGTCACCACGGCACCCACCGGCAGCTGGAGCCACCGAACCCCCGAGAATTCAAGAGGGATTCTATCGCGCACGAATCGTCGACATCCCTAAACGTCGCGAAATATCTTCTCGTGCCTCTGCTCGATCAGAGAGTCAGCAGCCGATGATGGACAAGCCTGAGGCCACCAACACGAGTTCCAAACTACGCCATGCTCATGATCACGCGCATCACTCCAACAGTCCGAGTCACGATGTGCGTCCTCCTCCGCCACCTCATTCGCCAAGCCAGAGGAGCGTCAGCATTGTGCGGAGTTCCTACATGGAGTATGAGTCTAGCGCCCCGTCGAGGTCGCCTCACTTCAGCCAGCCATTTCTTCGTTCACCACATCCAGCCACTCATCAGCAGCAAGAAGATGTGAGGTTGTCGCCTACCGCCGCGCTCCGCGCCTCCCGCGCATCTCGTAGCTTCCAGCATGAAGCAGAAGCGATCCCCCATCAGTCGGCTCCTCCACCCCGTTTTTCTCATAGGCGAGAGGAATATGATCCGAGGAGACTGCTTCCCACTGCAGTTCGTCCTCCTCAGGCTTTCCAATTTGAGCTTGAGGAAGAGCCCCCTCAGCACCACTCCTCTGAGCCTCATGTACCCGGCCGCTTTCCTTCCTCCCCAGATCCCCTGCGACAACCAACGGATACCCGGATGGAAGGTCTTGTGGAGGAAGTTCCGAGACTGCGTCCGAAGGCCGGAAGTTACCGCGAATTGCACCCCTATGAGCTTGGAATGGTCTATTCCACTCATTCTCTAAACCAGACTCGACCTCTAACTACCAACTACGACCAGCAGAACGGTAGCGACCTCACAGAGCCATTCATCTTCGAGATCCCAAGTTCCGGAAAAGTAGACCATGACGGCAGCAGCAAGACGACTGCCACATCGAAGCAGGCTGCCTATTACGCCCGCAATCCCGCGCATGAGGCCGAGACGTACCCGCTACTCCGTCGTCTTGGCGATGACGAGCGATACGCAACTTCTTTCCGCACCGAGCGGGACGGGGCTGATGGGCAAGGTGGAGAGGTCATGCAAACGGACCCAGCTGAGATTGATGTGAGGGCCATCGAGAATGAGAGGCGCGAGGCGGACAGGAGAAGTGGGCGCTGAAGCGGCTGACCAAACGATTGCATGACTTGGGCTCGGTAACACCAGTTGGGCGGAGTGGTTCCGATGTGCGTCGGCCGCACCATATCGATCCAAGTGAGTGATGCTAAGTTCCAAACTGGAAGGGAGAGTGGGCCAATACGAGGCACACATATCTTACAAGGCACACTCAGGGTATCATCCTCGATGGCGTTGGAGTGCATGACTAGGAGACATGCCACTTTCTGGTATGCAGCAAATTAGAAGACTCGAACATGGAATGCCCAATGGATTGTTTGATCACTTCAGTGTTTCCGCTGCCTTTTCATATTCATGTCAACCACTTCTCCCTTGACGACGGTTGTACCATACCATTTAGGTACCTGATCACTTATCCTAGGCGTTGGAAACTGCTATAGCAGGCCCGCTATCCAAATCGAGTATTCGGTACGATCGCTGTCTCTGTCATAGTTCGATGGCTTCTCATAACGATGAGCAACATATCGCCCCTACAACACGACACCTCAAGCACTGTCGGGCTCGAACCCATATAAGACACCGAGCAGTTAACGACGAGAAAATGCCGATGCCAAGCGGTGCACTTACACTTTCAAAAAGTGCTCACCAAAGTAGGCAAGCAAAGTGTACACGTTGTTTAAATGACCTGAATGGTTCATCAAATGCCACCCAAGTGATCACATGTGAATGAGCGGTGTCTTCCCTTCCATCCAGTCTTGCACGGCATCTCGAGCACGTTCCATGCAACAAGGACAAACATCAGCCCTACAACCAATCCACAACATTCCTGTACCCCCCTCGTCAAAGGTTTTGCCGTACACATTCCGGCTCACCGATGTCGAAAACTGCGGTGTCGTAATTTCCACGTGATATTTCACAAGGCAGTAAAATAATCGCGCAACCGCTTCCCCCGCCCTGCGCGAATTACCTCTCGATCGACATGACAACAGATCAAGGCAGCTGATCAAGGAGGAGCTCGGCTCATATGTAATAAGAGGTCTTTTCCTCGTGGTTCTCATTTGTCGTTAACTTGTCTGCTCATAAGCAGTTGTACCTAATGTTCCTAGGCCATCATCACCATCATCAAAAATGCACGCTTGAAACGCTGGATTCAAACACGCAGATGTGTTGCTTCCACAACAATACCTTGTCCCTCCTTCACATTAATACGCGCTGACTCCCACCCAGCGACTGGGAATATTCCCCGCCCGAATTGGTAGTGGACATACGTCCCTCGGGGGAAGGCAGATCTTCGCTCGTCCTGTCTCAAGCTTTCCTTCCCTTCGCATGTTCATCTCCAAAACGACCACACGCAAGAAATCCGGATTCTCTCTGACCTCACGCCGACGGGCAATCTCTGGTCCTAGCAAAGCCCTACCGGCCTCTGAGCTTGGGCTGGGGCTACCTCGCTTCGATCCACCTCGTCGTCGACCGCGATTGTAGGTCTGCATCTGGATGGTAGGTGCACTTTCGACTGCCTCGGCGAGGTAAGGTGCGTGCAGTGCTTGCTGGAATGGAGCCTCCCACTCTTCAAAAGTCAGAGGGATGGGGTTAAGGTACCGTCGTTGGGCTTCATTCGCATCTCCATCGAATGCCGGCCGGATCTCAGAACTGAAGCGCGGGAATAGAAACGGATGGGACCATAGCATGTGGTCGATATGAGGAGCAGCGTGCCCATGTAGCGCTGGCGGGGCGCTGCTTCGGGCGAGTGACGATATAGAGCTGACAGCAGCTTTCTTGAGCGACTGCAGCGACAAGGTAATATTTGACTTGAATGAAGAGGATTTCGGTGTTGCAGGCGTTCTCTTTTGCGTTGGCAATAGCAATTCGTCGTCTTCGTCTTCTGAATGCGGTGCCAAAGGATGATCCTGTGCGCAGTCTTCCACAGCAGGCAGTGATCTTGATTTTTCCTTCTTCAGATTGGAATACGACCGCCGGCTACGAAGTGAGCCAGGTGTCGATGGGCTGCCCACTGACATGACTGAGCGGTCATCCGATGCGAGCGAAGGCATCGATTCGCTTGAAGCACTTCTGGCGGTGAGGTAGCTGGTCTTGTGAGAACAGTCTTTGGAGAACAGATAATCGGTGTCCTCCAAGAGCACACTGAGGGCAGCACTGCTCCCATAACTTTGCTTGAGCGAATCATCGCTCTTCCATTCACTGACCAACTCCTCAATGGAGATGCGACGGTCATTGCCTCGTCTGCGATGGCGGTTTGATTTTCGCGGAGGAATGGCAGTCACGGCTAGCAAGGCGGCGATGGCTGGCGGTAATGCGTTGGGATCGTGTGCGTGTGCGACGTGTTTTCGCCGACCAATCGAAGTCGGAAGGGTGGCACTTCTGGGAGAGCGCATGTTGGAATCTTGAGACTCTGAACTGCCGATCGCAGACACTCGAGCATTGATCGACTTGGGCGACGGAATTTGAACAGGTCCTGTCGATCGTTGGGGTGGTGATGAAGGTGGTGACACAGCAGGAGCACTTTCRGCCACGTTTGCGAGATTGTTTGGGATACTTCGAGGGGCAGCGGATCTGCGTCGAGTCTTCTCACGCGGGCGGTCCATGTATTTGAAGGATGCCGGAACAAGCATGGTCATTGACTTCAGACGGACCCGGACGAAGCGGCTCTAGTTATTAAAGACCAAAAGCAAATGCAGGAGTCAGGTGATTATGAGGTCGCCAGCATCCGTGTTGACGGGCGCCCGCCGCGAAAGGGAACCTAAGGTCCGGTGAATCGGAAGGGCTCCAGGGTTCTTCTCTCGTAAGCCCAGCCAATAGTATGAGGTAGACAGCACCAGGGGGGCGATCGTACGTGCGAGAGTCGTGAGCAGAAGTTTTCTTCAGGTGGATCGTTCTCAGGAGACGGAAGAGCAATAAATTACAACGGCGTTTGATGAAATAGCGACCGCGAGAGTGTCGGGCAGATCAAGATAGGACAGACAAGGTGATGTGTGACAGCGGGCGGCGTGGGGTTAGAGTCATCTGCGAATCCTTTCACGCTTTTGTCGGTACATCGGTTAGGCCAAGAGATAAGGAACTGACGCATGGTGATTGGACAAAGCCTCGGGGTCTGGCTCGAGTCTCGTCCTGGCCGTACCGCCCTGTCAGCACGCTGGATATGGTTCACCCTGCAGATAGACGTTCAGGTTGTTTCTGCCCCTGCCGCTGCACGCTGGCGCGGCTGAGCTGCCCGATACTGCACTTATCGCTGCAGCAACATTGGAACTTGCTGCCCATTCATCGCCTCGCAGATGACGACTGTGGCCACTGGGCAAATACCTGCTGCTTGAGGCTTAGCCGCCGAGAATGGCCGCTTTTAAGCTGCTTCCTCATGGCTTCTAGCGCAGATCTCGCTGGATTTTGTCTTTTATTAGCTGGGCTGCCTGATGCTTGTCGTGCGCAAAGGGTCCCGCATCCGACCAGGAGCAGCCTGGCTGGTTGTATCAAAGGGTCCGTTAGCACTGCCCAGGATGAGGCTCAATACCCGATTGACCAAAGCAAACGTGGCGGTTGGCTTCCGCCGGAGATGGTACACAGGTGGTGAACGGGTGCGGTCCACGATGGAAATCGCCGGGCCCACTGTCTAATGCACTCCGTGATCGGTACTTTAGGTTGCTCGGTACGCGTCTCGACAGGCTGGAGCCGCACAGCTCACAGTACATTATCATTCGCACGAGATGCGGAGGCGAAAGATAAGGTCAGACGATGGAAGCAAGTTTGCCGAACATGGCATGATTTCGACATGTCTGACAACACCTTCGACATTAATCGCTGGAAGTCCATACCGACGTTCAGTCTCGCCGATTCCGGCTGGGACGTCAACGATTCTTTTGCTTTTCTTTCGCACCTACTCCACCAGCAGACGCTATAGTGCAATTCGCTTCACTGCTGACCTATCGCAGTTGTCGAAAGTCCCCTGCACACGGTCGTCATTGGGATTTCGCATCCACTTGCAGCCTTATGAAAATGACCCGAAGCTCGAATAATCCCAGCAGCAGATTTACGAACACGTCATCCGTTTGCGACACGCTCTCGAGTCTCTGGTCACTTGACTCGGCCGTCCTTTGCTTGGAAAGGTCCCATCACATGATGTAAGCCGACGGCGCCCTCGCGCTGCCCGGTATCAGCGTATCAATGCTTCGCGTCAGGTCATCACCACCACCATCAACGAACACACACGTCAGAGCAACCGTGATCGAAGGGATAGAGAAGTGCCCGATGCCAGTCAAGGTATCCACCGAGCTATTGTCTACGAGCAAATTGGCCATCATTGATTACGAGGGCGGAGCCCGAATTCCAGTAATTCAGCACAGTAGTCAATGGATCGCGATTGTCATAGAAAGGTGGTGCTCGCGTAAGCATTCTCACCACGATCGAGAGTTTCTGGACGCGACACCTCCTTCATCCGGTGGAGACCTCTCCAGTCTGGTCATCCCGCAATCAGGGCGAGAGCATGAACGGGAGCGGCACTCTGTGCTGGATGCAGAGGCGAATCACAGGCCCTGTGCATGAGGACGACATGTGAGTGAACTCCCTCCGACTGGAAGCGGCATTTGCCGCGTGATGTCTTGGTGAGACTCAGAGTCAGCAGTAGTCACTACTAGTGTGCCAGCGTGTACAGTAGCTCGAGAGTAGTCCACAGTCAACACACAGAGCCAAACTCTCTCGCGAAAATCTTTTGATCCTTCATCGACATCGACAAACGCAGCATGTGGGATTGGGTTCAGACATAAGTTACTGCCAAGGCAAAGCACGCTGCATCAATTTCTCATTGGCCCTTCCATGCACAATAAAGCTTTGAGCAAAGCACCGAAGGCTAGCCAAGATGCTAATATGGGTACACTGTTGTATATTTCTTTTTTTACGCGCCTTTCTTACCGATGACGATGGATCAATAGCAAAGTGCAACATTATCGAGATACCTCCGATTTTCATCCGTCGTGAGAGTGGCACATTGGCAAATCCGGTGGACCCGCCAGCGGATCTACATATACCTCCGCTCGACGGTTCGGATCTGTCTGTAACACGTGCCATCCGAGAGATACAGTACGAACGACACCCTATCAGCCCGTAAAGATGCGAATCACAATAATGGCCTCAGAGGAAGAACAGCGTTCCTCGAAACGTAGCAGGCTTCGAGGTTTTTACAATATTCGGCCTCGTACTTCACTCATAGATGCCTCATAGAGATCTGGGCGTTCGTTGCGATTTGGCGGCACCTGCGTTCCGCTTTCTCCAGGTCAACAAACCACTGTTCACCGCCGACGGTCTGCGCCTCATGGCACCCGGAACTACAGATGCCGCATACCGAACGAGGAAGATGAGAACAAGCTCTCCGGTTTAACCCACGCCGAGCATTCTCGGTCTCAGCGTCCTTTTCAAAATGACAGCATACGGCGGCAGAGACGACAATTTGTTTGCAGCCGCAGTGGGAGACGCCATATCCTCTTCAGCTGTCAATGATGGGACATGTCCGGAAATCCGATTCAACCAATTAAATCCCACCGCACGAGGAGGATGTAATAATGTAACCTTATCCTGGGAAAGAGACTCCCGCCAAGTTCAACTGAACTCCCATGGACGATGATTGATTTGTACAAGATGCGAATGTACCATTGGTAGCTGGCGATGATACAGATAAGAGAAACCTGTTTGTGAATGAACCCACGAAGCCAGGCGAGCCGTTCAAAGGTCTAGAACTACCGCTTCAACCAGGACGCCGTTGCTACCCTTAGCCTTGGCTCTGCCACACCTGCGGTGTCAGGACCATATACGTGCCAAATGATAAGCAATGTGGTCTACTTGATGATTGAGAAGCTGACTTAACTCTTTTCAATAGTCGGGTCTTATAGAGGGCCCCTTCATGTCTTCACTGCTCCCGCCAATAAGCTCATCTATGCCCCCTATGCTATCGAGAACCGCGCCGTGCTGCCGATCATGATGAGATACATTTTATCCTTCCTACGCACGCTGAACCCGAACACGATGAGGGATCCCAAAGCTCCAGATTGGAACCCTTTGAATGCCCTCCTGTCCGCAGCGGGTCGTGGTACAAAATGACGAATCCATGCTGGAAACCATCTCGGACGAGCAGCCGAGTCGGTGTGTCTCCTGGGAATCAGTCGATCCGCTCAGAGCTCGGTAGGCGCCTGGAACTTGAGTGCTGGAAWACTGGCCAGAATCCCGCTGCACACGTTGTCCATCTACGGTCGAGAGATTGCCGCAGTCCTCGACATACGACGCCGCTCGAGCGAGAATATCGCCTGTGTAGACCTGATGGAGTGATATGACGCTCTACGTAGCGTGCCCCAGTCTTCCGAGACAAAGGTCCGTCCCATGCAGTAGGGGCTGGCTGATCTCGAACTGCCTTCGGCGAGCAAAAGTCGTGCTAGGGTGGAGGACCTCACATGCGTCCCTGACCTGAGCGAACTGGTCGCACCTGCCCCATGAAGTAGGCCGATCCGATACATCCATGTCATAACCCATGTCAAATCTGCCGAAAATGACCAGGAATACAGGTGATACGCACACGCATGGCCTCGCGTCTGGTTCAATAACGCGTGTGATAGCTCTTCTAGGATAAGAACGTTCATATGCTTATGCTGTGCCGGCCTCGCTACATGACGATGCGCAATAACTCCAAAGCAAGTCTAATCAGGGGTATAATTTCCTCCAACGGAAATGCAGAATGCTCTATGTCTATGTAGCATGACGGCTAGGTCAGCGATGCTGTCGATATTGAAAATGTTCAAATTAAAGGAAGCCGTATGAGCGTGCCATATAGCGCAGAGAGAATAGAAGAGCGACCGAAATCGACATCCACCGAAGCGTAGTCCAGAGAGAGTCGTGAATCTTCTCTTTCAAGACAGCCCGGTCTAGTTCTTTGACGAGTAGGATTGAACGATCAAAGAGCTTCTGAGAAACGTCCACGATGTCTTGCTTCTCTTCCGAAGTGAGTAAAGTTTCTGCTTCCACGAGCTGATCTTTGAAGCCAGCCTTGAGGTCCTCGCCATCCTGATTGCCAGGGAAGGAGAGAAATGAAAATCCAGGAAGCTCGAGTGAAGCAACTTGGTCGTCTCCTGCGGGTACAATTATGTCAGACTCTTGTACCCAGAACTCCGCTCCGCCATTCGCGAGTTGTTGACGAATCCAACGTCCTACGAGCTATCAGTATTGTCCACTTCACCTCATACGCAAAGTCTTACCTCCAGAGAATACGGCCATGTAGAAGACCCATGCAAAGGCTACAAGTACATGCGGCTTCTCTCGAATCAGGAATCGCATGTCTTTCGTCCATGCTTCTCCCAACTCGGGCGTAGYGAACATGCCAGGTCCGGCCGCGGTCCTCAAATGGGTCATATCGTCCTTGATGCGAGCAGTTCGGGGTAGACCAGTGGGTCGCAGATTAACTAGCCACTTCTTGACCGCGCGCTCGTGCTCGGTGTMATTGCCCTTCTCCACATGGCGTGCGAGCAGATCCCATTCAATTTCGAACAGTAAGAAGATGCGAGCGAACGGGACAAGGCCTTTGCTATACAGCAGCGGTGTTGCGGCGTGCGGTGGCAGTGCGAGCGGGAGACGATGCATCAGCAGTCGATTAAGCTCCGTATGCTGCTTCCGCGTAGCAGCGTTGATCTGACCCGACACGGTGGCGCCAGGTAGAGTGGCCATGGCGGTTGGCGGGGGAGTAGGCGGCGATGGGATGGATAGCGACATGATGTCGTCTTATGTAGGGCTACAAGAGCCGAGCGCAAAGAACAAATCGATGTGCATCTTGCTTCACAAGTCAAGATGGCACGATCAAGGCGGGATTGATCAGGTTGCGTGCATTTGCGTGTGATCACGTCGACATGTGATGATATCTCATAGTACTGGAGTACGAGGCGAGACGGGACTTGCTTCTCACGCGACGTTGACGCGAGGGGCACTCGGATATTGGATCCGAACCAGAAAAACCGTCCGCTGAGTCGCGTGCAAGCGTTTGTGGAAAGCTGAAACGGAGAGGGAAGTCGCCGTGCCAACGCCCGCTGCTTGTGAGGACTAGCATCTTTACACCTCCGATCCCTCCACAGATTTGCAGGCCCATCTCCCGCTCCAACCWCCAGAAGCACAGGACGACATTCGTCACCGTCGCCATCATTTCTCCGCGCATGTAGTCCGGCTTGTATACACTACGAGCTGCTGCATACCCAAATACACGTCAACAATAACATCCAACAACGGCGAGAAATTCCAACGCGCAAACGCTGCGTCCAAGCTTCGTTCGTCCCGAACCCGACAGCTTAGTTCTTCTGCATTCCTCCCCACGCGCACATACCGGTAGCCCATGATCCGCCAATAAGGCCGCCATTTACTGCTGGCTGGCAGCTCGAGCCTCATCATGGACACTTCCTATCTGTCGCAGCAGGTCACAACCATTGTCGAGCGTCTGCATGGCTTCTTCGACGAGATTGGCGTGCCCAGCCACGAGCGCGATTCACGAGAGTCCGAGGTATGGGAGAGACATGTTTGAAAGGACGGTAATAGACCACTGACCGCCATAGCTCTTCTCCGCTCTATCAGAAACACTCCACAATCAGCTCAATCTGGTGGCCAAGGAGAAACATGACCTCACCGAAGAGGCACAACGGCTTATCAAGACCATTCGCCAGATGGAGCGCTCGCTCGACGACACCCGCCCCAAGGACGACTACGARGCTGAAAAGGACGGACTCAAGATCACATTTCCCCTCGTGAACTGCATACAACGTCTGAAGGAGAAACACCACACTATTTCAAAGCTCCACCGTGAGCGCTACGAGCAAGTCAAGAAGCTCGTGGAAGCTCTGGAATCATATGCATCACACATCGAGCCGGCTTTCGTCAAGATCAAGCTGCCCCCTACGTCTCCCAAGGCCGAGATCCCACCCACGTTCGACCTATCGCCTACCTATGTCACCAAGCTGGACGATGAATTCACCCGCGTTTACGACGAATACAATAGGCGTCTTGCGACAGTGTCCCAATGCGCCGAGGACATCATTAATCTCTGGTCCGAGCTCGGCACACCACAAGCACAAGTCGACAGCCAAATTGTTCAATTCGCACGAGATGCACCCGAACAGCTTGGTCTGCATCAGGAAGACCTCAAGCGACTGACTTCGAAGCGCGATAAGCTCGTCTCAGAAAAGCAGCAGCGAGAGCRGAGGCTCAAGGAGCTGCGTGTCACGGTCGAAGCGCTTTGGGATCGATTGGGTGTGGATGACAGCGAGCGAAAGCAATTCCTTGCTGCCAATCGTGGGTGTGGCGTCCGCCAGATTAACGAATTCGAGGATGAATTATCCAGACTGAACGAGCTAAAGCGCCAAAATCTCCACATCTTTGTCGAGGATGCGCGGTTCAAACTTCAGGAGCTGTGGGACGGGCTGTACTATTCAGAGGAGGAGATGCTGGACTTTACACCTGCTTTCTCCGACGTCTACTCTGATGCTTTGCTATCGGCCCACGAACACGAGATCGCGCGATTGGAAGCGTTGAGGGACCAGCGGGCCCCAATTATCGCTGCCGTGGACAAGCATCGCAGCCTGATTCAGGATCGGGAGGACTTGGAGAAGAGCAGCCACGATGCATCAAGACTGATGATTAAAGGTGCAAAAGGAGAAAAGCGTGATCCTGGCAAGCTGCTTCGTGAGGAGAAGATGCGCAAGCGCATCGCAAAGGATCTCCCCAAAGTCGAGGCCGATCTCCGCAGAACACTCGAGTCATGGGAGGAAGAATACGGGAGGCCCTTCTGTGTCTACGGAGAGCGATATCTGGACGCACTAGATGCGGCTCAATCGAGAGCTCCTCCCCCACGCAGCAAGACACCCAATGCTTTGAGCTCCACCATGAGAGACGCGCCGAAGAGCGCAGGTCGTGCTTCAGCCGCGCCACAATCCCAAGGCAGAAGCAATACTGTGCGCGGCGGGAACCCAACTAGGAGCAAGACCCCGACCACGATGTCTGGACGTAACCCACTGGCTTCATCCACCATGTCCTTCTCGCAGTCAGTCATGGGTACTAGCTCGACCATGAAGAGCCCGTCCAAGATTCCTGGAGCATCATCGTCACGTCTTCCCATGGGCTCTCTTCGGGATGGTAACAACTCTCCGGAGCGCCGCGAGAGAACCAAACATGCTCAGTACCAGACCGAGGGCGAAGAGATGAGCCGCACGGTCCGTGGTAACATGGGCCCACCAAAGGCGCCTCCACCTCCGAGGATGAAGGACTTGTTCATTCCACCTACACCCACCAGAGGCAGCAATCAAGAGAACGGGATTGAACTGGAGCGCCCCTCGAGCGTCCTTCGTCATGTTGTATCTGAGGATCCATACGACGACACGAGATATCGAAGCAACAACTATCACAACATGCATTCTGCAGGACCTGGTCAGCACGATGCCCGCTCTGTGGATTCTTACGCCCGCTCGGTTGGTTCCTTTGCATCGAACAGCTCCCGACCTATGAGCCGACAAGCATATCCATCGCATGGCTATCCCATTGCGCCTGCATTCTCCCGCCAAACGAGTAACACATCGTCGGTCATGAGCGGCTCGGCGATCAACAGCGGCAGCGAAAATTGGGAAACATATACTGAGAACTCCGAGGACGCCGACGAGCAGGATGCAACTGACGCTTATTATGCAAAAGTTCAAGCTCAGCAGATGCATCCTGCGAACAAACGACCCGGCACTGCAACCAACGGCACAGTAGCAGCCAAGCGAGTGCGTGAGCAGCCCATAATCGAGGGCAGCGATGGGGGTTGGACCGATGATGGTGATGTTGGAGAGAGCTATTAGCGCGCGACTTTTCGCAAAAGCGAGAATATTTGGGTGTTTCGAGATTGAGAGAAGGATTCGAATCCGTTACGGACAGATTTTGTTTGCGTTGGCGCTGGCGCTGGATGGCGATTATGATTATATGGGGCTTAGAGATTTGGCCGTTTTGTTCGATCAGATCACAGAAGGCCATGCCTGAGGGGCGATTGAGGTCGAGAGGTGTATAACTACAGCACTGTTCACTGTTCACGACCTGAATGAATGACAAGATCTTATATTGATCATTGTTGAAACCGGCTGAAAGGATGAGTTGTAAGATTGAATTGATGGACACAGCTTTGCTCGAAGGTATAGTGATTCCAAAATCAAGAAGCCTCTTGGTCGCCGACCGCTGTGATATTTCATGTGTTGTTCTGATATTACATGAGGTGTTCTGGGCTAAATAGGAGTCGGCAGAGCGGATCCTCGGCTCAGCAACATTTCTCCACACCAGGTAGGTATCAAGCACGCAACTACATCATCTCGACGATCCGAGGATATAAGCACGGCAAACGTGCAGATTATAACCTTTGAAAGATCACTTCAGCATTATCGTAAGAAGTCTCATTTTTTCAATTTCACCTTTCATATCTCACACACCACCCACAACWCAACCATGCCGAAAGCACTAGTAATCGAGAAGGTGGAGGGCAAGCCCGGCAAAGTATACTACCCTCTCAAGAACATCGAACAACCGACCCCAAAGCCCAAGGACAACGAACTCGTCGTCGAAATCTCCGCCGCCGCTTTAAACCACCGCGATCTCTTCATTCGTCAAGCTCTCTATGGAGCCATTGGTTTTGGAGTTCCGCTCCTCGCCGACGGTGTGGGAACTGTGACATCTACTGGCTCGTCGGCAGAAGCCAAGAAGTGGCAGGGAAAGAGAGTGATCCTCAACCCTGGACATGGCTGGAAAGATGATGCAGATGGCCCTGAGAATCCAAAGGGATACGCGATATTGGGAGGAACGAAGCTCAACCCTCTGGGAACTGCAGCGGAGGTCTTGACGATCGATGCGAGCGAGGTGGAAGAGGCGCCGAAGCATTTGAGCAATGCTGAAGCTGCGGCACTCCCTCTCGCTGGACTTACTGCTTGGAGAGCGTTGATGACCAAATCAGGACAGGCGAAACCTGGAAGGAATATTCTGATTACGGGTATTGGTGGTGGAGTTGCTGTAATGGCGCTGCTTTATGGCGTTGCTGCGGGAGCGAATATTTATGTGAGCAGTAGCAGTCAGGAGAAGCTCGACAAGGCTAAGGCGCTGGGTGCCAAAGGTGGTGTGAACTACAAGGAGAAGGGTTGGGAGAAGACGTTGTTGGAGATGTTGCCTAAGGAGAGGAAAAAGTTGGATGCTATTATTGATGGTGCGGGTGGCGATGTGATTGAGAAGGGAGCGAAGCTGTTACGGGTGAGTCTGAACCATGCTCATAAACGTTATCACTGCTGACGAATCGAACAGGATGGAGGCATTATCTCTCAATATGGCATGACTGTGTCGCCGAAGATGACATGGACGATGCCAGCTGTGCTCAAGAACATCGAGCTCCGTGGAAGCACGATGGGTTCGCGAAAAGAGTTCGCTGAGCTGGTCAAGTTTGTCAATGAGAAGAATCTCAAGCCATTGGTTCACAGGACTGTGCAGGGCATTGACAATTTGAAGGATATTGACAGTCTATTCGAGGATATGAAGAACGGATCACAGTTGGGCAAGCTGGTGATTGAGATTAGGCCTGAGGGAGCAAAGAGCAAGTTGTAGGCTGAAGATTGTAATTGCTGTATGATCAATGCTACTTCGCAGGCAATGATCRTCACATATCAAGTGTCAAAAGATCTACGGGACTACCTCCTCCCAGGATATGACGAACAGAGTCGCCCCGTCAGTGTTGCGCTGAGAATGCACAGACGCGCTTTGATGCCGACCAGGAGCCCATTCCATCTGACTTGTCTTCGAGCGATCGGTACTGTAAAGCACCAACAGGTCATAGTAAGAGGCATCGTCCGATTTGAAAAGTGAACCTTTGGGTCGATGGCAAGTGAAATGCGCTAGATGAACTTCCTCCGAAGATCGCCGCCTTTCAAGCTTGATGCTGTAATTGATTTTCCTACAGGCAGCTCGCAACATCGCCATACATCGCTTCCCACCACCATCCCCGTCGCCGCACACCCACAACACTCCCGATATCACACGCAAAACAACCGGTCACTGCATTCAATCTGCTGCAACAGGGTGATGAACATCACCCGGGCGAGATCAACACCGCAGTAGCCCATTCCAGGTGGCATGCTAGAGCGGGCGACAGCATGTCTCAAAGCCGGAGCACGCGATTCTCTCAAATGCGCGCAGCACGCGAAGGCTCAGGCTCCGCCTACGGGCAGTCGTCGCCGGCTTCATTCGACTTTTTGGACGCACGGCGCTGGCGATATCGAATCGATCGACATCAGTTTATTGAGTATTGGAGCGGGATTGGATCTTCCTACACGGCACGATGAGATTCGCCTGGGAAAGGCGGCAGGAAGTCGACAAAAGAAGGACCTGGAAAGCGCCACAAGCTCTACACACCCCGAAGCTCCCTTTTTGGACTTTCTCTACCCGCCACACGCGTTGGCGTGGTTGCAGAAGGGCAATGGACAGCCTTGGGAGCGGTGGGAGAGGCGCAACGCGAAGAGGCTCCCCGAAGGCTTCGTGCAAGCGTCGCGAGGCTATTCCTCGACCTCTCATGCTCGCTCTCATGATGCGAAAAGCCCAGATGGTGGTGGAGTGGGAGCTCCTGTTGACAATGATGCCTCAAGACTCAACGCCGTGGARGACATTGAGCCCTCGGAAGAAGAGTTTTCGTCGGACACTGTGTCTCGGATGAGAGTAGAGCCGACAGAGGGCGCTTCGACAGCTGATGTTGACCCTGGTCAGAATCAGGATCTTTCAAGCTCCAGCTCTACSACACCCAACAGTGCGAGTATAGTGCGCRAATTGACACCCAGCGTCGAGACGACCGATGAGGGCACTGAGGAGGTGGCCGACGAGGACGAAGCGTTCGATACCTCAAGTGCAATTAGCCCAGGAGAACTACCAGAACAAGGCACGCGAGCCTTCGAACAGGTGGACAACCCCCATGAAGTTCTTCGCACCATGCTCGGGGGGAAACGCAGAAAGCATTCGGCAGAAGACGTCAGCCGCGCCTGGTTTCTGTACAATTCTCTCAGCGAGCARGCAAAGATCGACGTCCGATTGATGCACGAATTGCTCCTTTGGTTTTCAAGAATAGATGTAGAGACAGCACAGGCACATTCGATATCCCTGTTCTGGTCAATGCCGTTGGAAGCAAGAACGCTTACAGACTACGAGGCAGTTCTCAAAGCATTCCTGAATCGCAAGACGTACGACGCTGTGGCAGGAGTACATAGAGAAGCATTGAAGAACATACCCAACGGACGTCAGATTACGAAAAAGCTGTTCCAGCATGCAGTACATCACAACAACTGGCAGCTGGCGCTCGCAGTCAAAGAGGACCACGACAGTGCTTTTGAAGATTCCGGTCCGTCTGAAGCTCCTCAAAAGGCTCTGTTCTGGATCGAAGTCACCGAGATCCCGGACTTGATACAAAAGGCAGAGCTTCTAGTGCACAAGTGTCAATGGTTCCAACGCCGGGGTCATAAGCTTCTCGACAAATTCCAGGCCTTCAGTGTTAGGATGTCCGAAGAGGCTTTCCGTCAGACGCTGATGGCGCCGTCAAATTGGAAGGCATCTCAAAGAACAGAGAAAGACATGACCCAGTCATCGCTTGTGACCCTTCTTGATAGCATTCGCTGGTGGAACCCAGATGCCCCGCGATTGTTCGAGGAATTTCTCGTCAAATTGCTTGACCTGAACCAGTCTGAGGACCAGTACCGGCAGGTGCATAACATCGTCTCTTTCATTTATGGCCACTACAGGGAAATGTCCGGAATACATCCATCAGAACATCTACTTGAAAAATTGCTGTCGCGCGTCTTACCATACGCCATCTACCTACGAAAGCTCGAGTTCTCAAAGTACAGTGTTTCCGTCGAGGTCATAGTAGAGGACTGGCAGAAGTATCACACAGTTCTCAGTTGTTGGGCTACAAAGAGACTGATATCATGGTACGCTCGGCAGGGCATGGCTGTGCCTGTCGAAGAATACTACACGTACCTCAAGCGACACTATCCGGCGTACCGGGATCAAAAAAGCGCCCTGTCAGATCTCATCTACGTGCACGCACGTCGAGCCGACTCGAAGAAAGCGCAGGAGGCGTTTGATCATGTCGATAGCGTCGCGAAATTGAACGCAACGAGACCAGTCTTGAAATGCTGGAACATATTGATGCATGCCCTCTCTCGCACGGATGACATAGTCGGTGGTCTCGACACCCTTCGTCGACTGGTGGATGATGCCAAGCTGCTACCAGACGACAAGACCCTCCATCCACTGCTGGAAATGCTTGCACGCCGAGGTGATGCAGACGGAATAGCAGATTTATTGAAGCAGTATGACTCTCTCACTGGCGCGCCACACACAACGAGCTTCGTCGGTAGCCGCATGCGTGCTTTGATCAACAGCGGCGATGTGCCCGAGGCAGAGCTCGCACTCAAGGAAGCTACCAAGCAGATTCGTACGCGTGAGCTCACTGGGTCACTCACGGGTTCCTTCAATATCATGATCGCGGCATATGCAATGCGAAGAGATCTTGATGCGACCATGCGCACGTATCGCTGGATGAAAGCAGAAGACATTCGACTTGATCGATATACGTACAGCGCCTTGATGCTGGCTCTCATCCAATTTCGACAGACACCCGCGGCCTATGCCATCATGACTAAGGTGATGCGCAAGGAAGGCTTGGAGCCGACAGCTGCACATTACGCCGTAGTCCTGGCTGGTCTTGTAAATCAGGAAATGTATGACCGAGCGATATTTATACATGAAAGGATGGTKAGGAAAAACGTCCGTTCCTCACTGGCAACTAAAAGGATTTATCTTCAAGCCGTCGCGAGGAAGGAACGTCGGAAAGGAGAGGCGCGCGGCCCCAATGGCGAGCCAGCTCCACTCATGCAAGTCATAGAAGAGCTTCGTAATGCCTTGCTGCAAGACGATGGATCGGAAATTGCGAGCAGAGACCCTGTCTTTGGTCATGACCACACAGCTGGTGGGGAAGACGTGCTCGAACACTTCGTCGACGTCCTCTTCGCACATGGCAAACACCGATGTTTCGAAGCAGTGCACGAGCTCTTCCGGATGTACCAAGAAGAGGCTGCAAAGCTCGGCAAGATTGACTCCTCGGTGCCCATGCGCATTGTGAACGCCATGATGAGTACGCATCTTCACAGTGGAGAGTACGATCAAGTGGAAGCATATTGGAAGATTGCCAAAGATAATGCCGACCGCATCGCTCCCATCACCGCGATACCCGATTACGAACGTTCGAAGCCTTCCACTTCCCAGAGCTCTGCAATAGAGATTGCCAGCCCGGAAAAGGAAAATCTTCTAAGCGCAACGAAGAGTGAAGTAGATCGCGCAGAGATTGGCTTTGAGGCGAATCGCGCGGCCGCCATACCCAATGATCAGGCTCTCCTACCTGCCTCACTTCCTCGAATGGCGCCTCGCCCATCGCCTCGCCGCAAATACATCCTCACTCGACCACTTCGATACCATCTCCGCGCACTCGCCGCTCAGAATCGCATTGCGGATKTTTTGACGACGTTCACTGCGCTTGTGCGTCAAGGCTACGCCTTCGATTCGATCACCTGGAATCGTCTGATAGAGTACCTCTGCACATCCAAACCGCCACTCGCCCTGCTAGCCTTCACCCTTACAGAGCGCTATCTCATTCCCCAATTCCCTGGCTGGACGCCACGTTACATGACTCGCAGACCACCTCGAAAGTCTGCAATCGCTGAAGGTCTGCAATTCATTCGCGGGAGGTATATGAGTTACGATGCACTATTTCCACAGTATCGCACTATGGTGTTTCTTACTTCGGCGCTCTTGAAGCTAAGGAGAATGGAGGCCTTGGGAAGCTCGAAGAAGAAAGGAGACATAGGCAGATTCATRGGAAGCGTGCGGCAGATTCAAGCTGTGGCGCCGAAAACATTAGAGGCCGTGAACAGTATGCCGCAGATCGAGCACGATAGACTGCAGCATCAGCTGTTGAGGAGTGATGAAGCCAATGCGCTGTAAATAAAGTTTAGCATAGCGAGTTGTACATATTGTAAAGTGCTTTTATATTGGAATAGACACAATCAATAACGAGGTGTTCACTGCTCAGCATGAGCAGTGGCAGAGCACGAAGGATGCAGGTGCTTTGGTAGACGGATGGCATCGGACCGAGCGGTAAAAGTGGTTCCTCCCGATGCTCAAAACTCAGCCTCGACAACGTTGCTTGCATCTACACCTCTTTAGGAAAGTCTACGACATGACGGAGCCACAGCGCAAAGTCCTCCGAGTCGGTGTCATAGGAGCAGGTGAAGTGGCCCAGGTCATTCACTTGCCAACATTATACCTATTGAGCCATCTCTTTACCACGGCCATCATATCCGATCTCTCGAAAAAGGTAGCATGCCCATGCAATATCTGCCCACCCAAGAAGATCACGAAGCTGATCAAACCCACCAGACAGCAGAACATTGTGCCCGCAAATTCCACATTCCCACCACCACCACCGACCCTGAAGATGTCTTCCGCAGCCCGGAAGTCGATGTTGTATTTATCCTCACGTCTGATGAGTTTCATGAAGAGTATACTGTAGCCGCCCTCGAAGCCGGGAAACATGTCATGGTTGAGAAACCACTTACTTTATCTTTGCCTTCCGCGGAGAGGATCATTGCCGCCGAARCGAAGTCCAAAGGATTGGTCTTCGTGGGCTATATGCGACGATACGCGGAAAGTTTCACAAAAACTTTCAAACGAGAGATTGGCAGTATTCCGAGAATTCTCTATGCGAGAGTGAGAGATTTCTCTGGGCCAAATGCGAAATTCGTTGGCGAATCTGGGACTTTTCCTGTCAAGCATGATGATTTTCCGGCTTCTGCGAACGAGGGACGATCGAAGAGACTTGATGTTTTGTTCAAAGAAGCTTTTCCTGGCCAGCCCATTACTGCCGAAAGGCGGAATTACTGCAGGTTCTTGGGAAGTCTTGGAAGCCATGATATCAGTCTGATGAGAGAAGTTCTTGGTTTCCCTATCAGCGTTGCAGGCGTGTCTGTTAACGACCCATTCTACTCTGCGATTTTCTACTATCGAAACCCATCTGGTGGAGAACCTTTTGCGGTTACGTACGAATCTGGAATCGATGGTGTTCCGGAATTCGACGCTCATCTCGCTGTGTATGGAGAGAAGAAACGGGTGCATATCAAATACGATTCACCTTATGTTAAGGGACTTGCTATCAAAGTCACTGTGCAGGAATTGAATGCCGAGGGAGAATTCGAAAGTCGGGAGATGTTGGGATCTTATGAGGATGCGTATACTGCGGAGCTACAAGAATTGTATGAGTGTGTTGTGAATGGAGAGGAAGTCAAGACGACGGTGAGGGATGCGATCAATGATTTGAAGATATATGATATGATGTACCAGCGATGGAATGCCGGCACTACACTGAATTGCTAACGATCCGACTGCAAGTTGCATAGAGATACAAGAGATAGGAACGAACGTTTGACAGGATACTCAAAGTCATTATTCATGCACAATGCTACAATGTCACGCTACATGCCTTCGCTTCCTAAAATGCACGTCGCTCAATTCTGTGGAGTACCAAAGGATCAAAAGAACATCAATTCCTCATCCTTCCAGCCAAGTTCAAGTAACGCCTTGTGACAGCTCTTTTCTAGAGGCTCAGGCCCACAGATCAGTACCATAGCCTCTCCATCCGCATGAGATGCTCGACCAGCGTGCTCGGCGAGAAGTGGTCCGGCTATGCGACCCTTCAATCCTTGCCAGCTCTCATCTGATTTCGTCAAGGTATGTAGTAGCTTGAACTTGTCGGCGTTGTCTCTGGCGTATTGATCCAGCTCTTCTCTGCATAGAATATCGCCTACTAGACGGTTTCCATCGAGACACACGACCTTTGTCGGATCCTCTGTATCTTGCATTACGGCACGCAAGACCTGGAAGATTGGTGTAATTCCACTGCCGCCGCAAATCATGTAGAGCGTCTTGACGTTCTTCACTGCTGAGTTCACTGTGCAGAGGCCTTTGCCAATATACTCGAATTTTCCAATTGGTCCTTTGAAATCCACAAAGTGTCCAATAGGAATTGAATCGAGAGCCGTGGACATCTTTCCACCTTTTTGCTCTTGCGTCTCGAAGTAGAGTTTCACCAACACATCCATGAACCCCTTCTGGCTTGTCTCTGAGATGGGTGTGTAGCTCCTGATGATGGCCTCTCGTGTGACTGGATCTCGCAGGCGCATCATCACATGCTGGCCTGTTGGTAACCCCAATGCCTGATCCTCATGCTCTAATTTGAATCGGAAGATTCGCGTGTCCGCGGACACGTCCTTCTTTGAGTGTAGGAATGCCTTCTTCCAGGCGCGAGGTGCCAAAAAGGTCGGTGATGGCTCAGCGGTCGCGTCGGAATGCTCTTCTCCACCCGCCAGAGCTGCCTTTCCTTCGTCGTCCAGAGTACCGATGTGATAGTCTGGCATCATCCCTTTGGCATTGTCGCTGTGGATCGCCATGAACTCGTCAGTGGAGTCAAGACCAGCTGCCGAAAGGATGCTGGTAGCACCTCCGGGATGGTTTCCCAGGAAAGCGGTTCCGTCGAAAACTTCTCCGTTGATAACAAACCATGGAGCTTGCTTGGTGTCGTGTTTCCGCAGCTCCTCGAGGGTGATCTTGTTATGCACGTCGGCCTTGGTCAACTTGACTTCTGCAGCTTGTTCGGCAACGGCCTCTGTATCTTCTTCGCCGTCAAGTTTCTCACCCCAGAAACCATTGGAAAGGTTGCCTCCCGACTTCTTGACTCGTTCCATCCAACCTCCGGGCATCAAAGCCGGCTGTGTGGGATGCTCAAACCGGAGGCAGTCGCCTTCCTTGGTGATCGTAAGGCGGTACCAAGGATTGTTCATCATACCCAACACGCTCCAGTACATGTCTCGGGGTTGTAAGTTCATACTCTCATCCATGGCACGAACAATGATATCGTTCGAGTCGGCAAGCTCTTCCACAGCCAAATCGATGTTCCAGAAACACCAGCAGAAGCTGTTCTCTCTCCAGGTGAAGTCCAGAGTCCCTCCGTACAACTGCTGAGGCTTCGCATCTCGATACCTGTCTTCTGCATAGTCGATGTTTGCCAGCCGCCATGACTTGCCCTTGTCGATTGAGATCTCAACTCTTGTCACGCGTCTCCCGCCACCACCGTAAGCATATCCTTTAACTCGATAACTCTTCGGCGCATCGGCTAATTTGAGCTGCTCTTCATGAGCAGGACACGCGATGGCAGAGTTCGTGCTGAGGTCGTAGATTGCATAACGTTCGTCCTTCCACCACTCAGGTTCGTTTGCAGACTGCTTCGGTGTGATCATGGTGGGCAGTACTCTGTTGTCGTATATGTGATACCAGTTATCACTCGGCTCAGCAGTGAWGATCAGCTTCTTGAGCCACTTTACACTGCGTCCACCAATCTGTCCAGGGATTACCACTCGGAGAGGCTTGCCGTGGTCAGGCCTTAGGCTCTCGCCATTCATCTTGTGTGCCAGCATCATACCCTTGTTCTCATCCATGGCCCAGTTGAGCTTGACTGATGTTCCATAGTAGCCATTCGGTAACTTGTCGGCACCTTCCATGCATACATACTTCGCTCCTCGGAGTGGCTTGGCCTTGCGTAGGACGTCGCCCAGTACCACGCCTGTGAAGAGAGCCGTTGAGACGCCAGCTGCACCCCACGAGAATCCTTTCGTCTTCTTGACTACATTCTGTTCTTTTCGCCGGTTTCCTGCGCACACGAGGGTAATCGGATAGGTCTGTTGTTCGTATTGCTCCATGAGTTCTTTGAGGGTAATGGTGATTGGGTTCTCCACCAGACCCTCAACTGTGAACTCCCAATCGGGAATCTCTTCGTCCCTAACTTGTGGAACATGACCATGATTCCGGACGTAGAAGAGCTCTGGACTTGTGAGAAACCCCTCGTTGAACAGATCTGTCAAGGGTGCTTCGACATTAAAAGGATGGACACCAGTGAGTCGTATCAGCCTGGAGTCGCGAGGGAGCCAGTTATCTGGAGTCTTCTTGTCGACATCCAGGACCTGCGTCGGCTGCGAAGTGGCGGGAGGGAGGGGAAAGTCCGATGTTGTGCGACTGGAAATGTATTCCGTCTCCTCCGCCTTTTCACTGTCACTCAGGTCGGAGTCCGGTGGTGTTGGAGGAAGATCATGTATAGGGAGAGACATGGTTTCGTCTTGCTGCATGGTAGAACCACCCATATTGGCTAGAGACAAGGAACGATATGAAAGAGCAAGATGGCAAGTCCGCACCAGCGTGATGATAGAGAGTGAAAAGTAAGGGAAAATGAGAAACCAGCAAGTCCCAGTCGATGAGGTATTACGGTGTATCTCTACAGACACGTCGACCCGCTTAGCCAAGCTCTGCCAGGGGATCAAAGTGGTCGATGGGCGGGAGATGCGTGGTCATCATGCTGCGAATTGGAATCAACTGCACGCAATACAGCCGTGAAGGCGAGGAGATGCACCGTCAGGGCACGAGCTGAGGTGTCAGCCAATCTGGGCGACGGGCAATGCATCGCCGCGGAGATGCACAGTCCGGAGGGAAAACAAGTGACATCGACAGGGCATCCGGAGCGGGATTTCGATCTCAAATCCCCAAACCTCAGCCTCGATTATTGCCCCTCGCCTCACCTGCTCGCATGTAGTGGTCTTCTTATCTTTCCGCGCCGAAAATGGCATAGCAGGCTGACCGGGGCCAAAACCGGTGATAATGCCACATTTTTCCACGTCTTTTCGTGCTCGTCGGGGCTGTCTTTGTCGTAAAAGATGTCTCCGTCACCGCAATTTGGATTTGTGTTTGATGCGTCAGTCGCATGGACGTCTAGAGCGGTCCCCTTGTTGCCGGCGAAGTCAGGGCCAAGGTTAAACGGCCAAACAAGCACTGAACCAAGCTTTTCGCGGAGATCTTCCGCCAAGTTTTGACTGGACAGACACGCGAGAATCACGTGGAGCGTCTGGGGGGGTATAGAGCAGCGATAGACATAACTCTCCATCACTCGCGCTAGTTCAGTCCGGCGGACTCTGGAGAACCTGGTCTTCTCTCCTTATCTTCATCCTTACTTATCTTGAAGACAAACTTGTGCGCCTCGGAGATGCCTTCAAACCCTCCTCTCATGCATCTTGGGTGTTGCAACAATCCGGGCATCGTTGTTGGCTGGATTTGTTACTGGCCATGCACCTCCTGCTTCTCCGGTGTTGTGACCACGAGCCTCTGCGTGGCAACCGCTTGGCCTGATAACATGTCCTTTCCCGCAGCGTTGCGCTGGTTGGTTTCGTAGGTTTCTGTTTTCCTCTCGTCCTTGCATTCATTCACCTTTCTCTCATCTGATTGTCCTTCTCCTGGCGAGAGCCGCACCATCAAGATGAGCAACAGCGAGTGGAATGATCCGGAGGCCAACGTCCTACCGGAGAAGGTGGAAGCTCTGGAAGCCAATGGAGAGATTCCCAAGAACCCTCAACGCAAGAGGGTGGTGGTAGTCGGGCTGGGCATGGTAGGCATCTCGTTCATCGAGAAGCTGCTCAAGCTCGACGTCAAGCGGCGAGAATACGATGTGGTTGTCATCGGCGAGGAGGCTCACCTAGCCTACAACCGTGTTGGCTTGACGAGCTACTTCCAACATCGAGAGGTGGAGAATCTCTATCTCAACCCCGCATCGTGGTATGCTTCGATGCCAGAGGGTTCGCTCTCTTGCCACCTCAACACACTCGTCACCGCGGTGGATACAGAGGGTAAAACAGTAGAGACCTCCGCAGGTACGACCGTTCCATACGACATACTCGTGTTGGCCACGGGCTCGGACGCTGTGCTACCTCGACATACTCCTGGTCACGATGCCAATGGCGTGTTCGTATACCGAACAATCGAAGATCTGCAAAAGATGATCGACTTCGCGGAAACGAAAAGAGGTACCGTTGGTGCAGTCGTTGGTGGAGGGCTTCTTGGTCTAGAGGCTGCCAAAGCCATGATGGACCTGGAGCGATTCGACAAAGTCAAGCTCATCGAGCGAAATAGATGGGTGTTGAGTAGGCAGCTGGACAGCGACGCGGGGAGTATGGTTGTTGAACAGGTTCGACAGCTCGGATTGGAAGTCCTGCTCAGCAAAAGAGTGGGTAAGATCAACACCGACAATGATAACAACGTTACTGGTGTCATTTTCGAAGACGGCGAGGAAATGGACTGCTCGTCCATCTGTTTCGCCATTGGCATCAAGGCGAGAGATGACTTGGCCCGCAAATCCGGCCTAAAGTGCGAAGATCGTGGAGGTGGGATTGTCATCAACGCTGATCTCTCAACCTCCGTGCCGGACGTATACGCCATTGGCGAATGTGCGAGCTGGGAGAGCCAGACATTTGGTTTGATCGCTCCAGGTATCGAGATGGCAGATGTTCTTGCCTTCAACCTCACGCAAGCAAAGTCTCACTCTCCACGCAAGTTCAAGAGCCCAGACCTTAGCACCAAGCYCAAACTACTGGGTGTGGAAGTTGCGAGCTTTGGGGATTTCTTCGCTGACCGCGATGGACCCAAAAACTTGCCCCGGCGTCGCGGTGCTGTCAAAGAAGGCGAGGCAACGTCCCGGAGTCTAATCAATGGTACTCCTCCACCCTCACCTGTCAAGGCTTTGACGTACAAGGATCCCTTCCAACAGGTTTACAAGAAGTATTTGTTCACCCCGGATGGGAAGTATCTTCTCGGCGGCATGATGATCGGGGATACCAAAGATTATGTCAGGTTGGTGCCTATGGTCAAGAATCAGAAGGCGCTTGAAGTGTCTCCTTCCGAATTCATCATTGGCAAAAACTCTGGTACGCGTCAGATATCTCGCCTTAACAAATCAAAACTAACACACATAGTAGGTGACGACAACGCCGATGACCTCGACGATGATACTCAAGTCTGCTCCTGCCACAATGTGTTGAAGGGTGAGTGAATACGACACCGCGACCTTCTCGATGAAGCGCTGACTTGTGTGCCTCAGGCGATGTGTCTAAAGCAGTCAAAGACGGTACTTGCAAGTCTATTGGTGATGTCAAGTCTTGTACAAAAGCTGGGACGGGTTGCGGTGGCTGCATGCCTCTCGTCCAAACCATATTCAACAAGACGATGGCTTCAATGGGACAAGAGGTGAAGAATCATCTATGCCCTCACTTTGAGTACTCTCGCGCGGTATGCATCGACGTCACTCCGAGACCGGGATCTGAAACTGATGCATTGCAGGATCTCTTCCACATAATCTATGTTAAGAAGCTCCAAGCATTCGCCGACATCATGAAAGAGGCTGGCAAAGACCCATCATCATCGGGCTGCGAAGCCTGCAAACCCACAATCGGGTCCATCACAGCTTCGCTCTACAACAAGCATGTTCTTGATGAGGATCGCAGAGGTCTCCAGGACACCAATGATCGTTTCCTGGCTAACATCCAGCGAAATGGAACATTCTCTGTTGTGCCTCGTGTTTCAGGAGGGGAGATCACTGCCGACAAGCTTGTCGTGATGGGTACCGTTGCGAAGAAGTATAACCTATATTGCAAGATCACTGGCGGTCAACGAATCGACATGTTTGGTGCTAAGAAGCAGGATCTTCCACAAATCTGGCAGGAGCTTATCGATGGCGGCATGGAATCAGGACATGCCTACGCCAAAAGTCTAAGAACAGTCAAATCTTGCGTTGGATCAACGTGGTGCCGTTTCGKAATCGGTGACTCAGTAGGCATGGCAGTCCGTTTGGAGGAGAGATACAAGAGTGTGCGATCGCCACACAAGATGAAGGGAGGTGTCTCAGGGTGCGTCAGGGAGTGTGCTGAAGCGCAGAGCAAGGACTTTGGCCTGATCGCCACGGAAAAAGGCTGGAACATCTTCGTTGGAGGCAATGGAGGTGCAAACCCTCGACATTGCGACCTACTTGCCAAGGACGTTCCGCCGGATGATGTGGTCCCCATCGTTGACCGATATCTCATGTTTTACATGCGGACAGCAGACAAGCTTCAGCGAACAGCGAGGTGGGTTGAGAACTTGCCAGGCGGCATCGAATACTTGCGCAAAGTCATACTTGAGGACAGTCTCGGCATCTGTGCCGAGTTGGAGAAGCAAATGGAAGAGCTTGTCGGTTCTTTCTTCTGCGAGTGGACAGAGACGTTGAAGAGCACAAAGCAGGTGGCAACTTTCTCCCAATTCGGAAACACGCAAGATACCGTCGACAGCGTCGAAGCGGTCGACGAGCGAGAACAGCTTCGACCAGCATACTGGCCCAAGGAGTCTGTCAAGGACGATTTCCGAGGCACAAAGTGGACTACCCTTTCATGGCAACCGCTAGCAAAATGTGAGCAATTCTCCGATTCAATGACGGGATCAAGTTTACCCGTCAAGCGAGGAGATACTCAGCTTGCAATCTTCAAGGTGAAGGGCAAGTACTACTGTACGCAACAGATGTGCCCTCACAAGCGTGCGTTTGTGCTCAGTGATGGTCTCATCGGCGAGGATGTGCAGAAGAATAAGCTCTGGATTAGTTGTCCGCTGCACAAGCGCAACTACGACATGAAAGGCGAAAATGCCGGGAAGTGCGGCAATGATGAGACTGTCAACATCGCGACATTCCCTGTCGAGGCTCGCGAGGATGGCTTCGTTTACGTCAAGCTACCACCTATTGATGAGCTTGATGGTGTGCTGGGGACTGAGAAGTGGAAGATCAAGAAGGAGGAGACGGAGCAGAAAGGAGAGTTCGAGGCTCTGGATAAGAAATTGGTGAAGATGAAAGGTCGCAAGCCATTTGCCGCAAGTCATCTCAGAGGTGGATTGGGCGAGCATGCCAAGGCGAATGCAATTCTTGCTGGTGGTGAGCGAGGTAGCAATGGTATGGATTGGTAGATAACAGTTGAAGAAAAAGAACTTCGAATATAAGGCATAACCCTACGCAGGTGCGATTGGTCACTCCACTCATAGTTCTCCTCTTATCGTTCTATCAACGAGTATAACAGGCTCACTGATGCATGAGAATCTCTACCCTGAGAAAAATCACACGAATTGCGTCTCGATCTGCCTCCTTCTCGACCGCCGACGTCAGTCAAATTTGACCCCCTTCAATTTTGTCTATAACCATTTGTTCCCTGTGAAAGCGGAGTATTCACAATCTTGGACATTTGGACACAACCCTAAAACTGCATATTTCTCTCTAAGAATAAACCGGAATTTTCTTTATATATATAAATAAGACCTAACCTTCTAAACTCCATATTGCGGCAAACGTGAAAAGAGGGTGCTACCCAAACCCTAACCCTAGACTACGGAGGAGGGCATGAAAACGAGGCAGGTCTCAATCACCAACGAGGTAAAATCCGTCTTGTTATTGTCTTTTGTGTATTCATACGTCGAGAACGGCCCAGCCGTGCTTACCTATCTCACAATCAAGCGTCAACGCTCAAAGGCCCTGCGAGTCTTGCGAGTCTTGCGAGTCGCCTGTGTGCGGACGCTCAGGCTCCTTAATCAGTGGCTGCATGCTGAACGAAGGGACGGGCCCTTCGCTGACAGAGCGAACAGCTGCTCCAGAGTCGGTGGCGGGCTCATCCATGGCATCAACGTCACTACCATAAGTGCCATATCCTTCTCCTGAATTTCCTGAACCAGAGTGTTCTTGATCGCTTTTGAGCATTTCGCCTTCGTGTTTCTCCACTTTGCTGCCTCCGGAAAGCTTGCTGCTAATCCAACCCTTGAGGCCACCTTTGCTTCCAGGCTCACCGCTTCGGGGAAGCAAACTTGAGTCTTGAATTCCTTCAGCGACGGCGTCGTCGTGAGTGTTTTCGTGGTCAAGCTTTGACACCTCAGGACCTCCCTTGGCGTATTGCGTAACTTCGCCGCCGTCGGACTCTTCAATATCTGGCGAACTCCTCAACTGAGGGTCGCTACCACGGTGGTGCTCTACAGCAGTCATCAGCGGCATGTAGCGGAGAGTTCGCTGCTCATAGGCATAGCGTAGAGTGCTCACCGCCAACATGAACAACACCGGCGTAGCTGCTGCGCWGTGGGGCCTCTTTCTCGGGCATCGTCGTCTGATCGGCAACGTTCATGATCGCTGTCTTTGAGAAATGCCTGTACTTGAAGGTATTGTAGATCTCCAGCTTCTCAACTCCGCATTTGAGTCAAGACTAGGTTTCGAACGAGGGCAGAACGGCAGGAATCTATAGGTGGCCTGCGTACGCAAAATCCTGTTTGGCACGATCTGTGCCCGGCCTGTACAGTCAATGCAGATGCCACCGCTGTCGTGTGGAGCGAGGTACCAATGGGCCGCGGGCCGCCTCCCGGTGACATGCTTCAATCTTGAGAGTCAGAACGCTGCACAGAAGCGTGATCTGGGGTTCTGAAAATTGCACCGCGACACCATGCGAGACAGGCCACGTACAAGGCAGAGAAAACGACAAACGTCGCCACTTCACACATCTTAGCTCGCCGTGTCCCTTTGATGACGCTGTATGGGTGCTTTCATCCACTCCCCTCCGTGCTGCCACCCTCAGACAACGCAACAGTTCCCAAACCTGCTTCGCTGCCATCGCCATCGTCATCGTGTCGTCCGTGGTTTACTGCGTCATGTGACTTGCCGTCCTGTCCGCATGTCGTTTCAAGTCGTCTTCGCAGAATGTTCGAAAGCGTCTCTCTTCTCGTTCTCCCAGCCTGTCCAAGAGCATTCATACACTTGAACCGCTTTGCTGCTGGTACCCCGCCTATTTGCTCCCATTCGGCCTCATAATCAAGATGTCTGCGCCAGTTTGCGCCGATTTCGGCTCGCGGCTTCGCATTATTGAGGCTTAAATGCGTCTCTCGATCCCTGGATATGTGCTCGGGAGGATCAAGCCTTAGGAGCTCCCAAAGACGCTTCTCATCCCGCATGCTGGCAGCTTCATCGATGGCGTTCAAATGAGTGGTTTCGGCGCGAAGGGAGGATCTGGGACTCAGAGCTCGCTTACGCTTCCTCGTTATCTTGGTTGGAGCTGGCCCTTCGGATTCCTGCGGTAGTTCGTCTGATGACACCGCGTGCTCCTCTTCAGTGAATAGATCGCTATCATCCATGTCCAGAAAATCATCCTCATCAAGGATGTCGGTATCGGAGTCCTTGCGGAGCCCCGAATCTTTGGGCCTAGGCAAGCCGAGTTCGCTCTCGACCTCTTCGTAGGTCAAGAGATGGCCACTTTTAGTGGAGGGCCTTCCATCAGCATACTTTTTGGAGTCGCTGAACACACCCACCCTACATCTACGGGCTGCGGTCGCCCAGTACCGCTTGCTGTCGCAGGGCATGTGGAGAAAGTCGACTGCAGTCCGAACGTCGACTTCTCGAATTGCGCCAAGCGGACTCCAATCCTTACGACTGGCATCCTCTGCCCTCAATCGTGATGTTGCCTGGAATATAGTTGCCTGCACTATGCGCCGCGTGATGCTAACAGTAATCTGGCGAAAGTCCTCCAGCGCAGTACGGAAAAGTGCCGGCTCCATCGGATCTGTAGACATTGAATCAACGTGGTGCCAATTGAGATTGTCGTCCTCACTGTTGTTCATGTAAAGGTTCCGAGACAGCTGGAGAAAGGCCGAGGGACGCAGGATAGATTCAAACGTAGCATGTGATACTGTACCGCTATGGGCAGCCCCCGAGCCCATTCCGTCTGCTTCAGGCAAGCCAATCGCATTTATGTCAGCATCGGGTCGGTTCTGGTCCTGCAGCACGTCCATACGCTCCGCTACGTCTGCATCGACAAGCCACTCATCGCCAAATCTGTCACGTTGTTGCTGATGTATGTGTTTCTCGACATGGACAGCAAGTGCATCTGCTGCGAGATCCAGAACGTGCTCGCCTTCTGGGGAAATCTCAGCAGCAGCAGGGATCTCTTCGTGTAGGGGCACATTCTTCTTCTGCAGGTTGACTTGCTTGGAATCTTGTGAAATTACACCTGCTTGCAACAAAAGGAGATATGCGCGGATTTCTGGCTCACTTTTCGTGCAGACAGCTCGCCCTAAAGCTGGCAGATCGTCAGGACTACGTGAAGCCAAACATTGGAATAGAGCGTCCTTTTCTCGAGACGTCCATCGCGAAGCGCCAACGTGAGACGCGTCTAACCCAGGCTTCCGATTGCGAGCGTTGACGTCCTCAATCTCTGTGTTCAGGAGGTCTCGATAAGCCTTGCTAAGATATCCTCTTATGGGCTTCTGGTTTGGCTTCGGATAAGGATGAGTCCTGCGGTATTGGGCCGAAGGCGCGTTCGGAGGCGCATTCTCGCTTGGCGACGAGGAATACTCGTCCTCGCCGCTGGCAATATAGTCGTCTTCTGAGCTATCATCAGCCATGCTGAAAGTTGGTAGGATGATGGAAGTAAGTTTATGCGCAAGAGGTGGTGTAATGGAGAATGACGCTAACCCAATTCGATATCGTGACCTGCGTCTACCTAAAGTCGGTTGCAATCAACACGTTGCGACGCGTCGATCAATAATCTGGCATCTGCATCTGCAAGCCGAGTAGAAGTTCCCATGCGGCTGGCAGCCATCTTGAAAGATGTAGGTCTTTCAGCTTCGCCACGAATTTGGCGACCTTTTCGAAAGTATTTACTTGCGAGGCCTCTCCGGGCCTTTGCATGCCAACGACGATTCACCAATGCCCCCTTGTTCTATCAGGAGAACGCGCCGCAAAAGGTCGAGCTTCGACCATACCAGAAGGCGAGCATCGATGCCGTTCTCGAGTATCTTGCCAGGGGTGAGAAGCGACTTGGGCTATCTCTCGCCACTGGAAGCGGTAAAACGGTACGCACCAGATACATGTCCTGTCATCAGAGTCGAGTTTGATTCAATATAGGTCATATTCAGTCATCTAATTGACGAGGTGCGATCACCTCTTCCCGATGCCACGCAAACCCTCATACTCGCTCACCGGAAGGAGTTGGTGGAGCAAGCTGCGAAGCATTGCCGGAATTTGTACCCAGAGAAGACGGTCGATATCGAAATGGCCTCCCAGCACGCATCCGGTCTTGCGGACATCACTGTAGCGTCTGTTCAGAGTATAACATCTGGAGACCGCCTAATGCGCTACGACCCAGCCAAGTTCAAGCTCATAATCGTTGATGAGGCACATCATATCGTGGCACGGCGTCACCTGGATGTTTTGCGGCATTTCAAATTGACAGACAAGGATGACTTGGGTGCTGCGGCTCTTGTCGGTGTATCAGCGACCTTTTCCAGGCATGATGGTGTGGGACTCAACGCGGCCATTGATCACATCGTGTACCATAAGTAAGTGATGTAAGCTAGGCAATAGATATTTCGCTGATAGCTGCTAGGGACTACGTCGATATGATTGAAGGGAATCACTTGGCCGGAGTGATCTTCACCTCAGTCCGCTCTGGTGTTGACTTGTCCAACGTGAAGTCTCGCGCTGGAGACTTTCGGACGAAGGAACTTGCCGAAGCTGTCAACAAAGACGAAATCAACACCATCACTGTGAGAGCGTGGCTGGAAAAGGCCGCTTCTAGAAAGTCAACGTTGGTGTTCTGTGTCGATCTGGCTCATGTAGCGAGCCTGACAGCGGCTTTCCGTCAGCATGGTATCGATGCCCGGTTTGTGACGAGCGACACTCATGCAAAAGTTCGAACAGAAAGATTAGACGCTTTCAAAGCGGGCAAATACCCAGTGCTTCTGAATTGTGGGATATTCACGGAAGGAACCGACATTCCCAACATCGACTGCATCATACTCGCACGGCCAACTCAATCCCGAAATCTCTTGGTCCAGATGATCGGGAGAGGCCTGCGGAAATACCCTGGAAAGGAAAATTGCCATGTCATCGATATGGTGACTTCGTTGGAAGTCGGGATTGTCACTACGCCCACGCTCTTCGGTCTAGAGGCTGGCACACTCTTGGAAGCTGCCGATCCCCGACACATGGCTAGCATTCGTGAAAGGAGAGAGATTGAGAGGCAAAGAGAAGTTGAAGCTTTGGCTCCTCCCAGCCAAACAGGTCTTGCTCAAGTAATGACAGGCCAGGTGACATTCACGGATTACGACAACATCAACGATTTGATTGGCGATAGCACTGGTGAACGCCATATCCGAGCAATATCACAGCTAGCCTGGGTACAGATCGATGAGAGTCGCTACATGGTCTGCAACAGGGACGGCGCGTTTTTGACCATCGTCAAGAACGAGGATTCCAGCCAGTACACAGTCATGTACACTGCCAGACTACCATCGGAGGCCACTTCGAAGTCACCATTTGCCCGGCCACGACAAGTCGGAAAATCTCCGCAATTTGAGCATGCGGTCCACGCTGCAGATACATTCGCTATGACCATCTTCCCCCTGCACTTTGTCTCCAAGAGTGCGCCATGGCGGAAGGGTCCAGCTTCAGAGAAGCAACTCGCTTTCTTGAACAGATCGCGTCAAGAAGGCGAGAAGCTTCGGGTAGGAGACTTGACCATGGGACGAGCCGCGGATCAAATCACGAAAATAAGACACGGTGCGCGGGGACGCCTTAATCGGATCCAAGGAGAGAGGAAGAAGCTTGGGCGAGAGGCAGCGAGGAGGGAGAAGTGGCAGCGCAGGTTCAACCCGCAGGTCAAAGCTGGCCCCGTGCTTGGTAATGTTCGATGAACGGAAAGAGAGGGCCAACATCAGAGTGATGTATCAAACACATCTCGCACCAATCAATAACGCAGGAAACCTCTGATACACCGTACCCTCCCTCCTACACAAATCCACTCCCTAGCTAACAATGGAATTGCCCCTCGTACGGAGTACACCGCAGTGGCGGAACAGGCGGCACTTGGGTACATGCGGCAAATGGAAGAGCTTCGGCGGCTTCCTGCATGAGAAGTTAGAACAGGTGGGTAGGTACTGTAGTAGCTCCGCGCTCCGCGCGTTCCTCGACTTGGCGCGTTGGTCGCAAGCATGGCAAGCATGAGGTGGCGCTATTGTAGTTTCTGTGCAACTTTTAATGTCAAATTGTACTTTGGGACTCGCCTCTGTTGATGACAACAACACGAATACTTCAAGTGGCATAGCAATGMGAGGCACACACCCTCCACATGTAATCCCATTTTTCCTTGACGTATATGTAGCTCTACCGCAATCTCGTCGCCAATAGAGTTTAGACGTCACATGCGATTAGCATCGTTCTAGTGCTATAAGGAGACAAAGTACCTCTACCTGTGCCTTCCAATGCCCCAGCAAGATTTTGTGGTTGCACTCGATATTCCTATCATTGTCGCACGCTTTCCACCCAGACGCAATCGCGTGCCATTGGTGTCTGCATACACACCACCGCGGGGTTGTTATCAGGTCGTCTGGGGTGGTCCGTGTGTGGCATAGTTGGTATCCGACCCGAGACTTTCTCCACCGGATCCCGCTGGGAGGCTTGTTTTGGTCTTTGGGTGTGCCGCCAACACTTCTGCGCAGAAGGCGAGCAGGAGCACGTCCACCCCCTCCATTCCGTTCCGCCACGCCATCATCGTCGTCGCCGCTTCCACCGCCTGCTGCTCGTCTCGTCCTGGATGCTTGGACAGGTCGCGCGCGTGTAGAGCGTTCAATGAGGAGACGCCCGTCCGGCTCCGGCGAAGATGAGGACTGCGACACCGTCCAGTCTGCGCCCCCTGTTCGCGTCGTCGCCGACAAGAAAAAGCCGGYCGAAACGTCCCCCCAGATGACCAGCAAGGGCTCCGCCCGCGTGACCAGGCAGTCATTGCGACCGCCGGAAAGGCAGGGGAAGGAAATGAAGGTGTCGACTGTGGTCGACGGGACATCGAGAAGCCCTTCTTCCTGGCAACGGACGACGATTACAAGTCCTGCATTAGGCAAAATATCGCTGGAGGAAGACCAGCACATACCCACCAAATGCATACCGGATCCTATAGCAGATCATCTGCGGCGCCAGGCCGCACATTTAAGAAGTCCCTGGCGATGTTCGCTGTTGACCCTCGCAACCAGCATAAGCGCGATTGCGATTCTGTTTGCTATCGTACACTCGTTCTTGAACTTTCAGCAGGATCCCAAAGGATGCGCCATGTCCTACATGATGCCGCGATTCGATCCGTTTCCTGATTTCGACACTGAACACACTCGCTTTGGCAGCAAATACTCGCTCTATCTCTATCGCGAGCGTGGCGTTGACGAGGACGTACGGGTCAAGGGGATACCGGTAGTATTCATTCCGGGCAATGCAGGAAGCTACAAGCAAGTACGCCCGATAGCGGCAGAGGCAGCCCGCTACTTTCACGATGAGCTCCGCGAAGACATGGCCGCGATTGATGGTGGGAAGAGGCCGTTGGACTTCTTCACCGTGGACTTTAACGAGGAGCTGATCGCATTCCACGGACACACGCTGCTAGACCAAGCGGAGTACCTCAACGAAGCCGTCGCATACATCCTTGAGCTCTACCACAGCCCACAGCGTTCGTTTCGTGAGCCCGGCCTGCCGAATCCTACGTCTGTCATAGTGTTGGGCCACTCWATGGGAGGAGTGGTTGCGAGGACTATGCTCAGCATGCCGAACTACCAGGCAAACACAATAAACACGATCGTCACCCTGTCTGCACCTCACGCGCGCCCGCCCGTATCGTTCGACGCCGCCATGATTTCGACGTACAACTGGATCAACACCTTCTGGAGAGAATCTTATTCTGAACGTAATGAAGGCAAGAATCCGCTGGACGATGTGACTCTTGTCTCCGTTGCTGGGGGCGGATTGGACACGATGATCCCATCAGAGTACACGAGCCTCACATCCCTCGTACCAGACACCCATGGCTTCACGGTATTCACATCAAGCATTCCGCGTGTATGGACTGGCATGGACCATTTGGCAATAATGTGGTGCGACCAATTTCGGAAGGCACTGGTGAGGGCTATATTCGATGTGCTTGATGTGCGACGGCCCTCACAGACACGGCCTCAGCCAGAGCGCATTCGTGCCATGCGGAAACGACTACTGACTGGTATGGAGCCTGTCGTKGAAAAGGCACAGCTTGAGCACGAGCCCACGACATTCCTGACCCTGGAGCACAGCTCAACCACGATCATGTCACATGGTCAGCGCCTTGTGCTGCGACATCTCGGAGACGCTGGTACGATCAAAGCGCACGTGATGCCCATTCCCGCGCAGCCCTTTGGGCAAGGCAGCAAGTTCACGCTGCTCACAGATCAGGCTTTGGACGGAGGAGATGAAGACGGGGCATTGTCCGTGTTGCTCTGCAGTGTCACGCCTCCACCCACAGGCTTCTCGGTCCTATCATACGCCATAAATCTGGACTCGACCGGCGGCGCTGCGGGATCCACTAGACTCGCATGCAAAAGCGCCGCTCAGGACGTCTCGCTTCTCCCTGCATCGACCAATGAGAGTATCAACGCGTTCGACAACGCTCGGCCCTTCTCCTATCTGCAGTACGATCTGTCTACGATCTCAGACTACCAGTTCATTGCCGTTCTGGAGAAAGCCAAAGAACACACACCGGGCTGGGTCATTGCTGAGTTCAGCGATGCTAAGCAGTCGTCTATCAAAGTTAGCAAAGGGCACCACCAGCTGCTCATGCGCGGCATGCATCGAAAGCTCCCTGCGAATCGGCCCATGATGACAGAGATCAAGATTCCAGAGGTGCATTCCACGCTGTTTGCATATCGCCTCGAGGTCAATCGTCGCCCATGTCAACAGTACCAGGAGAGCTTTGCGCCTCTTCTGCGCCAGTACATCGCTGAACCGTACGAGTCCAAGTACTTTGTCAACACGCAAGGTGGCCACATCAACGTACATGGGCTCTCTCCGTACATGCCACCGCCGCTCGCCGGTGGCGCAACCGATGGGCTATCTTTGCAGTTGTGGACGGACCCGACGTGTAATTCTACCGTTGAGGTGTCGTTGAACGTCGATGTGCTGGGCAGTGCGGGTAAGCTTGTAATGAGGTACCGCACGGTCTTTGCAGCCTTTCCATTGCTAGTCATAGCGCTCGTGCTGMRCAAGCAATTCAAGGTATACGACACTACTGGCGTCTTCATGAGCTTCACGCAAAGCATGGACCAGTGCATCCGAACTTCGTTGCCCGCGATCTTCATTGCCCTCACCTTCTTCGCGATCGCCGTTTCCAAGTCGAATCATGGCACGTGGACAAGGCAGTGGCTTAGCAAAGCGACAGGAAACTCGCAACAGAGGGTTGATTTTACTGTGAACGACCTCATGCTGGGTACATCRGATCCATTCTTCTGGTTTCTGGTGCCACTGTTTGCGATAATCAGCGTTGGCATCTGCATTGCGATGAACTACATTGTTCTCACCTTAACGCATCTAATGGCAGTGGCTCTGAGTCGCGTTCGCGGTTCACCAGTCGATGGCACAAGGTATGTTGTCGCGGACTAGGTAGGCTCTGCGTATGCTAACCATCACGTAGGAAATCCGGCTGCTTATCTATTAATACAAGGCTGTTTATCATCGGCGTCTTCGCCGTGATGATCGCCATGGTCGTGCCATATCAGTTTGCATACCTGGTGGTCTGCATCGTACAAATCGGGACGTGTATCGGAGCATTAAGAAGCGCCCGGGAGACCCAATCCGCTCAGGATTACAACTTTTACAATTACGCCCACTCGATGCTTGTGTTCATGCTTTGGATACTACCAATCAACATGCCGGTGCTGGTTGTTTGGATACATAACCTGGCCGTCCAATGGATGATGCCTTTCTCCACGCGCTATAATCTAATGTCTGTGCTGGGATACATCTTGCTGGTCGAGATGATGAGTACGAGTACGATGATACCTCGCGTCACGAATCGGTCAGTATCTCTGCATGGCTAGGACGTGTGTCAATGCTAACTTCCATGTAGCTTTCGCCACCTCACTAACACCATGATCTTTGCATTGGCGCTCTATGCTGCCGTGTATGGCGTGACGTACGCTTACCGCATGCACTCCCTCGTGAATGCGCTGTGCGTTTGGCTCTATGTCATTCACCTCTCAGGACTGCTGGCGCAATGGATCTCCAGCCCACCGCCGACAGAAGGCCATGTCAAGAAACGACCATGATGCCGTCCTGCTTGAACGCACTTTTTGGATGTTTGTCAGTTAATGTGATAGAGAAGGAGATACCCACGACTTTGCATTGCACAGCGGCATTTGAACCGGGTGCCATCAGCACCCGTGAACGCGCCTTGTACATAATACGTTTACACAGTAGTATATAATGAGTAATACGTCTTGAATCCGTTTTCAAGTGGCGGGGACCCRGCCAGGAAGTTCTCCCCGCGAGCTCTTCGATTGGAAAGCACGATAAGCTCCACATTTAGCCGGCCGCAGCTTCTCGGGCAGTTCTGCCGGCGCAGACAACAAAGACAACAAAGACACCGACAGAAAACAACACTGGAGGATTCAAATGRAGGGGGCTCTGCTAGGCGACGATGACCTGGGCATCGCCAAAGGTCCAAAACCAGTCATAGCTATTGCCGGATTGGGTTGTGAGAACTCTACCTTTACGCCTTCACGCACAGAAGCCGCAGCATTCCATCCCAAGCGTGGGGATGAAATCATCCAAAAGTACCATTTCCTTCATCCTGGGACGGATCTTGGAAAGTCCGCCGACTGGCGTGGAGCGCTGACCGGCCATGCTCTGCCAGGAGGAATGGTAACACGCGATGCATTCGAAACATTGGCAGCGGAAATGCTGGAACGTCTTGAAGGGATTGTTCGAGAAACAACGCTGGATGGTCTTTGGCTGGATATTCACGGCGCGATGCACGTTGAAGGTCTACTTGACGTGGAAGCTGAATTGCTGAGAAGGATCCGTACCGTGATAGGCAAGGGTGTAGTGGTTTCCGCCTCAATGGATTTGCATGGCAACGTCTCAAGAGAGCTCGCCCATCAGACAGATCTCATTACCTGCTACCGTTTAGCGCCGCATGAAGATGAGCTGGAGACCAAAGAGCGGGCGTGTAGGAATTTGGTGAATGTTCTCACGCTCTTCCCTGGAGGTATGCTAGAGGGAGGCAGACCTGGACTGCCGCTCAAAGCCTGGATTCCGATTCCAATCCTCTTGACTGGAGAGCAGACATCAACTAGGGTGGAACCCGCAAAGTCTGTCTACGCTGCTGTTTCCGAGGTGGAAAAGCTTGAGGGGGTTATGGATGCTGCCATCTGGGTCGGTAAGCTTTTCCACAACAATGACCCAGGCTGTTGATCATTTATTGACCTGGTGGGTTTGTTTCAGGCTATGCGTGGGGAGATGAAAGAAGAAATCGCGGAATTGTAATGGTCACTGGCTGGAAAGAATCTGCGGTCACACAAGCAGCCGAGCACCTCGCCCGTCTCTTCTGGGATGCACACGACAAGTTCGAGTTTGTGGCGCCTGTAGGCTCACTCGGGGAGTGCCTGGATGCTGCTCTGGCTTCAACGCAGCGTCCTTACTACATCTCCGATTCTGGAGATAATCCCACAGCGGGAGGATCAGGTGATGTCACTTGGACGTTAGAGAGGCTTCTCAAAAGAAAGGAGTTCCAGGATGGGTCCGGCCCAACAGTCATCTATGCGAGCATTCCGGGACCTGAAGCTGTCCACGTTATGATGCAGGCCGGCATAGGATCCACAGTAACGGTCACAGCAGGGGCTGAGGTTGACAACACTCACTCTGGACCTGTGACCATGACTGGCCGTGTACATGCCCTGCGATCAGGAGACAAGCATGCAGTGCAAGAAGCTGTTCTGCAAGTGGGCAGCGTTTTTGTGATCATCACCAAGCTCAGGTGACTAAATCAAAGGGCGGAAATCGTGCACGGTAGCTCGAAGATTTCTCTCGAGCAAACCAAGCTGTGGGATACGTAGGAATCGTCCAAGTCATCGCTAACCCTTMTACCTTTCCCTTCTAGGAAGCCATACCACTATGAACACGACTTTGTCAATCTCGATCTCGATGCGAGAGCTGGAGCCGACATTGTCATCGTGAAGATTGGATACCTTCAACCGGAATTGTTCGACATGTCTGTGGGTTGGATCATGGCGTTGACTCCAGGCGGAGTGAATCAGGATCTCGAGCAGCTGGGTCACCACCATATTCGACGGCCGATGTATCCTTTCGACAAGCATTTTCAGTCGACACCGAACTTGGAGGCCCACATACTGCCACTTTCATACGAAAACTTGACGGGTGAGGATATATAGTCAAATTCGTTACTTTCCAACTACCATTCGCCCTGTAATAGGCCATGATTACTGATATACACTACCCTCGCTTACGCTGTATCACAAGCGCCAAGTCGTAATACATACGTGCGTAAGGAAGCTGAGCTTAGTGATCAGCTTGCTCGGCTTTAAGACAGAGCTGATGTTTTTACTGTCCACTGACTCCTACAATACCACACACTTTGTATGTCTCAAACCGTACCACTTGAAAGAAACGACAACATGGTTCAAATCGAAGAATACAGCTTCACCTACTCCACCAACGCCGAAAAGAAGACCACCTACCTGGCTGCTGGCCCGAAAGATGGACCTCTATTGATCTTCGTCCATGGTACATCAATCTAGACGAACCTCTCTAACCAGAACGCAAGACAGAATACTGAATATGTGACAGGTTGGCCAGCGATTGCCAAAACCTGGAAAGTTTCCCTAGAATTTTTCGCCAACTCTGGTTTCCGTGCTGTAGCTCCCGATATGCCAGGTAAGTCTGCCTTGAGAGATGTTGCTTGTACATAGCGTAGGACACGACTGATTTGAAAAAGGCTACGGAGGATCAACTGCACGTAAAGTCACAGAAGACTATTCTCTGGAACAAATCAACCTTGGAATGGTTGCACTCATCGACCATCTCGGTCGGGACAAAGCCATCTGGATCGGTGAGTCAAGCGACTCCATTCTCGTTTATTTCCTCGGCTATACCTGACGTATGTATTAGGTCACGACTGGGGCTGCGGAGCAGTCTGGTCGTTCGCGGAGCATTATCCAGAGCGCTGTGTTGCTGCGGCTGGTCTCGCAGTTCCCTCTCACATTATCGAGAAGGGACTGGACGAACTGGTCAAGACCATCAACAGGGATATCTACCCCGAAGATAAGCACCCTTATGGACAGTGGTGAGTGCGAAGCTCGCATATGAAGACATCGTGCAATGTTGATGATATGTTTAGGAGCTACCAGAAGTTCTACGAGGACGATTTCGGTAAGTTGTTCAGGACCTATATGATAGCCCGAAGCGATCCACCACGGGCTACCATGAGCTTTCGTCGACTTGTAACCGGAGACATTGCTGACGCCTCGACTCTCCGTAGAAAAGGCAACTGCTTGGTTCGAAAAGAACCCAGCTGCTTTCCTTCGCGCGGGTTACTCCAAGGGCAGACCTGATTCAGTTGGGAAACCCGCCATCCTGGCTGGCGTCAAAGAAGCCGGAGGATGGTTCGGAGGTATTGCAGAGCCGGATCCAAACTGGAAGCACATTCCCCTCGAAGCGACGGTCTTCGAGTCCGAGGAAATGTACAATGATGTTGTGGAAGCTATGGAGCGAACCGGCTTCTGGGGTGCAGTAAGATCTCTTTCTCTCCATCAACCCCTCTCTGTAACAGTCCTGATGGAGCTTTACAGGACTCTTGGTATTCCAGCCATGCTGCGAATCGCGCCTATTTCGACAAGGCGGCGAATAATGGCGAGTTGTTGATGCCTACGCTATTCATTGGAGCCACGTACGATACGGTTTGCGATACTGTTACTTCGACGGCTGCCGATAACCAGAAGAAGTACAGCAAGAATCTGACGGAGGCTTCTGTGGTATGTTCCCTTTCATAGTAGGCGTATTCCGGTACTGACCATAATGCAGGACGCCGGCCACTGGGTCTATATGGAGAAGCCGGACGAGGTGAATGCCATCATCGCGAAGTGGATCGAGGAGAGTTGCAAGGAGTCTTGGCCTGGAAACGTAAAGCCAAAGGTTTAACAGCATTGCCACTCCCGAGTGCCTCGATATTGTGTAGATGTACATGCTATCTCATGGATAGATAGCAATGAATGAAATGCTTTCCATGCGAGGCAAAGCGCTTCAATATTGTCGAGTCTGAATGAGAAATAATACCATCATCTGAGCATAACTGTTACTGCCCATCTAGGTCAAAGAGACCTGTGAATYAGAACTCCGACGCTAAAACCCATCACGCAATATCAATCATTCCAGACGTTCCTCTCGGGCTCGTAGACTGGACTCGTTGCCTTTGCCTTTCCCTTTCCCTTACCGTCATCCAGCTTGCGTGTCTCCCAGGGTTGATCGTGCCCTAGTTCATCTGTCCCGTGGCGATCTTGGATTGGCGCGAGCCTGTCATCATCGCTCCCATCGCCGACAGTAAAAGGGTCCGTAAGTGTATGCCCATCATCGTTCAGCCCCTCCTCAGGACGATCTGGGTTGTAGCCTTCTCGGACTTCTTCCTCCTCCTCATCACCTTCCCCGTTCTCATTCGCCGCCAGGTTAACGAAATGCTTCGGTGCTATACTGTTCCAGCCGGGTCCGCCCTAAATTGAAGGGTAGGAGGTTAGCAATGTCCGAGAAAACTTCAATGCGCACCGAGGGCTGGCAAAGCTCGACGGGCTCCCCATCTTCCCCGCATGCTTGCTGCCCTCCATTCTCTTACCTCTTTCCTTGCGCGGACGCGTTCTATCTCCTCTGCTTGGTGGTCTTCGACGACGAGATCTACAAGTTGAGAGCTGTGGGAGTGAGTGGATGATACGGCGGTATCGGAGGAATTGTGTCGAAGAAGGGAGCCGAYAACTGGGATCTTATTCAAAACTTTCCCTTTGCCGCTGCCTCCTTCACCACTCTTGTTAGAAGAGTCCGAGGTGCTAGGTCGCCCGTGCTGATGTGCGTCCTTTCGCATGTCACGGATCCGTGATCGCCTTCGCTCCTGGTTGTCTTTAGTTGGCTGCAACAGTGCWCGATTTGTAGACTGTGAGATGATGTTGGGATCTGCAAATAGACGATCTTCACGCGAGGCATAGTGTGTGTTGATGACCGGATAGTTCCAATCACCAAATTCCAGCGCACGGGCGTTGACGTAGAGCCGTTCCTCTTCTGGATCTTTCTCTAGCACCTCGTATTCATCATGAGTGCCGTATCCTTTCCCGCGACTAGTGGATCGAGACTGATGGCCTCCCCCACCGGGACTCATGGTCCGCGCATGGCTGTGAGGTAAGACCTTGCTCAGGAGAGGCTTGCGTACTTCAGTTGCGGCCGGCACCCAGTACTTACCCCGTCCATTTCTCTCGTAACGCATGCCCTCTCKCATGCGTGCCTCCCTACTCGCGGACTCTTCATGAGCCATGACATTATCGTCGGCATCAAAGTAACGGTACTCATACTTCTGCCCGTTCCAAGTATCCTTGCAATCCTCAATCAGATCTCGCGATCCGAAAGCATCGCGCAAGGCAAATCGAATGGGCATTCTTGCATCGCTGATGGTCTTGTCAGCGTAATCCTTCCAGCTGAAGGCATACCACTGAGCCACGGCGAAGAAGGGCATCTCAAAGCAGATTAGCGCATCCTGAATGGCCGCAGCTAAGTTGTCCGCGTTGTAGCCCGTGCCGTCGATACTGGGAATGGCACCCAGCCAGACGAGGATGGAGAGGAAGAATCCTTGCCACCAACTGGCAAAGATGATGCCCTTGATGCAGAGGAATTTGGGCATGGGTCGGAAAGGCTGCAAGTCATGTGTCATGCACACCCAGAACAGAGCCAGATCGTACAGCGACCAGAAGATGCTGACGTTGTAGATGAGACTGGTCCACATGTAGCCCGAGTTGACGGCCATGACACCCTCGCGAAATGTACCTGTGGCCTTGCAGATGATGGWGGTGAGTGCCAGAATGGGCTTTATCCAGGCATACTGTAAAATACCACGCTTGATCTGCAAGAAGGAATGCGGGTCACTGATATCAACCTTGGCGAAGACGTGGTTCATCGGCCAGGGATGCGGAACGGGCGGACGACCGTGCATCATGATGATCAGACTGCGCTCGCCGCCGAGGAAATTGACGAGGACCTGGAAGAAGGTGTAGATGGTAAAAGCCTCGTAGATGTCGCGGACGGGGTCGACCCAAAAGGCCACGCGCAGAGAAGTGAGCGAGGCCCACGATGCGATTGAGAAGATGGGGACGAGGATCAGGATGCGGATGACATGACGCTGGAGCAGCGGTTTGCGGTAGTTTTTGGCCTGCAACAAAATCGACACCACCGTCGCGATGCAGGCGACGAGGGCGGAAACACCGGCCAGGATGACGACCCATTCCGCAAAGCTAGAACCCGTGCCGCTGGGATCTGTCGCCTCGCTGTCCGCTGTCCAGAACGGTGCTCCCAGTTCGGTGTCCATCTTGTCCACCGTGGTTGTTGTCCAGGCTGCCATCTCTTCTCTTCTCGTCTCTCTGTGCAACTGTGTTCTCGCTATTGCTGCATGATGGATTGGGGATTGATCGGCACACGTGCTGGAGGCTGTCCACCACAAGCTTGTCGATGATTATTGAGCGGCGACAGTGTGTTGTGGTGGGGATGGAGCATCGACAAATGGAGACTGGAGCTCCCAAAGTTCAAGTTCAGGGCTCAACCTGGAAGTTCACGTCGTCACTAGCGCCAGATGAGCCATGACGGCGTTACTTCCGTCACATGCAACCTTCTCGGCCCGTCTGGCCCATGACCATGGGTGCTGGCATACCTGGAATGAAAAAGGAGAGATTGATGACTGCGTTTGGCCCAAGTATACATTGACACCATATCGAAATCTTCGTTGCTCATCATTTGCATCATACTTGTACATACATTGGATACCACGCATTAAACACCCGAACTCATCGCTTTTGACTCACACTGCTCGACCTAGATCGAGAAACCGCAGTAATGTCACTCTCACTTCCACTGCCAAACCTCGTACGTCGAGCAACGTCTTCTTCAGGTGATAAGCCTGGGAGACTGCCATGGGACATCTTGTCGGTAGCTTGGCCTTCATTACTTGGGCGCAACGTTGAGCCCTCGCCGGCATCATTCTTGACCTCTTCGGAGAATCTCACGTGTCGCTGGTGCCACTCACTGGCCTCGTAGTCGTAAAGGCACTCCGCATCCTTGCCGTACCAGAGTGGCTCATTCACCGCAATCTTCCTGACGTCCAGCCAGGGGTGTGGAGAAGAGTTGGCCGCGTGGAAGATAGAGTCCATCTCTTCGAGGCAGCGCAGAGATGTTTCGGGATATAGGAAATAAATTATGGGGAGGATTACGGCATTTCTGGCATCGCGCGTCAGTTGTGTTGCAACCTAGCATTGAAACAATCATGACTTACGTGCAGACGAAGATCAAGTATGACTTCCACGTCAAAGCCGTAAAAGCAACAGGTCCAATGAATGTAACGATGAAGTTTGCGAGCCAGTTGGAGGCTGTTGAGAGGGCATTGGCAGGTCCTCTGATCCTCAGCGGTACAATCTCGACTTGGTAGATCCAGCTCATACCCTGCCATCCGATGGCATAGCACGTGGTGAAAATGAAAATGAACGCAGTGCCGGCGTCGAGCGAGGCACGAGTGTTCTTCCACAGCATGATGGTCAGAATAGTCATGGAGAACAGCATTCCACTGGTGCCAAACAGCATCAACCCACGACGACCGGTTACGCGATCAATGCAAAAGACCGAGATGAAGGACGCTAGGAAGAAGATGGTTCCAGCGCCGGCTGCCAGAATCGCTGCGTTCCAGGCCGGAGCATATGGTGGCATCCATTTATATTGATTCGCGAACATGGCCGAAAAATACTGCGTCATGAAGTTGATCCCGCAGAGCTGCTGACAGGCCTGTAGTACGACTGCGAGTACCACCCTGTGGCCGTCTCGGTAATCGCCCATGCGGAACATGTTGGTAAATGATCCTTGAGACATCTCAATGACTGCATCCTTGATCTGGAGGAACTCTTGGTGAATCTCGTTGTCGTCTATATAGAGATCATTCAGCGCGGAGAGGACCTCAAGCGCTTCGCCTTCACGGCCGTTGAGAATCAACCTGAACACGGAAAAGGGATCAGTCGCCCATTTTCTCCTTTTACATGGTAAAAACTCACCACCGAGGACTCTCAGGCATGAAAATCATGATGACAAAAGCCATAACAGCCCAGATTATCTGGAGACCGATGGGGACTCTCCAGGAAGCAGTACTAGGATCCAAGAATCTGAATCCGAATGCAACCCAATAAGCAAAGGCCATGCCACCTGCAATCGAGACTCCAGCAGAGATCATGAGGACAGTACCTCGCCGATACGCCTTGGTACACTCGGCCTGCCACGCCGGGATTGTAGCACAGTTGAATCCCAGACCAAATCCGGATATGAATCGACCAGCCAAAAGCTGTCCCCACRTAAAAGCGGAACATTGTATGATCTCTCCTACGATGAGGAATATGAGACCACCGAAAACCATGTTCCTACGTCCCAAACGGTCGCCGATGAAGACAGTGAGGATAGCAGAGCAGAAGCATCCCAAATTCCAGATTGCAATGGTAAATCCCGACGTGACCGCTCGTGTAAGGCCGGTGTCCAGAGTAGCGTGTGCGGGAGGAAATTCTTTGCCAAAGCTATCAATGATGAGATAGGCGCTTGATATACCTTGACCGTAGCCATAGATGCTGGATATTTGTCAGAAGCAGTTCCAGAGGCATTAGCATGCGATACTGACAAAAAGCACAGCCCAGCTGCCACTCCAATGGCGTGCGAGAGACCCTGACCTCGCAAGCCCAAATAGGACTTGGATGTAAGCATGATGAGAGAGAGGTGTACGTTCAAGACTTGGATGTTATCGCAGGCTTGGGCCTGGGGATCTGCTCATCAGAGCCAACAGCAACGACGAGAAGTGCCACGGCGTATAAGGACCCAGGAGAGCAACAGGAGGGGAGGGCACGAGAAACATATGTGCAGAGAACCTTCCCCACTCCCAACCAGGTGGGCGTCCGATGAGGGCATCGATTGCTGATCTGATGCCAGTGCAGGTCGGGCGACAACTTGGCGAACTGACCAAAGTTCAGGGTATCGCGTGCCTCTTCGATCAGGTCCAATCGCAGCCGTCGTAGTAGCGAGAGCCGTTGAAATGGCAGACGAGCACTTGCATCCGCCAGCCCCGAAGACATGATAATGTGGTGGGTCGAAGCCGAACCGCGTCAAGCATGTCTCGCGTGTGTATGTGAAGACGTCAAGTCAAGTCAGCGGCTCCGTTGGAATTGGGAGCCGGCGGGAGCTAGGGACGTGCCGAGCACCGAAGCCGAACGTACGGGTCGTTGGAAGATCTGTTTTCCAACCTCGACAGTCGACACAGCGTGTGTGGCCTGAGAGACACCATGTCCGTTTGCTCCAACCAGTCCACGCTTACGAGGCATCGTCGCATACATTGGTGAATGGTCTCGATAGCAGCGACACCCTAACTTCTCCTGTGCTGAATCTTCCTACTCTGTGCCCGATGACGAAGTCCTCCCTCTCAACAGCGAAATCATGGTACGGAAGCTGGCCGCCCTTTGACCCGGTCGATGGAGTACCTTCGATTGGCTCACCCAACCACGCAGGCCTCGGGCATTATGCGCAAGCACGTAGTACGTCTGGACGAAGATCGAAGGGTGTGTATAGGCCATGTCTCGGGATCGAGTCGGCTGAGACTCGAAAATTGAGAAAAGAAGCAGACACCGCGCAAATCACGAAGTCGTCGGGTTGGACCACGGCTTAAACGACGAACTGGAGCTGGGGGGCCAGAAAGCACTGCTAAAGAGAACTCTAATGTTGTCGATGGGGTAATTCTGGATTAGAATTTGTTTTGCTGTCACTGTGCTGCGGACTGGACGAAGGTAATCGATCTCAGAGCTACGGTAGTGCCATTGACTCGCAGTCAAGGTTAAGAGTTCTTTTCATGTTACGATCCAGCAGTAGAGGCATACTCTATCAAGGGATTTCCCGCATAGTTCGCAAGAGCTTCAACTTCTCCACACGATCAGAACTCTACAGTTCCGTGCTCTTCTCACGCACATTTCGCCCGTCTAGTAACCGAATATCACAAAGCTCTCAACTGCAGTGCACGGATTGGCGGGCCCTACGCTGCCTCAATTGTGGGCACAGTGATATTTGCAACAGGACAGTAGTATCGACCCGCAGATCTACAGATTTTACAATCAGCTCTCGCGTTCTGTCCAGCACCGGTCAGCATCACCACCACTAACTTCTCAAATTCTCCTTGATCTCTTACCTGACGACTCTTACTTGAAAACAATGCTACAACCACTTTCATCACACCACGTCCATATCTTCCATCATCGCCGTTGAACGTCAATGCCAACACAATCACATGTATATGCTCCTTAGCAGCCCTCAAATACATCGGCGTCTCCCACCCCACACTCTCGATGCTGTGGAACAGATACTCGGAGCGAAGCAGTGACTCGCCGGATAGCTTCCTCGACTTTATAAAGGCCTCCACTACATTGAAGCAGTCGACATATCCGGACTTACCGATAGAGACGCCATGGTCAAGATGGGAAACTCTACAGAACTCCAGGCTGCGTTGCTCGATCCAAAGCTTCGCAAAGTGTCCAAATAAAACGGGGAAATTGAAGCTCGCTGGCTCTTCCATGTTGCGAATCGACAGCGACGCTTGCGATTGGGCGGCTAGAAGCACGAAATTCAGCGGCTTCGCGGAGAATTGGATCTAATCGTCTTCTCGGTCGTGGCGTTGCTGTCATCCGTTGTTTTATTGTCGTTGTTGAAAGCGAGAAGTCCTGGGTAGGTCATGGTCAGTTCATCTTGAGATGTTGAGTAAGACCGCTTGTGCCGTAATTGGCGAGTTGAGGCCACGACAGAAATGTACTGAGGTGAGGATATTGCATGACTGTTGGCATTGAAGACGTCTGTCTTCTCATTCAAGTCCTTGGCGTGAACTTTTCCCCCTTGCAAGCGTCCACGCTCACATGTCGCTCGAGATCTAATTCCACTTCGACCATTTTGACAGGCCACATGGTCTTCCCACATTTCATACCGCGTCCCTCATCATGAAGATATGCTGCGCATACTTTTCCACATGCACTCCAAACGCTATCATTCCTTGTCACTGAAAACGCCGTACGCCTTCCGTGCTGCTCTCGCCGACAGAATCTAAGCCAAGCCGCCTTYGTCACTCTCACTTCCGCTCTCATCACCGCTGACTTCCTGGTTCTCCTTCTCCTTCTTGTCCATGAGTGCCTGGAGCTCCGCGTCGTCGTTTTCGGTGACAGCCTTCGGTGCCATCTTCACAGAGAGTGTACCATCCTCGCCACGGATTGCCGCCTCGACCTCCTTGATGGCCTCCTCGAGTACCTCAATTCCGTTACTCTTGTCGACGGTTGTACATGTGAGGACGTAGAGTGGTGGCGAGACGAGACGGACCTTGACCTGGGTGTCCTCGGTGCTCTTGGCCTCGGCCATTCGCAGAGCGCGCTTGACGGCGTCAATACCCTCATATCCGAAGCAAGTAACCTGTAGAGTACGTTAGAGAAATGCTAGCGTAAGAAGATTGAAATCATGCATACCTCGATATCGGCACGGACTTTCGTAGGCTGTGGAGTAAGACGCTTGCCAATATAGCTCTGCAACTCGTCGCGAATGACATTGCTCTTGAAGACCACCTCATTCCACACATCCGGGTTGGTGATGGAGAGCTTGAAGGCATCGACCGCATGTCCGTACTTCTTGTTCAACGGCCACGCGATATCCTGGTACAGCTCCTCAATCGGCACATTGACCTTCTCCGCAACATGACGCATGATGCTATGTACCATTTTGCTCTTGTTGTAGCGTTCCTCACACTTGACGATGTCCTCGGGACTGACTCTGCGCTTCGACAGATCAATGTAACCCTTTTCCTTGTCCACTCGGAGCACGACCACGACCTCATTGCGTCCGACTCGGATGAGCTTCTGGATAGAACGGATACGCCGCCGGGAGAGTTCGGAGAGGAGGATCATGCCGTCGATGTTGTCGTATTCCAGCAATTTGACGTATGCGCCCATTTCTGCGATTTGCTTGACGTTGACCATGACGAACGAGTCGATTTCCGGGAATCGCTCCTCGTAGAAGCGGCAATTTGTGAGAGACATGATGGCGGTACTGTGTAGTGTAGACTGCCGGCGTGGCGATTTGGTGGAGGGAAGTGAAGTAAGGTGGGTTGTCTTTGTGTTTGTATTCTGGGAGTCACAAGTGTTCCGTCTCAAATTTAACCCCACCAAGCAAGTACTGTACCTTGGAGAACTACTTCGGAGGGAGGACTTAGAACTCATCCACTGCATTACTTTCATACCTTCATTGGCAACGCAGACAGAATATTTCTCGAGTAGGGGCAATGACCTGGACATTGCTCAAGAAGAAGAGCGACGGAGTGCCACATCCTTGACAGGACGGCGCACTCATCAACAGGAGCACGTGCAAGCACAAAAGAGTCATATTCAGAAAGTATACCCAGGCCATCTCGTCTCAAGGCATGACACCCGCAATACTGAGATCTGGGATTTCACCCGTATCGCCCACTAGCCTGACAACCTCCTCACCACACTCCACTCCGCGATCGTCCGTATACCACGCCCTGAACCACTGATTGGAACGCTCAGCGATCCCGCCAGGCCCGCCCTCCCCGCTCTCGAACCGCACACCACACCGCCCACCTCCCCATCTCCATAGCCGGAAGGTCAATTGCTTATACACCAGCTTCCATACGCTCTCGTTGAAGCAGCCCTCATTCCTCACCTCGACACACTTGACATTCCTCAATCCTTTGAACGTCTCCGAAAAGATGTAYGCAAGAGTATGGCTTTGGCTGAGATCTGCTATTTCTGCAAAGGCCGCGCCGTAGACTTCAGGTCGACTGGGGATGATGACGAGCGTGTCGAGTCGGAGGGATGGGTGGCCAAATGGGAGACTCAGCCATGCTTCGTTGAGAGCTCTCAGATGCGAGGTTCTGGCCCGCAACGTGATATGTCGGATCGCACCGATTCTGGCTGCCGACAACGGACGCGATCGTAGGTCGAACAGGTCGGGGTAGGTGCACTCTCCAGAGATGTGAAAGGGTGTGAGTGAGAGGGCGAGTAAGTTGGCTTCCTCRTACATCTTCCTACATGTGAGTAGGACGTCGAGTTCATTGGATTTGCTGCGTGCGTTTGAGGGTTTGATGGATTGTAGTCCGAGGGCCGTTGCGAAGCTGGAGGCTTTGTCTGGGAGCTCTTTAGACGTCGATGCGTAGAGCTCTGGGTCGTCGAAGATTAACATGTATATGGAGTTACGGAGCYCAGAGGGAATGGTCAGCAGAGATGCCGTCTCGGTAGACATGTTGGAGTAGTGCTGTAGGAGAGTGAATGACGATGTGTGAAGATATTGATTGTCTTGCGAGGCGATATGAAGATACGAGAGGGAATAATCACGCGGAAGTGTTATCAACAACAACGTATGGCTGAACGACAACGAGATGAGTGAGAAGATGGAGGCGAGATAGAGGTCTTGCTGCTCACTRGCAGTGACGCTGTCACGAGCTTCGAGGCTTTGATGAATCGGCGGGGTCGTTTGATCGCTCGGACTGATTGATCGACGACCTTGATGGGGAGAAGTTGCCGAGCGACTTCCCATCTTCATCTACATCAACAACGACATCAACAATAGCTTTGCTCGACGATGATGTTTGCCATTTGTGCAGCGGTGCTGTGCGGATGAAAGCGGACTTGCTCCCTTGGAACTGTACTAAGTAAGATGCTTGAGCTTGACATCCCGCTCTCTGCCATCCCGGCGTCCAGCAAATGGCATGGAAGGCACGTCATGCAACGTTCTCTTTCTCATCCAACACATGCTTATAAGTAGGCATGGGCTCCCAGGCATCCTCGGCATGCTCGCCGTCTGTGTCTGTGGATGAAGAGGAAAGGGCAGTCCAGAGATCATCATCGTTATCGTTGTCATTCCCATCCCTATTTGTCCCGAGGTACCAGCAAATATTGGCTTTCCAGCAGCTGTACTTGAGGAAATTGCTGTCCACATAAACTGTTCATCAACACGACCAACATGACAGAAAGCCGAGAAAAAGTCATCATTGTTGGAACGGGTTGGGCGGGTTTCAATCTCAGCCAGAAGCTGAACGACAAGAAGTTTGATATATCGGTCATCAGTCCGAACGACACTTCTCCGTATACGCCTCTTCTGGTATGTTGCAACATTGGGTCGAATCGATCAACGTACTAATCAATTGGACCAGGCGAGTGCAGCTTGTGGTCTCTTCGATTTCTCCCTCGCAGAAGAGCCGATTCGCCACAAGTCCAAGAAAATCAACTACTACAAAGCCATTGTTGACACCATTGACTTCGATCAAAGAATATGCAAGTGTGTTTCGGTTTGTGCCATTGAAGATGGCGGTGACAGAATCTTCGACGTGCCATATGACCGCCTCATTCTCGCTCCCGGGTAGGTCAGACTCTTCCTCATTGCACTCCATCTAACACTCTTAAGATGCATCCCCAACACATTCAACACTCCCGGAGCCGAAGAACACGCCTACTTCATCAAGAACGTCTCAGACGCCAAACGCGTCCAAAACCGTCTAAAGCAGCTCTTGGAGCTCGCTTCGCTCCCCGGTATCACCGAACAAGAGCAACGCGACCTTCTCCACATCGTTGTCGTGGGAGGTGGACCAACAGGTGTGGAAATTTCGGCCGAGATGTCGGATCTCTTTAATGAGGATTTCGCGTTCTTGTACCCTCACCTAGCCGGCAAGATGACCATGTCCATCCACGACGCAGCACCTTTCATCTTAGGAGCTTTCGAAGAAGCCCTCCGTGAACATTCCATCAACAGTTTCTCGAAACGAGGCGTTACCACCTATACGGATTCGAAGATTTTGAAGGTCGAACACGACAGCATTACGACCGAGTCTGAAGGAAGGATCGGGACGGGAATGGTGATCTGGACTGCGGGGAACAAGCAGTGTAAACTTGTTGATGATCTGGATGTTGCCAAAACCGATGGTATGCCGAGGATCATGACGGATGAGTATCTACATGTTCTTGATAGTAATTGGGAGTCGATGAAGGATGTTTATGCTCTTGGCGATGCGGCGGATATCAGGAAGCAGTTTCTTCCTACTACTGCTGAGGTTGCTGTCCAAAAGGCGGAGTTCCTCGTCAAAGCTCTGAATTCGGGGAAAGACGGACAGAAGCCATTTGTATATGGGCAGAAACCACTCGTGGCGTACATTGGAGGTAAGCGGAACTGCAGGATTTTTCTTCTCACAACCTTGCTAACCGGAGCTATAGGCCACGATGGTGTAGTGTCAGGTCAACCAGACTGGAGTGGAACAAGAGCGTGGAGGGCATGGAGGAGTAAGAATTTATTGTGGACCAGAAGCTGGCGGCGGAAGACGATGATTATGATGTACTGGACTTTGGATTACTTTGGCGGCAAAGAGATTGCTAGACTGTAAAACGAGTCGGGTCTGAAAACATCAAATGGCGTCCTGCTGGTCATCTGTGAGCTATTTAGCCGAAATATGACATTTGTCTCCAACGGCCATTCACGCAGCCTTCGTTTCGACCACAATCTGCGTGTCGAGCTCTTGCTCAATCCCCGCAATATCCAATGTCGCCTGTCCGCGTCGAACAAGCTCCACGTCCGGGAMATCAGAGTGTTTATGACCGTCGAAGAGGGCGTCGATTTCCTCGAGACTTTTCCCTTTGGTTTCCACCCAATACACAGCCTAATTTCTAAATTTTAGAGATCTGACGGGAATAACGGGGAAGGAGATCCACTTACGATGAGCACGACAACAATAATGTCCCAGCCACCGTTGATCATATACATTTTCCAGCCGATGTTGTTCAAACCAATGGGCATCACAAACACGAGGACGAGCCTGCTGTCGTTAGTACGCGTAGTGCATCGCCCTTCCCGTGGGGTTGAAATATACTTACGCAAGGACATTCAACGACAGCGACGAGAACGCCAGACCGTTAGCTCTAATAGAATAGTTCATGACTTCCGGAGGGTAAAGATACAGAAGAGGAGTCCAAGCCATGGAATAGAACCCCTGAAACAAAAAAATGGTCGCAACATTCCCGTAGATCAAACTACTCGATGCACCGTCGGGATTGCTCRCGTAGAGCTTCGAGAGGCCTCCAATGATAAACATGCAGGTCACTAGGAGACACTGCGTCGTCAGAGCCGTCGGTTTGCGTCCCCAGCCAGCACAAAGTTGCGTGCCGAGGAGACTGCAACCTAGACAGAAGACGTTGAGAACGACGTTGGCTTTGAGCTGTTGGAGGCTATCGGTGATTCCCGCCGTGTCTAGTTGGGCTCCGAGATAGTAGGATGCGATGATGTTTCCTGCGATGCATGAGAATGGTCCTGCTGAGGCGCCGATGAGGAGTCTTTTCCTTGCGGTGGGATTCTTGGCGATTTGTAGGGGAGTCATGGTTCGGGATTCTTCCTTTTCCCATTTCAGAGTGTCGACTATCTCTTTGTAGATTGTGAGGACGACTGGGTCTGTAATGTCGCCATTTGCGTTGGTCTGAGCAACTGCGAGGCGAGCTTCGTCGTAGAGGCCTCTGTTTGCAAGCCATCGGGGCGATTCTGGACTAAAAGGCAGTCAGAAATACGGCATGAGTCGTATGGAGTCGAGTTTCTCACATGAAAGGTAGAATCAAGATGCAAAGAGCGGAGAAGACCCCTTGAAGGAGAGATGGTGCTCTCCAAGCCCATGTAGACTCCCACTTGCTGGTTCCGAGTGTTATACCCGCGGCCAAGAGAGCACCGACATACTAAAAGTCATTCAGGAGACCTACGCCCCACGCACGGTACCTTGAGGAGAAGGACTCCGAGAGGTAGACACCGCCTGCCGTTCCAGATATTGCGCTTCCAAAGCCCAACACAACACGTGCGACTACAAACATCTATAGGAGATGAGCGATATCGAAACAGACCTTGGATCTTCACCAAACTCACCCCAATATGTTGTGCAGCTCCTTGAAGGATGATCCCGATGAAGGTTATCATTGATCCCCAGAAGATTGCCGGCCGTCGACCCAGTCTGTCTGTCGCGATGCCAGAGATGAGAGAGCCGAAGATGCTACCCAGAAACACCGAGGAAGTGTTGAGACCCGTTGTGGCAGGCGTTAGTTCAAAGTAATCGGTGTATGAAGGGAGAATGTTAAGCCCATTCAGCATTGAGCCATCGTAGCCACCGGTCTGTGGTCGATGTCAGTGATCGTCACCCTCTTTCTCACGACTATGCCACATACGGTCGACTGCTCTACAGAACATATGATGAGGAGAAATGAGAGTGTAAAAGTAGACTGAGGGACAAAGGCCGGCAACCAGGTGCCCGTGGGCGATTTCCTTAACATCGTTGCAACAGACTGCTAATGTTTCGCTCGCGGGAAGCCAGCGTCTATGAAATGGAACGAGGCTCACTTATCAAATATATGGATAGCATAGAGTGGAGTGGTATCGTAATGTTCCTCTCGCAAGTCCCTGCAGTGACGATCTCCTTGCAATCCCCGCACAGCTTCCTTCTCTTCCCTTGTCGTGTGACACGAGAGGTGGTATTAACCGCAAGAAGCCCGCAGTAAAGCACGAGATAGGCGAACCTAAAGGCTGATAGTGGTCAAATTGCTCGCCGCGGCCAACTCTTGAACTCTGCAGATCAAGCTCGATATACTCATATCCTTTACTGCGGCCACAATCTGGTGCAACCTTCGCCTAGAAGCCCGGGGAAAGCAGAACCCACGCTGCGGACCTGACAATAAGCGACGTCGAAGCCTTGTGCTCTCAGCTCTGCGCGATCATCAATGTGTAGGACAAGTGAGGAAGGAGGATAACGATGATGATGATACTGGTATTCTGAGAGGAATCTCAGATCCGCATGACTAAGCTGGTCATGAGCTGGTTGCGTGAGCTGATGAGAAGCCTGTGTAGAGTGAGGTCTCATACTCATGCAATAAATGACAACTCGTAGAAGGAGAGACGAATGCTGTTGTTGTTGACGTTGAGGCGGTGGTGGGAGGAATAGCCGCTTCCTCGCGACAAGCTTTTTCTTGGCACCCGCCGCAATGGCATCATTCATCATGCTGCGCGCTTCTTCGAGGTCAACCCGCGGTGATATCATCACAACCGCACCCGCGGAATTCGTTGGATGAACCCGCAAACGCACCACAACCCATCGGTGTTGTGCCGTATAGGAATACATGAGATGCCGGAATAAGTAGCTGGATGCGGAATTGATGAGAGACGCCGAAATCTAGACGGGCACGCCATCTTTTGGCGTGGAGCAAAATCATCTATTTCCCCGACCTCATTTCTTGCACCATCTCCACGATCCTCCGGGACTTGATATCGCCTTCACCATTATGTCAAGATACTGAACGATATACCTGTCGAAACGTCGGACCATGAGCATCCGCAGCGAGTCCATCGCCGATGACGGCAAGCAGCGTACCCTTGTGGATATCGCCCCAGAATCATTCGCCGGCCCGTCATCAAGACCAAATGTCTCCGAGGGAGACTTTGTCACAGAGCGAGAAGACCGAGATCTGAACAGAGGACTCCATCAACGACACATTTCACTCATCGCCCTGGCTGGTGCAATTGGAACCGGTCTCTTCCTCGGCCTTGGATCTAGCATACAGACTGCAGGTCCTTTGGGCGCTCTCCTCGCATATGCTACCATCGGCCTGGTTGTATGCGCCGTTCAGTTTGCATTAGGCGAAGTCACAGCTCTGCTCCCGGTAACTGGAAGTTTCGTCAGACATGCAGAATTCTTCGTAGACCCAGCTTGGGGCTTCGCCATCGGTTGGAACATCGTCTATGGCAACTGGTTCTCTATCCCGGCCGAGATCTCTGCTATATGCGTCTTGTTCAACTACTGGACGGATGTCAATTCCAGCGTGTGGATCATTTTGTGCATATTTCTTACATTTATTGTTGGCATTGCCTTTATCCGTGTCTACGGAGAAGTTGAGTTTTGGTACGTCTTACAAGCTGAAGTGGCTGAAACATCCAACCACTGACAAGTCCAGGTTCGCACTGCTCAAGATTTTCTTCATCATATTCCTAATCATCTTGGGACTTGTGATCAACCTAGGAGGAGTCCCAGGTGTAGAGCGGATCGGATTCCGATTCTGGGTATCTCCAGGACCTTTCGTTGAGTTCATAGGAACTGGTAAGGATTCGACTGCATGACAGAACGATCATCAAAGGCATTTGGAGTCTTGCTAACGTTACTGTTCTGCAAGGTGCATGGGGCAGGTTTCTCGGGTATTGGGCCGCCATGAGCGCTGCCGTCTTCTCCTTCGCCGGCACCGAATCTGTGGCCATGGCCGCCGCAGAGACGAGGAATCCACGACAGTCGATTCCCCGGGCGTGCAAGCGAGTCTTCACCCGCGTTGCTCTGTTTTATATTTTGTCCGTTCTGGTATGTTCATGGTTCTCACTGCTTACATCAATGATCACTGATCACTGCTAGGTTGTTGGAATGCTTGTTGCTAGCAACGATCCTCGCCTGAACGACCAATCTGGGACGGCCGCACAGTCGCCATTTGTCATTGCAGCAAGTGCTGCAAAGCTGACTGCCATTCCTAGCGTGGTGAACGCCGTTGTAATTACCTCTGCCTGGTCATCATCCAACCAGGCTTTACTCTCTGGTACTCGCGTGCTGTACGCCCTGGCTTTAAAGTCTCAAGCGCCGAAGATCCTGCTCCGAACCACAAGCTGGGGTGAGTATCATTGCGCGTACCAAACGATCTTCGGGTCGAACGCTGACTTTCATTTCAAGGCGTGCCTTACGTTTGCGTACTGGTTCAAACAGCATTCATGTTTCTTGCATTCCTAAGCTTGTCCAGCAGCGCCCTGACAGTGTTCTACTGGTTCTTGAACCTCACTGCTTGTGGCGTGCTCATCAGCTGGATCTCAATCCTCGTCAATCATCAACGCTTATTGCTTGCAATGAAGAAGCAATCCATACCCGTTTCGCTTCTTCCTTGGCACAACAAGTGGACTAAATACTCCACGCCTGCAGCTCTTTTCATGTGCATACTGATTCTATTTACCTCTGGCTATGAGGTCTTCACAGCAGGAAACTGGAGCTCAAGCAATTTCATCAGCAGCTATCTGGACATTGGACTTGTCATCACCGCGTTCCTGATCTGGAAGTACTTGAAGCGAACGAGGTTCGTGAAGCTCGAAGATATACCCATCAGGGCTGCACTTGATGAGGTCGACCGGAATCCGGAACCGCTGGAGCCTTCTGCCAGGGGATGGCGCAAGATCGTTGGCTCTCTATGGGATTGATGATGCCGGAATTTATAGTAAGAAGCATAGTTTGGGGAGTGTCGATATATTGCAAAGTCTGGGGACACGAGCCTTGCAAAACCATCATGCGGTTGAATAGACATAGAAACCAACATTACGTTGAGTATAAACCAAGCACTTTGCCGAGATCTGTCATTGTAGAGTTTGCCCTTGCTCGCTGCTTCGCCAGTCTTCTCATTACACATATACAGCTCTCGGGCTACATGTGGTTAGCGAGCGAGAACCTGATTTCCTACTCTCCTTTTATCTTCGTCGATGGCAGCCTGCCATCGAAGACTGAACTCTGCAAAGTTCAACTGTATCCGAAGAGAGAACCTTTTCTGCAGATACATACTTTCAGACTCTCCTCCTCCACGCTCGGTGTGGCGATTTGTCGTCAATGGTGTGATTGTTCGACTCTCGCGTTGCACCACTTTCTCCCAGGTTGATACGACAGCCATCTCCCACGATGTAACACAACAGAAATCCTTTCCATTCCCAACGGTACATCCAGACCAACAATCAACTTTCCTTCGCTCTCGCTTCCTCGACCATTTGCCATCCCCTCAGAACCTCTCCATACCCCAAGTGACAGCGAATGATTAGGAGGATTGTAACGGGAAAACTTACGTAGCAGGTGTCACACTTCGGTCTCATGAAATATCCTTCCACGAACGCAGGTGCTCTCTGAGCAGAGTTTCGTGCTCCTTGTCGAGGCTGGTGCTGGGATGATGGTTAGTCCCGATCGTATTTCGCCTTCTCCTATACGGTCGTCTTTGCTGCGCCGCCATCTTCACCTACTCTAGACTTAGTCTTCTTCAATGAACCTGGCATGGCTATGCGATTCAGCACGCGTGTTCGAACGCGGAATGATCAGCTTAGCATTCACTCGATCACCGGCCAAAATTCGAGCTCGTCGCCAGTGCTTCATGTCCACAGACTCTTCCTCCGTAAGTGGCCGTCCTCCCTTTAAATGCTGCGACCGTCTCAAACTCCTTGAGCCCGCCGTTCGTTCCTTCTGAAGCTGTCTGCGATGACTGATCCCCGCGCCATCAACCTGCATGTTCCGTCGCGAGCTAGCCTTCCGTTTAGAGCGCGAATTCCGCAGAATCTTCTGGCTGCTTAGCACAGCAGAAGCGGTTTGCAGCGGACCCATCATGTCTTTGAWCAAAGCACTCATCAAAGTCGGATTCAGACCAGAAAGCTTGCTCAGGGAAGCTGCGCGTGCGTCCCACATTCTGTTGACGGCCGGGAGATCCTGCGCGAATTGCGTGCAGACGAGTGCTAGATCTCGCGTGGTCGAGTTGGGCCGAGGAGTGCAGACTTCGTTGTCATCCAGCGTATGGAAGAGAATGGTCTGGCGCAGCTCAGGTGGAAGGCGCTGGAATGGTGGTAGTTTGATGGTCTTGTCACTCTTCCATAGCTCTGGATTTTCATCCAGGCGGTCCAGATGCCGAGCGAGCCGCTGGCAGTATGATAGCTTGCGACCTCGAGATTTCTTTTTGTCGGCCGTGGGAAGTAGCGCTTTGCGATACATGGTCGCGTGTGTGGTGTTGGTGGTTTCRAGGCGATGACGAGTTGGGAAGTGTTGAAGTGAAGTCTGAGAATTGACAAACCCGTCTTTTTTTGAACACGGTTGACTTCGAAGCTTACCTATGTGCGCCCCGAGTACCGTCGAGGTCAACAATGACTTCACTCACTCGAAATGCTGGATGAAGCAAGTGGAATGAAGGAAGCAGCACGAAATCCCGTGGTACCTTATGATCGAGTCCGTATTTATCGAATGCTCACCATGCTTTCCAAGAGAACGATGCAAGCGACTGAAACCGTCTCTCGTACGGGTAGAAACTTATCGTCATGCTAGAGTCCCCTCTCATGACAGGGTGGTCGTTCATAGTGCAGAGACGATGCGTGAGAGGCGCTAACTCTTAATAAGACCGAGCTCTTCTGTACATACCACATCTGAGGCAAATTCCGTTGCCTCATCTTGATCTCTCACGTCTGCGAGAGTCCACACTGTTGTAGCTGTCACTTCGCCGCCTCCTCTCCTCGGTCGGTCGTCGTCCACTCAGACTGCTGAGTCCTTTCTTGCTCAACGACCTGAGTCGCTCCTTCAGCCCTTGAGGTGCTTCATCTCTTCCAGTCTCACGGACATCCCGCATGTCTCTTCCGGGCTGGGGAAAGGGACCGGCGGGAGTGGCAGCATAGCCATCCCGACCACGCCGTACAATGACCTTCTCCTCCTTTCTCTTCTCAATCTGCTTTTCTATAGCAGCGGCAGCGATGGCACCAACTGCAGCGCCGGCTATAGTCTCAAGCGTATGTCCACGCCCGAAAGTCTGCCCGAGAAATGCACCTCCTGCACCTCCTATCAATTTCGCGGCCATGCCTCTTTCGCCTTCTGATCCTCCCAGGATATCACGTCCGCCTTTCTTTGGGTCAGATGGGTAGCCGAGTGCTTTTTCCTTCAACTCTTCCTCGGCAGGGCGCTCTCGCCGAGGTCTAGTCTCACGTTCCCGATCACGGCTCTCATAAGATCTATCATCGTAAGATCTGTCATCGTAAGATCTATCGTCGTAGGATCTATCGTTGTATCTATCGTCGTAGAATCTGTCGTCACAAGGTCTATTGTCGTAAGGTCCGTCGTCGTAGGATCTATCATCGGAGTAGCTATAATCGGAGTATCTGTCGTTGTGAGGCCTCCTGTCGTTGTGGGTTCTGTCGTCATATCGATGATTGGGGATCCGACCTCCAGTAGGAGGATACGGCTTTCTTCCTAGCTCGTAGTCGCTAGGAGGAGGCGGCACCCTATGGGTGTAAACTCGCTGGTCCTCTGGCCATTCTGGTTCTGCTCTGTCGTCGTATGGGGTAACTTGATTGAAGGAGTGTGGTCGAGGATCGGCCGGTGCATATGGTCGGTCATCCTGATAGGCAGTACGTGGAGCATCATAATCTTCGTACTCTGATGCGCGAGGGGGATCGAAACGCTGCTGTGACCTTCTATCACGGCGATCTTCGTAGCCCGATGCTGGTGGACGCCCTTGACCAGGCGGCGGACTGAACATTTCGCGTGACATTTTCACCCGAGCGACAGGAGCGTAGAGGGTAGCATTTAAGAGTGTTGATTGAGGAGATGTTTGTCATACTTGACTATAGCATACCTTAGTTACATGACGTATCCACGAGCGTCCATTGCCCGAGACAGTGCAGGCTATAGTTCGTAGACGAGCGACGCCCAACTGCAGTTGCTTTGCCGATCTCTGCGTGGCTCGACTTGAGCTGGGTGAGGTCGCACAGCGATGGGTCCAGATGGCGTCATCGGGCAGGTGGAAACAAGGATGGAGCAGAACCTGCTGTTATCACGCCGACGTGCGATGCGTGCAGTAACTTCCATAATGATAAGTCGCGCATATGGGCGTCGGGCGAGCCACAGAAGCTACGCTACCTAGAGGATTGCCGGCCATCACAGGCTGTCGCGGTAGGCTGGCTCCATTCTCGTCTGTCCCGATGGCGTTCGAGGCTTGTACAGCGGCAGGCGACTCGAGAGGGAACCTGTTCCCCGTGCCATTGTTCAAGGCCTGCTCGTCAAAGCCCACTGCTCGCAAGACTTTCGTCTATGCAAATACAGCCACAGAATGTAGTACCGGTCGTTGTTGATGGTTGATGTTTAAGGTCCGTGGTGGATAAGGTAAGACCGTGGGCAGGGCGGAGGCTAWGGTAGGTATCGTCGCTGCCAAGCCCATCCCGCGCGCGTCCGACTTCCTCCCGCGCGTCTTCCCTGAAACATCAAACTTCAGGTCACCAATCCATAAATGAGGCCATGAACAAAGACAATTATGGACGATCCTATCTTCCATGGCCACGCATTCGTGGTCGGCGACCTCTGGCGGGCACCATCGCGATTCTTGCAACCCCATGAGCAGCATGGCAGCATTTTCGAAGCCCTGGACACAAAAACCACCCGTCTGGATCTTCCACTGCCAGAAGAGGCGCCCCACTTTCTCTTCGAGACCGACCTGCCTGCGCTTCCGGATCTAGATGCGATCGCAACGCTTCCGACTGATGCTCAAGAAAACCCGCTTCTTGTTGATAGCTCAGAGGGCGAGGACCTCGATGTTTGGAATCTTGATCTTGTGGCTCTGGAACCGCCCGGAGAATCAACCCTGCATACCTGGGAAGCGTTTGATGGGAAGTCTGTTGAAAACGCACAACGTACTGCCTTCGTATCGGAAGCGGGACAATCTGCTTTCGATGCGCTCAACGGTCTCACCAACAAGGAAGGTGTACTGCCTCAGGGGTACACCCTGCGGTCCTTCTGCAGCCTAGCCCATGGCCGGTCGTCAACATTGTTCCAGTGGAATGAGGAGAATTGCCGTTTTCAGTCGGTTTTACCACACGTCTCTATCTCTGGCGTCAGTCAGATGTGCACAGAAAGCCTTGCCAACGACATGATGGAAATGGGCACCTCCATTGTGCGACTGCGGAAGTTTGGAGACGCAGCGTATTCAAGTCGGCTCACTTGTTCCGCGGTAGTCGCGATGCAGAATAGCATCGTCAGTGTACTCGATGCGATTGACGAGATCGTGTGCTCGGAACTCCGAGCCGTCCGCTCGTTGCTACAACTTCAGAACTTGGTTTTTCGCCCACGACAGCTGCTCGCTGTACTAGTCTCTCTAGTGGAATCCGCTCGGGACTGCAGGACGGACGAGAGCCTCATTTCAGCTCTCTCGGATCGCGTACACGCGCTTGTTCAGTCAAATGGGGAGCATGCTGCAGTTCTCCAAGCCTTTCTCGCTAGAGTCAGTGTGCCTTGGCTTGAACGCTTATCGTTGGACCTTGGTCTGCGCAACAATACACCTGCATCAGTTGGCACCTCTTATAGTATGCAGGACGTCGAGGATGTCACGAGAGAAAGGCACACATTTCTTGAGGAGGCTGAAGTTGAACTCGTTCGGGAAACTAAGATGGCTGTCATACTGCTTCGAGAGCTATCTCCAAATCATCCACTTCTGGGAGGATCTTCCGCTACGTCTCCATCCCTCGAAGACTTCACGGCCGTCCAGCCTGCCTTCGAAGTGGCACAGCTGTATGGAGCACGAGTAATGCCACAGCTGGTTGTCGGGAACGCCCCTACGAATAGATCATCTGTGGGAGCGGTCTCTGAGGTGGAGCTCGATGAACATAGACTCAACGAACACAGACTCGACGAACATAGACTCGACGAGGCATCGCAAGAAGATTACGTTGCTGGACTTGAAGGCCTGATGTCGCAAGAGATTGACATCGGACGTCGACCTGCAGCAGATGAACTGCACGATCTTGTTGGCCTGGCTTGTCATGCCAAGTTGGTCCACGACAAAGACCGGGAATTAGACTTGTCGACATGCGTCAAGTCGACACCTCTTGAACAGGTGCGACCATTGATTAGGACGCAAAATCGCCTCTTAAATGGGGTCCTACTCCGCCAAGTGCTCCGTGACTATCACCTGCGCCAGCAATTGAGCATGCAGAAACAATTCCAGCTATTAGGAAGCGGCGATTTCGTGACTCGACTCTCGACTGCACTCTTTAGTCTGGATGTGCAATCGGCAGAGCGGAAGCGAGGGGTCATACCAACAGGACAGGTCATGGGCTTACGGCTTGGCTCCTCGCCTGAGCAACGCTGGCCACCAGCGAGCTCTGAACTTCGTCTTACTTTAGCCGGTGTGTTAGAGGAATCTCAAGGGTTAAAAACTGGGGTTCCTGGAAGTCGCGAGGACCGAACGGGTGCTCTCAGTTTTGCTATATGTGAACTGCCAGAGGAAGAGATCGATCGCGTTTTTGATGTGCATTCGGTGTATGCGCTGGATTTTCTGCGCCTGCAGTACGTCCCAACTCCACCACTGGACGCCATCATCACCCCGGAAGCTTTACAACAATACGATGTTGTGTTCCGCTATCTCTTGAAACTTTTTCGACTGATTGCTGTTGTAAAGAGTCTACCGAGAAGGAAATTTGGCAGTCGCGGCGCCGCTACGAGTGAAAAGATGATCGCATTCTGCAACGAAAGTCACCATCTTGTCTCAGTCCTGATGGCGCATGCTATGGAATTGGGCATCAATGCGCCATGGGAAGCCTTCGTGACTTCGATTGGCCAGCTGGAGCAGGCGCTGGAAGACGAAGACGCTGCTGGCGAGATTGGAACCAAAGCAACTGTCGGAATCCAAGGGTTGAGGCAAATGCACGAGGCTTGTTTGGATCGCATTCGTGGTAGACTCCTCTTGAAACGAAAGCACACCAAATTGCGCGTTGCAATCGAAGAAGTGTTCGCAGCGATACTTCAGTTTGAGGCGATTATCTCCACCAGCGGCGGGATGGAAACGTCGGCTTTTGAAGAGCAATATGCCAATTTTCTGAAGGCCGGCTCGCAATTGTGCGAAGTGCTACAACAGGTCGTTGAGAAGCCGCCAAAAGTCATGTCTGCGGCGGAAWGTGAGGATGCAGATACGATTCGGATGCTGTTGCTGAAGCTCAACTGGAATGACTTTTACCCGAGAGCATAGTATCATGAAGTGGAATGCTACGGAGAGACGTGATTGTTTATCCAGGAGCTGTCTGGGCAAACTCACTGGTCGAACCATGCTTCACGAGCAGGACTGAACAGGACTGAACGTGCATGCGCCCTTCGAGGCGCCCTCTGGCCTCTCAGGCGGGACTGAGCGCAAGTTCTGAGCACACTGATATTGGACTGAACAAAGCTCATAACGAATCCCGACAAAAGCTCTACGAAGCCGCTGTCTGGCAGATTGTAGTCACCTTCAAAATATCTGCCTACATCTATTCGCGGAATTGCAGCTCATCGACTATCGGGATGCTTTGAAACTCAGCCCATCTCATCCGCAACACCAACGCCGGCATAGTCCTCGATCTTTGGCTCTCGCCTTACCATGAGACTGGACAATAGCGAGGGCAAAGACCATACCTGGACTATACGATCATCGCAACCTTCGCGGTTACCGGCCCTTGGCCACATGCTGGACATGTGGACCTGTGCAGTAGCTCGGTTCGGGCAAAGATACAGCCGATCGGCGGTGGTTTGACTTCGGAGCAGCACTGATCCTTAGCAAGTTCAATTTGGAATGAGAGTCCTAGGCTTCAATTACGTTACAAGCACAGCTCGTCTCCCGAGGACTTGAGTCTACGGCTCATCTCTGAAGCCACGAATTCCAGACAAGCACACGAAGCCTTTGGCTGTAATCTTGTAAGCAACAAGCCTTGACGCGCTACGCCTTGGTGGTACGTCTTCGTTACGCACGCGAGCGAACCTTTCTACACACGCTCTAGCTCCGTCGGGTACGGTATACAATTGACTTGTATCTGATTGGTGCTGATTGCATCGAGCAGCCCTAAGATGTCACMAGCGGGGAAATATCGGGTCTGTGCGTCGAGCTGCGTTTCCACCACAGCTCGAAGGATTGGTAGGGCATTCGTGTKGCATACCTGCATAAGGGACACATAAAGGGTCGCGAGCCGTTGCTGATCTTTTTGCGACCTTTACTTTTCCTCCTCGAAGTGCGGAGCTTGTCACYGTTGATCTTCCCACGAGAGCCAGATCGTCGCCAAGAGGTCAGTCAAGCAACACCAAGCCTGCTATTTCCCCACACCCAAGACCTTGGAATGTCTTGTACCCTGCCCGAGCTAGAGGCTCACAATGTTGCCATACTGCGTCTCTTTGCATCGGAAGTTATTCTCACTGGCCAGAGATCCGCTTTCGCTGTGGTGCTGTGAGAATTGGTTCGCTGCCAACGCACTATCGCTAGGATGCCCCAGGGGACTTTGTTGGTCTGAATAATCTCCGGTGCAAAGAGATGCTGTACATTGTGGCGATCAATCCCGATGTTCTGAACTGGCCGCAACATGATTTAACTAACGGCTGACGCGGAGTTGTAACAGACATCAGCATGGCAATCGACGAAAAGGTCCAAGACCACGCCTCTCACTACGATGATGTCGAACTTTCTGATACTGAGGCTCCTCGCGAGTCTGAAATGTCGATCGGTCGCTACTTCGCAACCAGACTGTCGACGCTGAAACCGCCAATGGAGAAGCTTGAAAACCCGATAACTCTGCTCAGAATGCTCAACAGGAAACAATGGCTGTTCTTTTGGTGTGCTTTCTTTGCGTGGACGTGGGATGCATTCGACTTCTTCACGGTATCTTTGACCGTGTCGGATCTGGCTAAGAGCTTTGACCGTTCGAAGAAAGATATCACATGGGGAATCACACTGGTCTTGATGTTTCGATCTGTTGGTGCTATTACCTTTGGTATTGCCAGCGATCGTTATGGAAGGTAAGTTTTGAAGTACGGACGGCATAGATCGTATCAGTCGTCACCTGCCGGACATTCCTATGGTTTGCCATGTCCGCCCCTTACAATAGCGTGGCGAAAGCAGGCCCAACGGAAATTTCTCCAAGACATACTAACCACGCCTCTAGGAAATGGCCTTTTGTGGTTAATAATCTCCTCTTCATCGTTCTCGAGCTCGGTACGGGATTCTGCAATACCTACAACCAATTTCTCGCGGTACGCGCGCTCTTTGGTGTCGCAATGGGAGGTCTGTATGGGAACGTAGCGGCGATGGCTTTGGAAGATTGTCCGGAGAAGGCGAGAGGTCTCATCTCTGGAATGCTGCAACAAGGCTACGCTTTTGGGTACCTTTTGGCCACAGTTTTCGCCCGAGCACTGGTCAACACGACACCTCATAAGTGGCGTCCACTTTACTGGTTCGGCGGCGCAGTTCCGGTCCTCATCATCACCTTCCGTCTCTTCTTGGGCGAGACTGATGCTTATATCGAACGCAAGCGGGTTCGAGAATCTGGAGACAATGTTGGCAAGACATTCATCAAAGAGGGTCAAGTTGCGCTTAAGAAACACTGGGTGCTCCTTTGCTACATGGTGCTTCTGATGGCAGGCTTCAACTTCATGTCGCATGGTTCGCAGGACTTGTACCCGACCATGCTAGAAAATGAATACGGCTTTTCTGCCAATGCGGTCACGGTTACGCAAGTCGTGGCTAACTTGGGAGCCCTCAGTGGAGGGACGACTGTCGGCTACTTGTCACAGACGCTCGGACGACGCTTCAGCATCATTGCCATGTCCATCTTGGGAGGAGCGCTACTTTACCCCTACTCATTCGTTGGCAATGAGAGAGTCATGGCCGCAGCGTTCTTCGAGCAGTTCTGCGTTCAAGGTGCGTGGGGAGTGATACCTATACATCTGATGGAGCTATCCCCAGGGTCACTCCGGGCGTTTGTGGTGGGTACTTCCTACCAGCTGGGAAATCTGGTGTCCTCCGCTTCATCAACGATCGAAGCGACTATCGGTGAACGATTCCCTCTTCCACCGAAGGTCGAGAAGGATGGTACGAAAGTGCCGCGATATGAATACGGCAAGGGTAGGCGTGCACCACAATTCAATTCGCGAACAAGCTAACAGTGTTTTGCAGTCATCTGCATTCTCATGGGCTGCGTCTATGCTTATGTGATTCTGCTAACTTTCCTCGGTCCCGAGAGACGTGGTAGAAGCATGTCTGCCGAGCATGATGAGGATCTTGCTGAAGCTGCAGGTCAGGAGGCTATGGAAGATGCTAAGCAGCATGGTCGTCCCTTGAGAAATGAATCAAATGGGGAGGTCTGAACGATGAATCGGTACGGAGCTGTCAAAACGAGGAATCATCAACATGAGCAGCGCCCTCAAATACCCTCTCCGCCAATAATGGACAGTCCTACTCGTGGCAAAGGTTCTAGTAACTCTAGAATGATGAATTCTGCAGAGAGCAAGTCCTCGAGACGGTATAGAGATGACTAGGGGTGGTAGTCTCGCTGAATGATCCTCATAGCAACAGCCCTCGATCTAATGAATACATGAATCTATGACTCCACAAATACTCCATCTTCGTCAAGTCCAGGCACCAAAGCAAGCAGCCTTGCAGAAAGTCGGGTGTCTCCTCGAATGACGTAGAGTACTACATCTTTGATCACATTGCATTTCAGATACATAGGGCGGCAACCTTCAGTTTTGCCAGGTCTTGTCCACATCCACTGAACCATAAGCAGAAGCGATGTCAACCTGTCGATGATTTTTTTTTATGAGACGCTAGACACTGTCGCAAGAAGTTCCCAATCCGGCAATCCGTTTCCAAGATCATCAGCATTACGATTCACAATTCAAGCCGACAACCGGTCTATCCCGAAATAGAAGCAGTGCGCTCCGCTATACTGCTCCCCTCTGACCGCTAAGCAAACGCCTTTCAGAGACTAGGGTGTCGATCTGGCACTCACGCTTCGACTTGAAGTGGTGTGCGGGCGGGATAGGTCCGTTTCCTTTTGGATCAGGCGTCCAAAGTTCCTCGTACTATGACTTCACACTTTTGTGAATTCTATATACGGCAACAAAATAGGGTGGATCGTCATAGTGTCGCTGGCCTTGAGCGAGAGATGTTGATATAAACAGAGGCAGCCTTCCAACTTGTGTTCTTCTCACCAGCAACGAATTCATCCGACCAAAGACATTCAAACCCAACAACAAGAAAAGGCAACCTTATACAATGTACAAGACACTAGCCGCCCTCACACTGGCCGCAGCAGCTGCTGCGGTCCCGATGCCACAGACTGGCAGTGCGATTGGAGCCAAACCCGAACAGTCGGATCTTTTCGCCCTCGCGATGGATTACAAAGGCACATTTGTCACTCTTACCGCGGTCTCCAATGGTACTGTCGGCAACATGGTCCTCTCTGCCGGTAGACCTAGCGTTTATCCCGGAACCCCTGGTAGAATACTCCGACTCTACCAGACTGCGAGACGTGAGTGCTAACGATCAACCTGTAGCCTACTTCAACGGTACCGGCGAGTACAAGGCCCTGAACTTCTATGTCGACGACGCCAACTTTGGCGGATCCAGTGTCTACGGCCTCCGAGCCAAACAGATCCCTGACGGCGAGTCCTACGCTAGGTCTGTCGACGCGCTCTTTGGGTTCCAGGAATTCGAGTGGACAGTCAGCGCGAATGGCACCATCGGGCACAGAGAGACTGAAGCGCTCAACAGATTTTACGGTATGTCTCGGKTTCTTCTCGAGGTTGGGAGTGAGATGCTAACCTTTATGTAGCTTGTGAGGACACCGCAAGCAAGGGAGACAACATTTTCCTGAAGTGGGGCGAAGACACGAAGGATGGAAAGCCGCCAGCTGGATGTGTGGAAACGTTCGTTATACAGGACTTTGATGTTCCTGGAGGCCAGCATTCGGGTTCGTCTTAAATGCCGCAGGAGCTGTGTGCTCCGGAGTGCAGTATAGATTGGCATCGCATAATACAGCATAGCGCAGCATAACAATAATAGAGGGATCGTGTTGACTTGATTGAAAGAGTCCTGGAATTGCCGCTCCCCATGTTGGTACGATGGAGATGGATGGGGAAATTGGAGATGGTCGCCTCCCTAGTGGGGGATCGACGACTACGCTCGCCAACGGGTAGCTATGGTCACCAAAATGGGCTGCTTCGCGGAGAGGCAAGTGTATCACTGCAAAATGTCATCTTGGTCGTGGTGACGTTAAAATATCTGTAGGTAGGGCGGCAATCTTTGACTTCGCCGGGCCTTGATATGAGGCGTGTTCCAACCGTCTGGTATCCGCTTGTCGAGATTTTCCCGGTGACTGTTATCATCGGACCTGGTTCCTGAGAGCAATCGTCACGCTGCATGTCGATGTGCCTTGTGAAAAGGATGGTGCTGTGTCGAAAAGGAAGTCGAATGGCTTCCCGAACAACTCCGCTAGCCACGTGCGTACATAGCGGCCGGCCGATCTTACTTTCCTTCACGTGCGACTGTTGATGATGCTTCGTCACCAATTGAGATCAGGCTTGATGTCGCCGACCTCTCCACCTTCACCTGCTTCGTCCTGTTGTGGCGCGAGGAAGAAGCTGGGTTGCCGACTGAATTCGCCGCCAGCGACCCCGTAAAGTGCAATGAGTCGCAGCAATCGAGGCAACTCTCTCCCGCCGGACTCCTTCACGGCACGACGCCTACAACACGCCACCCCGGAGCATCTACACCAGACAACGCGCCGCGTTTTTATCGGTCCACTACCGGAAGGGTGGCTCAAGACCCATCGCAAACAATGGTATCGACAGTATACCGGCAGCCGCGGGGCAAGAGTGCCTTCATTCACGGCGGCCCAGCCCGTCGTCAGTGTTAGTCATGATGCAGAGGAAGGCGGCGGGGCGGACGCCGGAGCGAACGGTGATCATGCAGCCGAGGGCGGAGCGGAGGAATTGGCGCGACAATCGGCAGATGTGATCGGCGAGGGTTTGGGAGTCGGGACGACGACGGAAACCGCGTTGGGCTCGCAGACGGCCCTTAGCACGACCAGCCTGTTGCACAGCCAGCGAGACAGCTCCGTTAGTGCCAGTGCATCGATACGGAATACCACAATCGAGGGGGAGGACCAGGATGAGGGAGAGCCACAGCCGACGTCAATCCTCCAGGACTCTCGCATTGAACGCGCTGCCAATGGCATCCCAACGCCAAAAGTCCGTTTCAGCCAGGCCAGCAAGCTTCAACTCCGTGCCCGTGCTTCGCGTCTGGCCGCCAAAGGGAGCCTTCGAAGCTTGAAGATCAAGGACGGCGAGATGCTCAAGGTTGATAAGATGCTCGTTCGTATCGACATCACCCAGCAGTCCCTGCGAGACGACTACGATGAGAAGCTCAGCCAGGGTGTGGAAACAAGAACTCTTGACAAATGGCGCGAGTTTATGATTGTCTGTCGGAAGCACACCGAAGGCGACGCCAATGCCGTGCTGCAATTCTACCAAACGAGAGTCATTGCGGTCTCGGAAGGTGACAATGTAAAGAAGAAGCCAAAGGTGCAAATGCTGCTCGGCGCGAAGTCTTCCAAGGTCAACATGTACTCCTCTCTGGACAAAACACTCTGTGTTTGGACTACTGTAAGTGGTCGAACGACAATTTATTACCTACGTGCGCAGAGCACTGCAACGGCCGTGGAGTGGTACACATTTCTGCGCGGGCTGCTTGGCGACGAACGACCCGATACTCTGCAGATCAATGTGCCCGATCTCAATGTTTCGCTCCGCTTGGATGATCCTTTCGGACAAGTCGAGGCCGCGAAAACGTTGGACAAGGCAGCTGCCGGAGACGACGATGCACTCGCAAGAGCGATTTCCGACGAATCAGGCGCCGCCGGAGCCATTGTTGCTCGCTGTGTCAGCATGTTGAACCGGTCACCGGAGTGGACCGATGTACTGGAAGGCTGGGCCAAGGATGAACGCATTGGTCTTGCGTGGAAGAGGTACGACCGTCTTGAATGGATTCATGGCGCCGTAGAGCAACGCATGTATGGCACCATCGCGATGCTGAGAACCCACGACCTGGAGCTGAGACTCAAAGATCATTACCCAGTGTCCGCAAAGGGTCGGCATGGTAGCCCCGTCCTGGAGGAGCCACCGCCAGTAGAAGGATTTCTCATCCGTCTTACCTCACAGCAAGGCAAGGAACAGAGACTGGGCAAGATGCTTTTCAAACGACTGTACTTTTCAACGCAAAACCAGTACCTCGTTTTCCTTCGCCCAGCGTCGGCATCACCGCCACCGCCTCCGAAGATCTCTCCTCATGTAGGCAATGGCACTCCAACCGCAAAAGACTTCATAGATCGAGTCCCATTGAGCTATGACATCGATCCTTTTCCTCTCACAGGAAAGTCCATCACTTGGGTCGGATCGGAGCCTAAGAGTTTCGAGACGCATGACAAAGCTGCCGCTGCCGAAGCAGAGCGAAACGCCAATACGTTGCTGGTCTGTGATGGCTTCATCGACCTTTGTGATGTGCAGACGGTTCGCGACTTCTCTAAAGGTGCTATACCGGTAGACGAGAGCTTGCAAAGCGGTCAGAACGTCGACTTCCACGCTGCAGTGCCCAACAGTCACTCCGAAGATGGCGCGACAGCCGAAATCGACGAAGATCGTGTCCTCGAATTGGTACTCACCAATGGCCTGGTCATCCGTCTGCAAGCCTTCAACAAAGCTGCCCGCGATATCTGGAGGGAGAGTCTGCAAGCGTTGGTCGCATACTGGACGCAACGGATTAAAGCCGACACAGATCTCTACAAATCGACACGCGAGCAGAACCTGAAGGTGTTGGGTATCGACGAGCGTGCAGAGGCCATAGTAGGCCAGTTTTCACATAAATGGGAAGTCGGCAAATCTTACGCCTCTCCCATCTTATACAACATGTGTGGGATTGCAGGATGCCGCCCCATTCACGTCTCCGGCGTTCTCTTCCGCAAGCCGCGCAAGCACACCACATTTACGCGTTGTCATGTGGTCCTTTCCAACGGCCATCTCTTGATCTTCCAAGACACGCTTCGGAAACGTACTGGCAAGAAACTTGTACACATTCACCACGAGCGTATCGCGTCCATGTCTCTACGGGGTAGCTACATCTATTCGGGCCTATTGACAGAGGGCGATCTCTTGTATCAGAATCAGACGTTTGATTCCAATGCTCCGGGGCACCATACGTTGCCAAGGATATACCTCGAAGACAGCTGGACGAGTTCTGATGAGGATGCCATGACTACCTTTGTGGTTTGGCATCCGAAAAGCAAAGCGTGGTTCAAGAGCTCCAAGACCGTTGATGATATTAGAAATACTACGGCGCATGAAGCGGAAACTTCAAGTGAAAAGGTCAAAACCAAGCTCACGAGAGTCAGTCAATTGGGTGCAACAGGCCGTAGTGTTGTATTCAAAGCCAGGAGTCGAGCCGAGAGGGACCATTGGGTATTGGCTATACAAAACGCTATCGAGCGACTGGGAGAGGGCGAGGAGGTTAGATTAGTGGAGGAGGGTAATTGAATGGATTGAGTCTGAGACCCGATGGTGGAATTCGGCATGAGATGGTCTTTTGATAAGCATGGCGCGATGGGTGTTTTAGTCGGAGTTTTTGTCCTTGAACTTGGAAAGACGGGCAGCGGTATACCCTTGGATTGCACGGCACACGCGATGACTGCTGATATCGTAATTGTATAGGAGAGCAGTGCAGCATCGCAGAACACTACACGTAATAGCAGAACATGATTTATCTTGCAACATTGATAGACGACCCGAACACGATGACACGACTTGTCATATATCTCCTCTTCTTGAGCCTTCTTGGCGATATGTTCCAAGACCCTATTTAGCCTGATTGCAAGAGGAGGGCCTTGGGAGCTCTTACACTGCAGCTCGCTTGCACTACACGTAGCTTACAGTGTTGAGAAGCAGGGCATGCATTCCATTTAGGCTGTTGCATTTGCAAAGATGTTTAAGTGTAGCCAGTCGCCGGCCGATTGAGTCGAGAAGTTCAGAGATACCATCACTTGTCACCATCACAATGTCAACAGGCATCCTCAAAGTACAAGGCAACAAGGTTGTTGGCAACGATGGCAAAGCAGTTGTACTCCGTGGTGCGGGACTGGGAGGTTGGATGAACATGGAGAATGTAAGTCGTAAAGACCCATCACTCGACCAAGGTTAAATGGAGGCTGACTTGTACAGTTCATCACCGGGTACCCAGGCCACGAAAGCCAGCATCGAGCAGTAATGCTCCAGGTTCTCGGCCAGGAGAAGTATGACTTCTTCTTTGACAAGTTTCTGGAGTACTTCTTCGACGAAGCCGATGCCAAATTTTTCGCTTCCAAGGGGTTGAATTGTTTGAGATTACCGTTCAACTATAGACATTTCGAGGATGATATGAATCCTCGAGTGTTGAAAGAGGGAGGTTTCAAACATTTGGAGAGGGTTGTTGAGTTGGTTCGTTTAATCTCTGACGCCCACTCAAGGCATCCTGTTCACTGACTTTGTCATAGTGTGCCAAATACAACATCTACACAATCCTAGACCTACACGCAGCTCCTGGTGGACAAAACGGCGATTGGCATTCTGATAACCCAACCAACTATGCAGCATTCTGGGACCACAAGGACCATCAAGACAGAACGATCTGGCTATGGACTGAAATCGCAAAGCGTTTCAAGGGCAATCCATGGGTGGCTGGTTACAACTTCTTGAACGAACCTTGCGATCCTCTCCACTACCGCCTACCAATCTTCTACGAAAGAATCGAAAAGGCTGTGAGAGCCGTCGATGCTGAACATATCCTCTGGCTGGACGGTAATACTTTTGCCATGGAGTGGAAGTACTTTGACAAGCCATTGCCAAATACCGTCTATGGTCTTCACGACTACTCCATGATGGGCTTCCCGAAAGGCGATCGCTACGAGGGTACTCCAGAGCAGAAAGAGAAGCTCGAAGCACAATTCCTACGCAAAGCGGATTTCATGAGTGCGCACGACGGACCAGTCTGGAACGGAGAATTCGGACCTGTGTACGCCAACCCACAACTCGATGAAGGTCACGAGGAAATCAATGCGGCCAGATATGAACTGTTGAGCGAACAATTGCGCATCTATGACAAGTACAAAATCCACTGGAACATCTGGCTCTACAAAGATATTGGTGTGCAAGGAATGGTTCACGCCGATCCCAACAGCAAATACATGCGCACCATCGCCTCCTTTTTGGAGAAGAAACGGGCGTTGCAGCTGGATGCTTGGGGAAGATATCCCAGCAAGGAAGTGGAAGCTGTGATTAATCCTCTGGTGGAGTTTATCGATCGTAATTTGCCGACGAGTAAAGATCAATATCCCACTCCTTGGGCGACGGAAAGACAGATTGCGAGGTTGATTAATAATAGTTGGATGTCGATGTGTAGCTCACTTGAGTTCGCGGAGCTTTTCCAAGGTATGAGTATAGAGGAGTTGGATGAGTGTGCAAAGGGCTTTGCTTTTGAGAACTGTATGCAGAGAGAGGGGTTGAATAGGGCTTTGGAGGCTCATGCGGATGCTGCTAGTGATTTGGATGAGAGTTGGACGAGGCCCTCCATGGTTTGGACTGATGGGTCAAAGCTAGAGTCGGACTAGGTTTCTGTGAGTCTGAAGCGTGGGCAAGATAGAACAGCGAAGCGCTTCTCAGGCCACATGTACTCTGTGTGTATGTACTGTTTCTGTCGTTTGGTCGATGCATGGGTATAAGGGGGGAGTTGCGACACGAAGAGCTTCAAGTCGCCGAAGCACTCAAGTCGTCGGCGTCCCCGGCCAATATTGAGCGAGAACGTCAGATCCACTCCTCCTCATCGCGTGGGTTCTCTTTCTCGTGCTCCTCAAGGTCATGTAAGTATAGCATCTTGTAGTCTGTAGCCAGTTCCTCTAGATCCATGTTCGAGATCCATAAGTTAACGTAGCTTGACCACGCCATGCCAGTCGCGACTTCACCATGAAGCCACCCTAGGCTATAATTGGCGTTATCTTCCCCGTCTGCTCCTCTAAACCAGTGATACTGGATTTGCGTCATTACGACCTTTGGACTTTCGGCGTCTAGACAACGTCTGTCCACCGCAACGAATGTAGGTACATAGCCCTTGAATCGCATGTTGGAGTACGAAGGATCGAATGTCGGCGAGAGCGGATCGCACTTCTGGARCAACTCGCAAAGATCCTGAATCGTGAGGTCCCCGGATCCAGGTGGAAACAGGTAGCCGTAATAAGCAAAGTCCTTGCCAATGTCGTTGACGAAATCATCATCCTCGTTGTTCAAGGCGGATTTGATGGCACGTTCTTCATCTGTGTTAAAAGGAGATAGATAAAAGACAGGACATAAGCTGGGATCTCCTTTGTCGTCGCCAAAGTCGATTGGATTACGCAAAGCCACAACATCCTCCCTCATCGTTTTGTCGCAACACTCCTCCGCCTTCTCGTAACATGCATCGGGAGAACAGCTTCTGCATTCATTGAAAAGTCGAAGGATGCCTTCCTTTTCGGGTACAAACAGAGAGACCTTGTGCTGATTTCCCAGGTAGGCGAGCTTGGGTTGATCTTTGATTGAAAAGGCAACAACTCGAGGGCGATGGTCATCATCTTCGAGAATGCTGTCCACGAACCACGCCAATGAGTGGCGATCTTGCACGGCAGAGTTGTGATACATTTGATCGTAAAGTTGACGCAGGTCCGACCTCGACGGCGAGGGGCCTTTCCAGTTGTGGATCACGACCACAGGCACAGTTTCGATCTCGCCAGCATTGCGCAATATGTCGGTCCTGATGGCCTCAATATGGTCCTCGGTCAATTCCAGAAGCGATACAAGCTCTAATTTAGATCTGTCCAGCTTCAAATCCGAGGGCAAGAATGAAGGAAGTTCGTAGGATGGTCGATCTGTGTTGTACTGGCGCTCTAGAGGTGCATCTGTGTAGAGATCAATCGCCTTCTCCTTGTACTCCGCCTCACCCAAGACTTGACTGAATCCAGAAACTGCTTCGTTGWCAATCAAAGTCAGGAGTGCATTTGCCATGCCTATCGGCACTCGAACAGCGTCAAGCTTCGGCTCGTCGTCTCCGACTGTACTCCAGTTAGCAGCGATGACATTGGAGGCCTCCCAATTGAAATCAACCAAGATGAAGCTCTTGAAGGTTCCATTTTGGGCACGTAAGATCTCCAGAGTAGCCTCCGGAGAAGGTGGGGAGTCTCGAATCCAGGGAATGGCTCTCAACTGCCTTGGTACGGACATGTCGCCGGCGGGGTCAAACTCGGCTGCCCAATCGCCCTCTGTCGTCGCAAGTCTCTTGACAATGTCATTGCGTGTATGTTGGGGAAGGCGTTGGAGGAAAACGACATGAAGCACTTTGTCGGGATCAGGCTGCCTATAGGCTTTTATGCTCGGGATGTGCCACGATTGGGACATTTTGAATGAGTGAAAGGGAATGAATGTAAAGAGGTCAACAAACCGTCGGTCTCACTCTACATGGGAGTGAGACGGGATGACATGCAGTCCTACTGCGGCTGAACCGATCATTTATGCTTTGCACTTGGAGCGGACATTTGTGGCGATGCAGGCAGCATCCAATGCCAGAGCAAAGGCATCAGGCATCAATCAGCTGAAGGATGTCCGTTGCGGTCATCACTTCCGCTCGCGCTTGCTTTGGAGGATGCCGGGCGGTCTATTTCCAGCAATGTGGGTTGTCGATGTTTGTGGGGACGTCCATCGCTCCTCCCACCGCCGCCGTCTTCGAACGCTGAAGCGCCAAGAAAAGAGACCCTTAAGACAGAGCTCCGGATGTACTAACGTTTCAAAACCTTAAAACCATACTTTATTTTATCGAATACGTAGCGAACACGCCGCGAACACGCTTAATTCTTAGGTAATCGTCTTTATTTAGAAGGCTTCTTACTACTCTTCTACTTATCGCCTATAAACTCCTTTACCTTAGCCTTTAGCGAGTCGTACGCTAGTATTAGCTTCTTTATATTGCTTTTAACCTTACCTAACTTGCTCTTAGTCTACTTTATACGCGCTAGTAGCGTACTTATATCGTGCTTTATATCCGAAATCTCTTACTCTAACTTTATAATTCTATATTCGTTAGTAGCTAGTAGTAGTAGTAGCGTCTTTATCTTCTTAAACGCTATATAAGCGAGTTTTCCCTTATAGCGGTAGTAGACGTATACCTTACTTTTACCTTTCTCGACTTTATAGTCGATAGTAAGGGCTCCTTCGCGCGAATACCTATTAAAAAGTTAGCGAATATACTTACGAGTAGTACGCGAATACTTACTATTTATACTTTTATACCGCGTTAATACTATTATCTATCTCTATAATACGTTTAGCCGCGTCGAACTTACGAAGGTTCTATATAATAGACTTACGGAGCTAAGGGAGTTATCGGTAATAGAATCTTCGAGCTATTTATTCTACTATATTACGGTAACTAAGTAGAATTCGCCGTCGTTTTCGGGRTAGTTAGGGAGGTTAGTACGGGCGACGATTAACGCCTCTTACGCGTCGGTAAAGATAGCACTTATATTCGTAGCGTATTTACTAATAATTCGTTACGGAGGCGGAGCGGAAAGTAATAGTAAGTAGTAGTAGTAGTAATAAAGTCGTAGTTACTATACGGCGGTAGTAAAGTTTTTAAGTAAATAAAGTAACGATAGGTTACGCGCTTTTTTTAAAGTAGATAAGTAAGGAGGAATATTCGAGTAGTTATTAAGTAGAAATAGAAGATTTAGAGCGAGTACTACTACGAATACTATACGAGTAGTACTTTTTCCCTCTCTTAGATCTCTTTACTTACTATTAAGCCTTCCTTCTTATATAAACCCTCGTAGTTTATAAAGAACGTAGTTTGTAAAAAAACGAAGCTTATAAAGGTACGAAGCTTACTAACGGAGCTTACGAAAGAATGTTTAATATAACGATATAAGTTAAAGAGAAAATAGAATATAAATTTTATGCTATCTTATAAAGTTAAGGCTAGAAAAGGGGGGATTTAGGCGAATAGTACTACGAATAGGCCGCGAGTAGTACCTTTCTCCCGTTAAGATCCTCTCCTATCTTACCGTACTTAATATCGCACTTCCTTAAATATCTAAGCCTTATATAAGGGTAAAGATGTAGCAATGTATTAGACACCCGTAATTACTCGATTAGAGATAAGACTAATTCTTATAGGTTAAATGTGCGCTATGCGTAGGAGTTATGTATACGCTAAGCCTACGCTAAGCAGTTAGGTTATATTACACTCCCTTCTCTAAGGTTAGTTAATCTAGCTACCTCTATTAATCCTATTATTGTAAGGGCTCTTATACGGCCCTTATAATTACCTCCTTCCCCCTATACGAACTAGCCTTAGTTCGGGGGCTCGGGAAATAGAGGCGCGCGCGCGTCGTATGCGTCGCGCTCGGGGTCCGTAGACTCTATATAGTAAAGTGCCTATTTTCTAAGCAACCTTCGGGCTATTTATATAAAAGCCGGCTAGTTAAACTAGCTATATAGGAAGTAGCCGCTTTCGGAACTTTATCCTCCTTCTAGTAGGCTAAATGCCGTACCTAGAAGGGCGAGGGTTTAATTCCCTTAACGACCGCTACTCGATAAGAGGGTTAATAAGTCCCCTACTACGCGGCGTATACGTTACTACTACTGTCCGTAAGGGTCTTATATCTATAGATCTCTAAGTAGGTTATTTACTAAGTAACCTACCCTAGTAACTACCTCTTATTAATATTCTTTCTACCTTATAGATTTCTCTTCTATACATCTACTCTTTATTATGCCGCTACGCACTCCTTATAAGCGTCGCGTACCCGACCCGCTAGCGACTTCCGCTTAAGCGTCGGCGAGTAAGCGCCGCGCCGTCGAGGTGCCTACGGCCTATCGCCGCTATACGCGGTTAGCATACCTTCGTATTAGCTATCGCTATAACGCTGTCTTTAGCGCGTTTAAGCGTAAGTACGACTACTATAAGTAAGTAACGCTTATTTAAGACGCCTACTCCTTTCTTACGTAGCGCTAACTTCCCTTAAAGGAATAATTATTATAAGTATAAACCCGTGCCGGTAGCGATGCGCCTACGCTACGATAGCGTTATAGCTACGGCCTACGAGCTTAATCTAGTAGATACTGCTATATAGAAGGGCAGTTAGAAGGAAGCTGCTTATAAGGCGGCGGTAAACACCTTTAGTATTAAGTTAGATGCTTAGATCCGTATTAACAAGCCTACCTCGGGTATACGGCGTATAAGTAGCGTAGTCGAGGCGCCTAACCTTACTCGCTTAACGAACAATCTTATAGCTATTACTTAAGTCGGTCGTATCGTAAGTGTCTCGCCTACTCCTCGTATACGTCTATAATACTAACCGTCTATATAGTAGTTAGAGATAATAGGGTAGTCTACTAATGCCTTCGATACTGCCCTTACTAGAAACGAGCTATTCGAGGAGTTCGAGGCGGAGGAAAATAAGTTTAAGTAGAGTGCTTAGCGCGTTCTCTAGGCTTGCGTAGCGTATGCGCCTATCTTATAGTATAGTCTATAAAGTAATCCCCTTTAGGTCTAACCGTAATAAAACTACTTAATTCTTATTACTCCTCTTTTATTTTGCTCCGCTCTGCTTCTAAGCCTCTTTTACTACGCGGCCTCTACGCTTACGTAGAGCCTACGCCTCGAACCTATCGAGAGCTTTATAGTCTTTAATATATGCACTAGGTTCCTACTAGTTATATTCTAATAGCTATCTACGCTACTTTACTAAATAAAACGTTTCGCCCTTCTATACCCTCTTATTAAGAATCTCTTTAACCTCCTACTACCTATTCTCGTCGACTACGAGTAGTATACGCTCCTCTTGCGCTTTACTCTTCCGGCTAGAATATAGCTCTAGTAGAGTAACGTAGAAGACGTTATAGATCCTTA